AACCGGAGCTAATTGTTTAATTTAAAGAGGATTAACTGGTTCTGATTATGATCATGCTGCCCTATTATTAAGATTTCCATCAGGATCTTTGTATATATTAGAAGCTACTGGTTGTTATGGAGTAGGATTATGTTCTTGGTGTAAATAGATTATTAATTACAAAAGAGGACATGATTGCTGAAAGATGGTTCGAACTATTTGATAAGATTGTAATTAGAAGATTGGAAATTGAAAGAGATCATAAATTTTTAAGTACAGTTTAAGAATTTGTAACTGAAAATATTGGTAAAAAATATTCACTCACTCCAATGAAATTACTCAAATAAAAATCTACAGTCTAAGATATAAATAAATAAGCTAATAAGGTAAATTTTATAAACAATCTTTTTTTAGGAAGAAAGAACATTCTTTTGTTCTGAATTAGTCGCAGCTCTTTACAAAAAGTTAGAAATCTTTGATTAATAAAAATCTTCAGCATAATATTGGCCAGGAAATTTATCATCTGAAAATAAAGGACTTGTAATTTTAAAAGGGAAATTGCATCCAGAATAACTGATTGATTTTAGTAATATATGATAAGGATTCCTTATATATAAATATATTTATAATTAATCAATTAATAAAGTAATTTTTTTTTATTGTGGCTTGCAATCTAAACTTTTTCTCAGGAGTTTATGATAATAGTTAATTAATTTTATGCTTAAAATTATTTTTTAATAGATTCAATTATTACTACTGTTTAATTCCTGGAGATTTACTAGCAGGCTTCTTTTCAACAAAGTTTTCGTAAGCTTATTCTATAATTTATTTATTTTTTTAAGCCTTATCCATATCTCTATGTGATACATTCTTACATAATTCATTTTTATGACTATTTATATCAATATTATTTTCAGTCTTATTTCTTAATAAACTACATGATTATTGTTATGATTAAAGAGTGCTCAATTTTAAAGTTTTATTACTTTAATGTTAATTAGGCTTAAAAGAATATTCTCTTAAAGTTTTTATTCTATTTTATTCATCAAATGGACGAACTTCTGTTAATAGATCATCATCTTTTTCTTCTTAGAATTGATTCTCTTAATTATAAAATTCATAAAATTTATCAAGAGTTTTAGCTTATTATTTTCTCCTTAAATAAGATTGAAATTCAGATGATGTTTTATTTAATTATTAAGGTTTGACAGGAACTTCATAGATTGGTGTTTCAATAGAATCAGATGTAATATTTCTGTTATGAAATGTTTCCTTATTATGCTCTTTTTTTTTTAAATTCATCTAATTAAATAATTAATTGATGATATCTATTTTATTATTAATGTTGTCATCTTAATTTTATGAGATGTTTTGATAATTTTATTAACAGCTAATCATAATAATTAATATATATATATAAAATTTTATAACATACATGCAATATTGATGTTTTAGTTTGTATTAGAGTATAGAAAAAGAGTGAATAAATTATTAATTAAATGAGTTTGTAATCATTCTAAGATACATTTTGTGGTGCTGTAGCTGGTTTTTCTTTTCGTTTTTTTGGTCATCCCTTTGACACTGTAAAGGTGAGAATGTAAATGAATGATAAAAAAAATTCATTTTTTGCATCAGCGATTAAGATATTTCGTAAAGAAGGAGTAAATCTTAACATATAGTTTAGATCTTAGCTTATTACAAAGGGATGTCATCTCCTTTGTTAGCAGATATACCTTCTAATGCAGTATTGTTTGGAATTTATGAATATGTATTTAGAGAAATAAGTTCAAACAACAAAGAAAAGAAACCTTATATATTGGAATGTTAATATAGTATTAAAATTATTAGGGTTAATTGCAGGAGGAGTAGCTGGCATAGGATATGCAATAGTAGTATGTCCTGCTGAAATGACAAAATGCGTATTGCAAATGTAAAAGGAATATTTACACAAGCAATTTAAGTCTCCATTTTAATGTTTTACATATGCAGTAAAAAATTATGGGATTGGCTCAGTATTCAAGGGTCTTGTAGCTACAATTCTGAGAGATATTCCATAAAATGCAAGTATTATACTAGATTGAATATGAATTAGCCTTTTTTGCAACTTATGAATACTCTAAATATATATTTAGTAAAAATAATGAATTACCATTTTATGGGGCAGTAATAAGTGGAGCATTAGGTGGATTTACTTGTTGTTTAGCATCATATCCCATGGATGTAGTGAAGACATAAATACAAGTAGAAATAAAGGAAACAATACAAAATAGAAAATTTAAGCCTAGGTATTATGATGGTGGTGTGATTGAATGTGTAAAATACATTTGGTAGAATCAAGGGTTCAAAGGTATAATATATATGGTGGAAATTAGGTTTTTGGAGTGGAGTTGAAAGTTGCATAATTTATTATATGGTTGGATGTGCAGCATAGTTTACAGGATATTATTATGCATAATCTTTATTGGGAAATTATACAAATAAACATTGACAGATTGAATAAATATGAAATTGTCGCTATTTAATAATATATAAATTAAACTTAAAGAATGAATTGTAAAATATTGAAGGGTCATGAAGATAGAGTTTGGTAAGTAGTATGGCATCCAAATGGATAGATGTTAGCATCGTGCAGTTCAGATAAAACAATAAAGTTATGGAGATTAATGAATGATGAATATAAATTAATAGTAATTAGTTCATTAATGATTCAAATAGTAAACTCTTGATGATTGCCATAAAAAATCAATAAGATCTGTGAGTTTCTCAAAAGATGGTAATTTTCTAGCTTCAGGTGGTTTTGATGCAATAGTTGGAGTTTGGATGTTTGATGGATCAGTTTACAAATTGATCCAATAACTTGAAGGACATGAATCAGAAGTATAGTAATTAAATAGAAATTTAGGTTAAAGGAGTAGCATGGAGTGCAGATGGTAAATACTTAGCTTCATGTGGAAGAGATAAAACAGTTTGGATATGGGATCATGAAGATTTAGAGTTTAGTTGTAATTGTGTTTTATAAGCACATGATGAAGATGTGAAATGCATAAAGTGGAATAATAATATACTATATTCAGGTAGTTATGATAATAGTGTCATTTAATATATATATGGAGAAGATGATGAATGGGATCATCTATAAGTCTAAGTTAATCATTAATCTACTATTTGGTCAATAGATATATTTAATAAGTTAATGCTTACTACAAGTGCTGATTGTACAGCTAAAGTATTTGCTATTTAAAATGGAAATCTGAAACACATTTAAACTCTATAAGGGTTTCACAAAGAACCAATATATTCTGGATCGTTCTCTTATGATGGATTGTATTTAGCATTAGCTAGTGCTGATAATAAAATTAGTATATTTAAAAAGGATTCCATTGATGAATTTGGATAACCACATTTTGCTTTAGAATAGATCTTTGTAATTTTATTATATTGATCATAAGGATGCTTTTGAATTCGATGTCAATTGTGTTGCTTTCAATCCTAAGAATTATCTTTTAGCTGCCTCTAGTGATGATCTTAATATTAAAGTATTCAATTTATAATTGTGATCATAATATTCAACCCATAAAATTATTATTCTTAATTTTATTATCATATAATCAATCATAACATATAACATCAGGGATGATAGTATCAATCATGATACCAGCAATCCTTATACAAGACGTAGTTCATATCTCGTTTATGTTAATATGCCATCCCAAACTAATGGGCTTTTATGAGTTGAGACAGTCTTAATCGGCTTTGACTCCTCATTTCTGCTCAATCTCTAAATTCCTACTCCCAGGGTATTATGACATGTTATTCACATGTTGTTACCTCAGGACAAACCTTAGGGAATACATTTTTTATTTTATTCTCAAACTCTTTTAATTTATGATTATTCTTTAATTATTTACAATATATAAATATATATCAAATATTTATTTATATAAAAGTACTATAATATTCATCATTTTAATTGAATCCCTTATCCTTATTAATCATTATTCTTTTATTATAAGTAAAGTTTCATCTATTACATATGCTATTTTCTATTATATTATCTCATTATATATAATTACTTTATATCCTAAGGTAACCCTTCAATTATCCAAGGATGCATCAAAGCTTCAGCTGCTTTCATTCTAATATTTGGATCCCATTATAAACATTTATTTACGAACTTAAATTATTACAATATTATAATACATCATAAAATATAGGTGATACTGATTAAAGTTATTCTTTTAAAGGTTTTATAGCAATTATTAAATCACTATCTTTTGTTATACTAAGAAGCTCATAATTTGCATTGAAAAACTTATGTTTCTTAGGACAACAATCTAAAAATTGATTTGAAGGTTTTCCCAATATTGATACTTAAAGAAATAACAATTCTTTTTCAGATTTCGATTGAAATAATGAATTTCCTAAAAAAAGCTCAGCTACAATACATCCAAAACTCCACATATCAATTTATGTTGAATAGGGTATACCAAGTAAAATTTCAGGAGCTCTATAAAATCTACTCTAAAAGGAAGTTTTATATTAACTACTTATATATAAGTGTATAATTTAGAATTTATGAAACAGCTAGACCCAAAATCGATTATTTTTATACCTGATCGTGTTATGTCTTTTAATAGTATATTTTCAGGTTTCAAATCACAATGAATTATATTACATTCAGATAAATACAAAAGTGCTTACAATATCTATATAGCAAATCTTCTGACTAAATCAAGTTCAAATCCTTAAAATTCATTTATTGCCAAAAACTCATAAAGATTACAACTCAATAATTCAAAAACCATACACTCTAATAATGATGATTATCATACTACATGATTACGAAATACAAAATAATTAAGCATCTTTATTAAACAACAACTATTATCAGCTTTATTAACAACTTTCAAGATTTCAATTTCAATAAATGCCTATTTTTAAAACTTTTCTTTATTTTTTATAACTTTTATAGCAACATTTTATTAATGCTTATGATCCATAACTTTAAACACATATCCAAAACTTCCATGTCCTAATTATTCTAACATTTCATAACGATAAACTATATGATCGTTTTATCTGAATATATAATCTCCTCTATTAAATAATATATAATAGTAATACTTTTCTGTATCAAATCCAAAATTATACTCCATTTCTTGTGGTAATACTACATTTTCAGGTCTTAAGTAATAGATAATATCAAAATCTTTAATTTCATTCTTTTCATACTCAGTCAATTAGGATTGATAATGTTCTAAGACAACTTAGGGTTGTTGAGGTAATTAAGGTTTAGAGGGTTTTGTGAATTTATATTCAATATCTTCCTTAAATGAATTTGCATTTTGAATTGTAAAATTATTATTGAATTTATAATATCTCTACTAAATATTTCCCCTTAATTTTTATTTTAAAGTTGAAATTCTCTATTTAACAGAGTCAGAAGTAATTTAAGGAATTTAATCTAACCTCTCATACATATGTCCAGATAATTTTTGTGATATACGGTTTTTCAATGGCTCATGAATTATAGGGTGTTTAGTATCAGGACTAGTTTTCAAGCTCTTTTTGGGTGAGTTATGTGATGTGAATAATTGAATAATAGGTTAAGGATTTTAGAATTAAGTGCTGAATCCTTAGAATTAATACAAATTAATTACGAACATTATCAAGGGAAACCTTTTCTTATGCTAAAATGTTCTTTAATTGATTTGTATGTAATCTACGACTATTTCGTCTACTAGTAGGATTAGTTTCATCTTTGGAAATTAGAGATACTAAATAAAATAAAAGTTTATACAAGCATTAGCTAAACTTATAGGCTTAGAATTAGGAGGTGACTTAATACTTGGTTAAGTATTTTGAATAGATGTATGTTGTGTATGTTGAGTGTATTATTTATTAGGAAAATACTCTTTAATTGGATATCGAATGTGTGTGCGATTAAAAGGAGTATGCAATGGGGTTTTGAGGTTGAATCCTGTAAATCTACGTGATTCTGATTCGTTTGTAGTTTTCTATGAAGTTTTAATGAATAAAATTACAATAGTTAGATCGCTCGATTTTTTCATTATAAATATGAGTTCTTTTTATTTTTTAGAAATAAAAATTTATTTGAGAAAATAAAATACTAATGTACGATAATATTACAACTGAACAACGACCTACACTATATAGAAATTCAGATTAGAAACAACAATATTAAACAACAACAACTAATGATTCTCATTTACATCATTTGACTCCAATGACAGGAATGAAAACATATGAATCACCATCAAAACCATATGCATCTCCTGAATAATAAACAATGGCATATACAACCTCACCTAATAATGTGAATTCATTTGTATCACCAATAAGACCCTAAATCTTGCAACCATAATTAATTTCACCTCAAAAACCAATCCCAACGTATATCAATTAATCACCATATATTCGACCATAATTTACATCAGTGTATCCTATTTAATTACCAGTTAAACCCACAATAGAAGAGATTCATATAAGTGAACATCCAGTTTAAGTTATCAAAAGAGATGAATTAGATAGAGCATATTAAGAAAAGATTTAAAAATTAGAAAATCAACTTAATAGTTTATAAATGGAGAATATTAAATTAAGAAGTGTTTAAGCTACTGAAAAAATATCAATTGGAGAAGATGTTACTAGAATAAATTAATTGAAAGAAGAAATATAAAGATATATGAAAATTACATTTGAATTATAATAAGAAATTGATATATGGAAAAAACGATATGCTGATTTTGAAGCTGAAGTTAGATTTCAATATGGAGTTGAATAAGAATTATCCAATACTAAAAGAGGTAATTTATTTGTATAATTAAAATATAGATTTATAAGAGACTAATATCATTTTAAATCATGAAATTAAGATGCAAAAAGATTTAGTTTTGGAATGGTAAAAGAAATATAAAGAACTTGAATTTAAGATTTTTGGATTCAATGAAGAAAGCAGTGTCATATAAAAGACTAAAGAATAATAAATTAGAGAATTATAGAGTAAACTTGCTTTAATGACAACAGAAGTAGAGAGAGTTAATGTCTTGAATGATTAAAAGAATAATGAAATGGAAAGATGGAAAGGAAGATTTTAAGATATTGAAACTGAATCATTAGATAAAGATAGTAGATTGACTTAATTAAATACTGAAATGAGTAGATTAAGATAAGTTATTGATAATCTTAATAGAGAAAATGGGTTACTCAAAACTAAAATTATCAATCCTACAGATTTTTAAAATAAAATCAATTTACAACAATAATAAATTGAATAATTATAATTGAAATTAAAATAAAGTTCGTAGGATTATGAAAATTTATATTAAGAACATAATTAATTACAATTATAAGTTTAATTGAATTAAGAAAATAAAGCATAATAATATAAAGATTAGATTGCTAAATTAGAACTAGAATTAAGAAAAGTTTAAAGAACTTTCTTGGAGAAGGATCAATAAATAAAAGAGTTGAATGAAAAAAATGAAGAAATGGAAACATTATTATAAAATTAATAGTCATCCTAATCAAAAACGGAGACTTACGTAACACATTATGTAAATGTATAAATTTTTTACTATATTTAAAATAGGAGGCAAATTAATGGAAAAAAAAATTTGAGGACTAAAATAAGAAATATTTTGAAGTTTAAGAGAAATTGGCATTTGCTGAGGCAGAATTATAATCAATTAAAAAAAGATAATAAACGTAGCCTAATGTCGCTCAAACAGTCTATGAAGTCAAAAATACTTCCTCAGTTAGGACAAATAACATGAATTAGACTGCCAGAATTCCATGAATTTATATTTTTTCTTAAATATTATATTATATTTTTAATGTTATGGCATATTCATGAGATTTGTCCGGTAATATTGTATATAAATCCTACTTTAATTTACGTATTCAAAGATTATTAAGTTTTTTTAAGAAAAACATTTCTCTATAAGCCTTGAAATGAACCCTTATTACTCTTACTATCCCAATACCTAATAAAACAGTAAGCATCTACATAGACTAAATTAGACTATTGGCAATATTACTAATATTGTTAAGCCCCTTATTGGTACTAGATGAACACCCAGTAATAGCAAAATATGTCATATCAAGTTGGATGTTAAGGCATCTCACAAATCGATTTAAATTAGTCCAATAATCTCCATCCTAATTAGATGAATGACATACAAAATTATGTCGATATGTAAAGTTTAGAGAGAATGAAGACTTAAAATAATATTGAAAAAACTGATTTCAAAGAGGATTTAGATTCAAAGAAAAAAGTAAAAAAATAAAGAGGTATGTAAATTCTTCTAGTATTTAGGTCACTGGTCTAATGAAGAACATTATAAGTTCTTGTAATTTGTTAGGCTGCATAGCGATCTCTTTAAAACAACTGTCCATAAAAAATTGAATCGTGTATTTAAAATGATGGCTGAAGAAATTTAAACTAGAAATGCTTGTTAATGTAGATCTCATTTCTCAAAATTTAATCCATTTATTGAAACAGTAAGAAAATTTAATATATTCTTAGAGCATCCTAAGAAGAAAATTGTGTAATGATGAACAAGTTTATGAAAAAATGTTTGAAAATAAAAACAAACTTGATGTGTAATGATATGTTTAAAAAAATCATAATTTATAGAAATATATATTTTAAATAATATAAATTAATTATAATATATATATATAAAAGCAACATATGTCATAACTTCTCTCTAAGATGGTATCATTTGCTGTTCCTATCGTAGTTTCGAACCACAAGTCAAAGTGAATTCAAAGTGCCAAGTATTATTTCATGATAATTTCATGAGCAAAGTAAAGCATTGCCAGATGATTTCGCGTTATAGATCTTAAATAATGACATCGTTTTAGTGTTAAGCAATTACTCTAATAATGAAGCCCTTAAAAATTTAATATAATTGTATATGGTATTACTTTTATTATAAAAGAATATAGGCAGGTGTAGAGTATTATAAGGAATGCGAAGATCGTGCACATGAGTACTTTGAAATTAAATTAAAAAACATATTTACTAACCCATCTATATTATAGCCATCAGAATAAGTTAAATAAGTAACACCTCCTGAAAAGAAGAAAATTGAAGTGCCTACAATTAATGTATAGTAAACTTCGTATTCATTTATGAATAAACCTAAGACATCAAAAAAACCTGATAATAATATACTTTCATTTAGTTTTTAAGAACCTGTTGTAGATAAATTTTTTTAGTGTGGTTCAACAATTAATAAGAATCCAAATAGTCAAAGTTTTAGTAAGATAATAAAAAATACAGACAGCAGTCATAGCGAGGATGAAGAGGAATAAGAAAAGCCTCATTAAAAAAATATAATAGAATAAGAGAAAGAAGAAAAAATTAAAGAGATTTAAAATTAAGTTATTGAAGAATAAATAATAATTTAAACAGAAGGTAGAGCTAAAGAAATAGCCAGTTAATTTAAAAAATAAGAAAGAAGAATATCATAGGTATTAAATGATGATATGATTATCAATAGCAAATTGAAGCAGGTATGAATGCATAAGAGACTAATATACAAAAAAGAATGGAAATGAGAAAACTTAGATCTCAATTTTCATTGCATAATATTAACAAAGCATAATCTACCCCAACAATTAAATAATTTAATTAGCATAAAACTCCATAAGATGATCCTAATTGTATACCAGAAGAAACTAATGAAATAGGTAGTGGTAAGTTATCTTCAAATAAGAAACATGTAGAAGTTAATTAATTTTAATTTAATGATGAGTGTAAATGAAACCCTAACTATTTATATTAAATTTGAATTTGAATTATCGTTGTTAAAATATATTAAAATATGAATTAATAAGTATCACATCAATCTAAGACATCTCAAACTTAATAATTCCTAGCATCTTAATTTTCTAAATTACCTGATAAATCCAAATTTCAGTAACTTATCCCTGTCTAATTACATGTTAATTGTTTTGAGAGAAAATAAAACGAAGGAACCGATAATAGATAATCACCACCTTAATAATAAAATTATTGTACAAAACCATCATAAAAACCTTAATAATCAAATCATAAATCGAATATGTCATTATAAAATAAAAGCAATTCACATATTGATTCTATTTAAGAGAAATTATAAGCTATGAATCATTAAAATAAAAAAAGAGATTATTCTCCTAATTCAGATGCAATTAGACAATTACTAAAAAATACTAAGACAGATTAAGATATAAATAATTTATTATGTAAAAAGCAATAAGTTTAAGATTAACAAATAATTTTAACTCCCATGACAACAAAATATTAATAAAAATCTCATTCTCCATTAGATATAAAAGAGAGTGTAGCTTAATTACTATAAAATCATTTTAGTATTTAAAATAAATTATAATTAGAAACAGATGTATCATCTCCAAAAGGAAATGGGAGTAATTAGAAATAAAAAAATAATCATTTTGGCCCATATTTATCTATTTAGTAATAGATTCAATAGTAAAAATTGAAAGGACATAGTTCTACAAATTCACTTTCATATGGAAATAGAAATCATCATCAACAATCCTTGTAAGATTCTAAGAGATCCGAGACAGCTGCGATAACCCCAACACCAAAAAGATTTACAACAACATCATAAAATACAGAGCATAGTAAAAGTAAATCTGTTGTTGAAGAATAATTGTAATGTATGAAAATAATGTAATTTGATAAAGAAAATCAATCCCATATCCTTAATTTAGGTTCGCCAAGTGCTTTTAGTAGTTCTGAACAAACATCAAGTGTATTATCTAATTATTTAAATGATAGATTGGAGATAGTATTGGAATGCACTTGTAATTTGGAGTCAAAACACTATCTCCATTCCCAAAGCCTCCTTAATAACCTTAAAGATTTTGTATCTATCATAAAGACAAGAAGGCTAAATATGTGACAGAAGAAGGTAATGAATATCTCTTTTTTTGTTCTAAATGTGCTGTTAAATTAGCAGGTAAAGGAATGTTCTTTACTGAAATTGCATAATTAAAATAATCAACAGCAGATTCATAAACATTTTCATTTTAATAAAGCTCTTTAGATTCAACCCAAAGATAATCATCATCTGTAGATATATAATTTAAAGAGAGAGAATTAAAGGTATTTTTATCATTGCTTTATTAAATTCAAAGCAATAGATAGGAATTGTTGAATTAATTGTCAAGTTAAGGAAATAAATTGTAAAACTATTATGAAAAATAAATGAAGATTTGTAGAGAAACAAAATAATAATTGTCAATCTTTTTAGAAGAAATATATTAGAGAAGTATAAATTAATTGTCTAATTCAAAATAATAAACATTATCTTTTATTACTAAATTATTTTAATAGTTGACAAATAATTAATTAGATACTAAGAAAACTTAGAATGAAATTGAGACTAATTGGAAAAGAGTTTTAGACAATATGGATATGACTGCATTTAGAGAAATCATGAATTAACATCATTCTAAATTTTCAAAGATTGGTGAATTTTAATAAGAAATTCAAAATTAATATATATAACTCTATTCAATGGGTTCAATGGATATATAGGCTACAATGTCATTAATTGCTTAAAAGTATTCTATTAAAATATTGGTAGTTTTGAATTAATTGAATCTGCTATTCCACTGATTTCAAATATTTAATAAATGAATAATGCATAACCAATTAGAACTTAGCCTACTCCACCAAAAAAGAATGAAGAATCTTTAAGTTAAAGAATCAAGACTGATTTAAGCAATTAAAAGAAAAATTCAGAAGCTAAATAATAAAACTTTTGTTAATATTTCAATGATAAAATAGATATGAATCAAAATGTATAAAATATAAGAGATAATTAAAAAATGATACCTTCACTTTCATCTCATAATAAAAATCTTTATGTTTCATTTGAAAATAAAGAAATATTTATGAATGCTTTAGAAACAGAAAAAAATAAATAAAATACTTGTTCAGAAGATGACAATGCATCTAAATAGCAAGCAATTATGATTTTATAATCATATAAAGGATCTCATGCAGATATTGAAGAAGAATCAATCAATATGTCACATGAATCTTAAAAATCTGCTCCACATAGTCCTGCATCTGGATAAACTAAAGAATCTGTTTAAAGAATAAATCCAACTTAAGAATAAGAATTTATTACTCTTGCAAATAATAAAAATGAAACTGTACCAAAAGAAGCATTTCAAAAATAAAAAAGCACTTTCCGAACACTTTTTGAAAATGAGGATTCTTAAGAACCTAACATTTAAATAAAAAAGGAAGCGACTGCTATTTCTCCAGCAAGGAGTGAAAAATTTAAGTCTTTCCTTAATAGAATATCTAATAGCCAATCTACTACTTAATAGTATATATATTATATATATAAATATTAATTAATTTTAGGTATTATCAATAGATACTGCAAGGTCATTAAAAAGTTATAAATGAAACACCTGATGTTAAAAAATAAGATTCATTAAGTTTTAATTAAATATAGTTTGAAGTTCCTGATACATGTGTTAAGGAAGATATGATGAATCTTAAAGATAGTTAAGACATCAAAGATTCTGTCCATCAAATTAATATGTGTGATGATCAATAACATCTTAGTGATTATGATGACGAAAAAGAAGTTTAAGATACCAAAATGCGATATGTAAATTAGGGAGATGAAAGGAAAGAATAATATTAAAAGACTTTATTTTAATCACCAATGTTTAAAGATCATTGAAATTTTTAGTTATAATAATTAATAGACATTTTCAATTAATTTATATTACATTTAGTATGATTTATACTATTATAATTATAAAATCAATTCATTTTTTTAATCAATTCTTAAATTCCTTAAAGATCTTTAAGTAATTCTGACTGACTTAAAATTTTCTCATCTTAATTATCTTCTTTAAATTAAGAATATCTCATTATCAATATACTTTCTCTCTTTCTATCTTCATACATAGTTTCTGCTATTAAATCTTATTCTTATTATAATAATTAATTTAATTTAGTTTCATCTTCCATTGAATCTGATCTAATAGAATTTCTAAATTAAAAATACTATCCTGCAACTGATTATTAATTTTATATTCCACTTAATAAAGATATATTAATTGGATCTATTTAAGTTTTTCTCATTTCTTTTATATTTGCATATGATTATTAATCTATCAATGATTCAAATGGAAGCTATATTGGATAAACTGCTTTAAAATCTCCCATATTTTATATATGAACATTTTCTATTCTAAATATATTCCATACTGTTCTTCTACACAATTCTAATATGGCCATTAATAAAGAAAATAAAGGTGACCAAACATGAATTATTGATGCCATATTTGGTGATATTGAAAGAATCCAAGCAAAACGAAGAAAGAATTCCAAAATAATACCAATATAATAAAATATAGGTTTAAATGCTATTTAATTTCTAAGATATCTATGTTTTGAATTTATTTAAAATAAACCCCAATCCTTCTTTATATCCCAAAAATATGCATTACAAGCAAGTAAACAAAATGATATAATCCACATTATAAAATAAATATTACCAAATTATGATAAAAATGAAAAAACTGTTACCATTGTTACTTCTATATATATCATAATAACAAATATATCATCCATAGTTATTTTCTTAGCATCATAAAAACATCTTCCAATTTGAACAAATCTTAAGAAAATAGGAATTAAACATACTATTAAACCTATCAATAGATTTTTAGGATCACCACAAGTAGCTTAAGATTTATAATCATCTGTATCCTATATGTATTTTATATAAAAACAAACTGTATAACCAAAATCCTTGAGCATTAATGCTAATGATAATAATTAATCTGTTGACCAACCATTAACAAATGGACAATCAAAAAATCCTGCTAAAATACTTGTGTATAGAATTCTCCAAAAGTATTTTCTACCTTTAGCATTCAAGTACTTTTTTGAGGGCCATATCATATAAAGTAACATGAATATCCATAATATTAAAGGTCCTATTGCAGGATCATAAACTATTTTATCTGTTATGTAATCTTACAGGTATAATTTACTATCCTTTTCCTCTTCAATATAGAGTTCTTTTTATAAACTTAAAATCAATATTGAAAAAAACAATAATGTTATAAATGCAGCTCTTCTAATTAATTAATTAATTGATGAACTATGATGTTTAAAATTGAAAATTGATCTATAACCAACATGGCCTTTAATCCAACAGTATACACAAAATATGAGTGACCAATAATATAAAATCATTAACCCTATCCCTCTGAACATTGGAAAATATAAATCATAGTAAAATTGACTATTTATATTGTTATTTAATACTTTTAATAAAAGTTATTATTTAATTAGTTTCTTCTTGATATTATATATAACAATAAGCAAAATGAGACCCCTAAATATAACCCTATCAATAATTATTCTTTTCTTGTAAATCCTTTATATATATTATGATATTTTAATTTCTTTATATTATTATTCTATTTTTTAGTTGAAAGACAACGAGAATATAACAATTTCAGTTTCACTTGAATTTTTTAAATATCCTAACGATTATTAAAAATCTATAGTTCATTATTAACACTCTGCATTTTCTATAGGTTGAATTAAGGATCTTGAATGAAAACTTATTTTTTGTACTTTTTCAATACTTTTTATATGACTATCTGATTATACTTTGCAAATTACTCTAAAAGATTGCATTCTAAATAAAGCATCTCGCAATATTACTTCAAAATATACAATTTTGATTTAACAAGTTAAACCTTTTGTAATTCTTAGTAAATGAATATGTTATAAATTAACTTTCTTAATTTCACTTATATTTGCTATTTATGTAAATTATAGAATAAATCACACTTGTTCATATCCCTGCAAAGTCTTTCTACCAATTTTTAATTTAATTATTCTAATTCTGGTCCACAATTCATATCTTAAATTATCATTGAATTATATGCAAAAGATGATTAAGTTTTATTAATAGATTTCTTTTTTTCTTAACCTAGAAGATTAATCTAGAAAAATGGTTGAATTAACATTTCCATTAAGGTCTAATTAATATATATTGGTTTCCATTCAACCACTTTTTCAATTTTCATAATTTATTTATTTAATAATTAGAATGGAACCATTAAAAATATATTTGAGAATCAAAAGAGAAAATAGAGTATTCTTTTTTGAATGCTCATTACTTGATCCAGTAGAGATCTTGAAAAGAAAATTATTACCTTACTACAAATAGGAAATCTAAGATATGAGAATCTATTTGGGAGATAGGGTAAGCCAATATATAAATCATAAATTAGTTATTGGATGATAAAGCAAATTTATAAGATTAAGCTGTTCCAAATGATAGTTGTTTAATTTTAAAATTAAGAAAGGGTATGTCTGGAGAATGGGATGAATGAAATATTGTTTTTAATATAAACTTTACAAATAGTTCCCAAATCAAATTTTACACCTCATACTTACTTAATTGAATTATTTGAAAGCGCAACGTTTCATTAAATAAATTTTATATTTCCAAGTCTAATAATAAGTTTCATCTTATTTCTAAAAAAATTAATGTCTATTATTTTAAGTGATTTCTTATAAAAATAATCATTTTGTTAAGAATTTTATCTTAACATTTAATTTTTATAAGACAAACAATATTTTTCTCTAAATTAATAATCAAGTTTCAAACTTTTATAATTATATTTAATGATAATCAAAATAACTTTATAAATTATAAACATAAAACAAAGATTAAATATGTCAACTCATAGAAAGTAATTTAATTGAGGATGACTTTAGAAACATTTTATCATGGATTAATTTTTTATTAATATGAAACATGCTTTTAACCTATGAATGTTCAGTTTTGCATATTCTTTTCTAGGAATATGTTTAAGTATTGGATCTCATTATAAACTATTGAATAGGTCTTTTAATAAAGATATCAAAATTTCCTTACGAAGAATTTTTCTTTTTAAGATAGGCAAGAGGTTCCTTAGACATTACACTATCATCAATTGTATTTGTTTTATCTATTTACGATAAAATCGGCAGCTTATCTAAAATTGGTTTACTACGTAATATTGATATTCGAGGTCTTGAAAATCGTTTACACTTTTTAAAAAGTGGATTATAACTAAAATATGTTAGCAACAGACAAACTGCAATCACACATCTTTTAAATCGTCTTCGTATTTTATTTACATGCATCTTTATTTTAAACAATCCTCTTTATGTTAAACGTTTATATTTAAGACTCATCTCTCCAAAATTAGACCCTTAAGAACTTTTAGCTCTCTATCTAGTTTCTTCTTCTTTGATCTTTGATTCCATAAAAGATCGATTATTTTAAGTTTTAAATAAAGGACGAGCATACTGTTTACGATTAGGCTTAGAATTAAGGAGCGATTTTAATAAAGGATCAAGATGGACTATTTTCTCAATTTACAAACGAATCGCTTGCATCTTCAAATTATTCATATATTCCTCCTGGTTTTTAATTGTTATTGTTCGGATATTCTCATTAAAGATTGCATTTCTTTTTAGAGTTACTTTCCTTTACATTGCAGATACTAATTTATTTTAAATCTTAAATTATATTTAGATTTAATCAAATAACTAATAAATCGCAATATCTCAATGATTATTATTCAAATTTCCAAATATATATTAATTAATATAAAATAAAATATGTGATATTATCATAACACAATTAAAGGACAACATAATTAATTTTTATGAATTAAAGGTTCCTAATTAATTATAATAATCATTAACAGAGACTAAATTACATCAATAAATGATCAAAATTATTTATAGTTTTTTATTCACAAAGATTGATTATTTAATACTTAACTTTAAAAAAGCTTTTTAAATTAACTTATTCTTTGATTGTGTAAATTTTTATTACTTTTTTTATTTTTTATAATTCATTTAAGAAAAGAATATCAAAATTTTAAAATTATTTAAATGATCTTCCTTTATCTATAAATTTTTGGAGTGAAAAACAAAAAAAAATTTTTTAAAGTTATTAAGTTTTTAGGTAAATATAATAAAATAATTATATATTTTAATATTGTATTTCAAAAAAAAAAATAACTAGCATAAATATTTTAAAGACCAATATTACACTATTTAAAATTAATTACTATTAACACTTGTAGATTTATTCATTAAATATAAAAAGATCAATAGATTTTTTAGGGTAATAGACAGAACTTAGATAAAAATTATCATTAAGAGTATTTAATTTAATAGAAAAAAAGAATATTTTCTTTTATTATTAAATTATGCTGTTATTTATTATTAAATAATTGTAAATTTAATTCAGCTTATGTTAATACTACAATATACAGGACTAAAATTTATCAACACTTTAAATTATTTTGAGATAGTGTATATAATATATTTTAAAACTAAATATTTAATTGCAATTGAGAATTTAATAGATTTTTCTGATTGATCTGATCCTTGCTGTTTCTGTTTATAAGAACAGTTCCTAAAATTAAAATTTTTGAAGATTTTGATCACAAAAACAAATTAAATGTTAAAAACCATTTAATTTTAAAACTTAAGAATAGTTAGATTGGGCATAAAAAACAATAGTTCATAAAAAGGGTAGCTAAGAAGTAGAAAAGAAAATGAATTGAGAGCAGAATTTTAAGTTTTTGATATTTAAATAAAAAAAGGATTTAAAAGAATTAAATTGAAGTGTAGCAATAGAAGGAAAAGTAGATAAAAAATCATATTGATTTAGAACTGTAAAATTTTTGAAAAACAATTATAGTATTTTATTATTCAAATAATATTAATAGTCTAAAAAATAATTGATATAAAAATACATTAAGTTTCGTTTTTGATAAGTTTTAACATTTAAATAATTATCTTCAAAACTATTATTGTTTATAATAGTAAATCAAAGGAGAAACATGTTGAGTATTTTAATTTTGAAAATGCTTCAATAAAAAGGGATGATTATTTTTGCAGATAGATAATATTAATTTTAAATTGTTAGAAAAAGTGAATTCTAAATTAGCATAAAACTTGATGGAGTTTAATCTTAAGATTCATTGTGGCTGATTAATTTAAATAATATTGTCATGATTGAATTATTTCGTTATTGCATTTTTATTTTTAAGAATGGAAGGGGAAGATTTAGTACCAAGCGGTGAAGGCGATTTGTATGATTGATGTCTTTTTTGATTTCTATCGAATATCCAAACTTAATTTTTGAGACTAAATCTAAGTTCTTTAATTGGTTTGCTTCTGCTTTCTTCTGTATTCAATATTTATCCAATTTCATCTTTATCAGATTCTGGTAAAAGCATGTCAGAATCATCCCCATCTGTTTTGATAATTTTTTGACTTAATTGCAGTTGGCTATACCCCAAGCTTTTCATGTCTATAATAAATAATTGTTTATTTTTGATTTGATATATAAAATAGATTATTAAATACAAATAATGATATTGTGTTTATGGTAATTGTAATGTAATTCATTTATCTTTTGAAGTGAATTAATTTTAGCAAGAAACAAGTATACAAAAGGTGTAAATGATATAAGGGACTAAAGGTAATGCATTACTTTCTTCAGTAGCACATGCATAAGTATTTCCTGATACATACATAATAAAATGGGAAGGTTTTTTATTATCTTCAACTATGAATGATAATGGATTAATACTTTCATTATAAATCTTAGCATTTTCAAGGGCTGTGCCTTTAATTAATGCATTATATTAAATCAATAGTAAACTTATACAAGAACCAATCATTAATGCAATTGTACCTTATTGACCAAATATATAGCCTGTTAATAACAAAGTTAAAGTGAGAAATGAAAAATTGTAAAAAACATGAAGGATACTTTGAGAATATTTAATTTTTGTAAACTCGATTATACGATTATCTGAGAAATAGTTTAATTTTCCTTCCGAATCATTAGAAGTTTGACAAATAAACTAAATTATTAATATTATTACATATGTTTTAGCAATATTAATAATTGCCCAAATGTTGATTCCTCTGCAAACAAACATAATTGTAAATCCAATAAATATTCCAATGATTCCATTTAAATTAGTAAAAAGGGAAGCCAAAGATGCAGAGTATTAATAAAGTTATGAACCAATAATCCCTAAAGATATCAAAATTAAAGTTCCTGCATTAGTAGCTTTAAGATAGATCATATAATTTGTAGCTTCCCAATAAATAGCAAATACTCTACCTTAAATTTCTGATTTGAAATGAACAAAACAAGTTAACTTATATGATTCAGATGAATTGCATCCTATCTAGTATATTATACCATAAATGATATATATTGATATGTATCCAGATGCTGCAAATAATAATCCAGCAAAACCATTAATCGAATAAACCATAGTTATCAACAACAACATTAAAACATTGGGTATTGCAGAAAACAAATCTCCTAGATAATTAGAATAAATAAGATTCATTGACATAATTCGATCACTTGTTGCTAATCCCTAATTAAATTAAATAAATTACTAGATTACGAACTTTAGAACATCCATGTGATGTATACCATTCAAACAAACTTATATGAATTATGTTAAAAATCAATCCTAACAAATAACACCAGCATGCATGAGTTGAGGACTTTCCAGAAAAATCAATCTCCTTACTGTTATTTCCTTTCAATGTAAATTTAGATATAAGAAAATTAAATGGAAATGTAACGAGAATAATAAAAGAAATCAATGCTCCTATTATTACTTACCATCTAACATTAATTGCTGTAAATGATGGTGATTATTGATCTCTACAGATAGTTTTTAATAAATAACAAATTATAGAACCCAAATAACCTAAACTCACTAAATAAATTGGTCCCAAAATGAAAATATTTCTATTCTCACTTTCCAATACTTCTGGACTATTTATAAATAATTTAAACACTGAACAACTTAAAAATACTAATATTAATCCAGTATCTATGTAATTTACAAGAGTATTTCCTGCTTACTATGAAACCATATAAGCCAATCTAGTTAATTAAGAGATATTAGAATTTCCAATACTTAAATTTACATCAGATTTTATTAGTCCAATAGTTGCAGTTTTAAATGATCTACTCATCAATGATAATCCTTCTCTATATATAAATCCTCCTAAAAGTAATCCCATTAGATATCCAATCATTAATATTGATATATTTTCATATTCTTTTTATTTTAAATCACCTCCCCAAACTGCAATGTTAAAGAAATACATCAACACATACATTCCCAAAAATAAACTTAAAAGTAAACTCAACATCGCAAAACCAGATGAATACATGTAACTATAACAATCTTCTCTACAGAATGATGCCTTTTTAAATTTACTTTAATACCGATATCAATGCACGGGTTAAACCTTTTCCAGTCGTCAAAATGATTAAATGTGAAAATAACACCACTGTTATAGCCCCTACAATTGTATTAAATATGAATTAGAATGGATGTTCTATAAAGAAAACTCCAACGACTATGAAAAATAGAAATAAAAGTAAAAGCATGTATAACAACTAACCAAGCCATAATCTCTTAATAGAAGTTTCAATAAAGTCTACAATACTTGAAATATATATTGGTTCCACTGAAGGTCTATAAGAATTTCGTTATATATCATCCACTCCCAATAATCCTTTCAATTGATCACTTAAAAAGGACTACTCATCTTTATAATGAGATGGGAAACCCTAATTCTAGAAATGTCATTCTTACTTATGCAATCAAATGAATAAAGTACCAAACAATTCCAATTATAAAAACCAAAATTATCACTAACAAAGGTCCTAACGAACTCATTATTTAAAAAGAATTAAATTAAATCGCCATTATTTCAAATTAATTACAAGGGCTTTGCAGAATTCTTGATCTAAAAATAAAAAATCATCTTGAAAAAACAGATTTTGGGAGGAGAATAAATAAACAGTTTTAATATAAATTAGTAATTGTTCAATAAATTAAAACAATATTAATTCATTACTGAAAAATATAGAAATTTATTTAGAACTAAAATGGATGATTGAACCATATAGTCTTGATTCATTTAAAATTTAAGTATCAAATACTAATATCATTTTTATACATTTAATTATACCAACCTAATTAAATATTAAGAATACTCATTAAACATTTAAATACTACAAATTGATATCTATAACAACTTTAGTCAGAATATATTAGTTTAGATTTAAATGCGATGAATTTAGTGCATTTTCATTACAACTATTTTATTTCTTAACATTTTATATATAATTTAAAATAATGAATCATTATGAATATTAAGACTGCTTTGATGATTCTAGACTTTAGGACCCATTCAAATAAACAGCCACATTTTTCAATCCAAACTAATCAACACTAAAAAATTCTATAACAAGTTCCAAGGGATCAGGAAGACCACAAATGGATTACACATTTAAGCCTACTTAAACCCGCCTAACTCAGCATGAGTCTCAGTAAAGTTTGAGCAAACGAAATAATGTATAAATTACGCAGAACAAGCTAAATGTTTAACCATCAAAAATCACGTACCAAACTAATCCTATCTAGTTCTCCTGTTAAAGTTGTAAAACGGTTTAGTTAAAAGCCCCAATCTCCTCCTTAACTTTACGAATCTCGTAATAAAGTTACTTATTAAGAATAAATCAAAAGAATTAAGGAAACAGACATACGAGATGAATTCATGCATTAAAATTTATAAAAAGATGTATAACCTCCAAAACCTATTAATAAAAATGCTATAGGCTCACGTATGCTTAGATCAAAAATGGATGGGACTATCAATACTGCTGATTCTGCAGCTAGAGTCCAATTTCACACTAATTAAAATGAAACAGATAATGTTAGACTCTCATCTGATTAAATGGACTTTCCCAGTTATAAGAGATCTCTCCTGGAATCAGATCGTTTTAATAATAGATAGAATTTAAATGACCTTCTTAAAAAAAGTAATTCAACTGCATTTCTTCCTTAAATCTAACCTAAATTGTAATAAGCCAAAAATATACCTTATGGCTATGGACCAGTATCACAATAAGATACAGCCATAAGAACTAACTCATCCAAATAAACTATACCAGCAAATGAAATATTATATGCTCATCCTGAGGATTCTTTGATGAGAAAATCAAAAACTGCTTAAGAAACCCTACGTGAATAGGGAAGTTAATAAACTCAGGGCAAAATTTAGTATAAGTTAAATAGTGCCGAATCTCAAGATGTACTGCCTTAAATTCATTCTCCAAATTAAGGAACCTAGTAAGGATTCTCTTAGAGTAAAGGCCGATCATTTTTGTAGAGAAAACCATAAGCTAAGATAATTAGCAGATTATTTTCATCAAAATCTGATAATAAAAATAATTGATATTTATAATAGATGTGTGGATTAGAGAAAGAAAATCTTAGTAGTTTAAAATATTCTTTTCTGAGTCTTTAAATTTGGTTTATTTACTTACTTTTGATTAAGAATTTCTACTATATTCTTTCTTTGATCTAAGCATTTCCTAAATTCTGTTGGTAATAAATAATAATTATTCAATCTAATTTTAAACTAATTATATAAAATATTCTTTTATTTTCTCTAAAATTATTTCACAACCACAGAATTAATTTCTGTTTAGAATAAACATCATTTTTTATTTTAAATTCTCACATATTAGAATAATCACCTTAAGATGGCAGTCAATCTTCAAAATTTAACCAAAAACAATTATTAAGTTGTCACATAAAACCTAATTAATTTTAAGGAAAAATGGTAGTAAATAAATTATATATTATTAATAAAATTTTTGAATAAAATAGACAAGTTCATCGTCTACAATATTTTTTCAAACACCTTCTAAAATAAGATAAAAGAAAAGAATTAAACTACCTCTAGAGTTGCAATTTTATAATAACAAAATAATGTTTCCAAATTTTTGACCAATAATGATAATTTGAAATATTATAAATGCTTTCATTTACACTTATTTAGTTAAGGTAACTATTATGGAAATTGAGTTAATAAAAAGTAATAACTCAAATATACTTAAAAGTCCTTTCTTGGAGCAAAATGTAGTTAACTTTATTGTTTTGAACTATTCAATATAATTTTATATTAAATTTTTAATAATTAGATTTAATATAGATTGGTTGGTAATAGAATTTAATAAGTATAAAAAGTTCAGAGATGAGAGCCAAATAAATTTTAATTTCTTGAAAAAAAGAAAAATTTGTCAAGGTCTTTCATAGAATTTGTATAATGGTACTTACAGAAAGATTTGGCACAATGATTTTATATTCTGTATTTTATGATCTTAATGATTTGATATTATTGGAGGTACGTTTAAGGAGTTCTGGAATCAATTGAGATTTAACTTAATAATAAATTCTGAGTATCATCTTATCAGGTAACTATAATAGTGCAATATTTAAAGATACTTTTTAATAATTGAATTATATTAATAAAATAAAAATATGAACTTAAAGCAATCTTTATTTCTTTGGGTAATAATGACCATAGTAGTCTAAGGAGATACAGCTATTAATTAACCTAGCTAAACTGATTAAGGACTTTATGCTAATAATCCTTAATATGCATGTTTGCCAGGTATCAGTTGTTTTGCACAATAGGTTCTTATTTCAATGGATAAATATGCATGCCATGCCAATAGGTAAATGGAGGCTATTGCTATTGTACATCGACAAATCCATGCATATATGTGACATGTTCTTAAGGATATTATCAAATCGGATAGTAATAATTAAAATAATTTTAGAACTTGTATTTAACATCCAGATACAAACTGCTTAAGTGGAGGTTTCGCAGCGGATGGATCAACAATAGTGTGTTTTTAATGTAATAGTTAATCTACTCAAATTGGTATTTGAATATTTTAATTTAAGGTGGAATATGCGTTCAAAATAATAATTGTAAAACTTTTAATATAAACACTGGTATTTGCACTATTTGTTCTGATGGGTATTATAATGTGTTCCCAACTTACATGCCAGACCAATTTAATGGAGCATAAAGTTCATTTATTTACTCCAAATATTTTTAAAGTTTTAATTCGTGTTTGCCATGCAATCAATATTGTGCAACTTGTTAATCAGAGTATAATATTAAATTTATAAATTTATAGCACATATTGTAACTCATGCATTAAAGGTTATTATTTAAACAATAATTAATGTCTTCGTTGCTCAGATAAATTAATAAAATGTGAGGCTTGTCCAGATGAAACAAAATGTACAGAATGTGGAGTTGGATCTTATCTTAATAATGGAAGTTGCATACTTTGTACAACACTTGACATAAATTGTTCAGCCTGTTCTGATTCATCAACCTGTACTTCTTGTGTTTCCACAACCTATTACACAAGTGGGAAATAATGCATTAAATGTTCTGATACAATAGGATATTGTAAAGAATGTTCAAGTGGAGACAATTGTACTAAATGCACAACAGGATTCTACTTAAAAAATGGAGCATGTTTTCTCTGTTCTACATAAATGGTAAGTTGTATGAGTTGTACTGATGGTAATACATGTACATCCTGCTCTGATGGAACTTTTTTAGATGGAAATTAATGCTCAAAATGTGTTTTAGCTATAAGTAATTGTGAATATTGTTAAAATGGTACTACATGTACTACTTGTAAACCTAAATACTATTTAAATAAGAATGTCTGTAGTTCATGTTCAACCAATTGTGAAAATTGTATAAACACAGCAAGTTATTGTACATCTTGTTCATCAGGCTATTTCTTAAATGGAGCAACTAATACTTGTGATTAATGTGATACTAATTCACAATGTTTAACATGTGTAAATAAAGCAGATAATTGTACTTCTTGTGTTCCAGGTTATTTTAAAGATGGAGATAAATGTAGTCCATGTTCAAGTAAATGTTTTACTTGTACTGGATCAGTAGATAATTGTACAGATTGTTATGTTGGCAGATTTCTTAGTAATAATAAATGTTCACCTTGTTATGTCACATGTCTAGATTGTAAGAATTCTGAAAAGGAATGTTCTGCTTGTGCAAAAGGTTCCTATTTGAATGGCACTACATGTACACCATGTTCAATTACATGCTAAGAATGCATAGATTCAGACACAAAATGTACTAAATGTTATGATGGAAAATACCTAAAGGACAATTAATGCACAACTTGTGAATATCCTTGTTCTAATTGTAGTGATTAAACTTCATGCTTATCTTGCGTTCCTGGTTTTAAATTAAGTAACAATAATTGTGTATAATGTACTTATCCATGCTAAACTTGTAATAATGATGGAAGTTGTAAGACTTGCGCTATAGGTTTTGAATTTGACGGTACTAATTGTTAGGAATGTACCAAACCTTGTACTACCTGTACAAATAATTAAAATGGATGCCAAAGTTGTTTAGTTGGTTTTTATTAACATGATAACACTTGTACTAAATGTTCAGATGAATGTGCTGCTTGTATTAATAGTGCTAGCAATTGTACTGATTGTTATGCAGGAACATACTTAAATAATAATACCTGCTCTTAATGCAAAACACCATGTGCTACTTGTCTAACTTCAGATACTTCTTGCCGTTCTTGTGTTCAAGGATTCTTTTATGTTGATAAACCAGATTATAAGTGTAACCCTTGTTCAAAATCATGTGTTGCATGTTCAGTTGATGATAAAACTTGTTCAACATGTCAAAGTGGTTACTTTAAAAGTGGTAGCATTGATGGCCCATGTAATGCTTGCACAAGTCCTTGTTTAACTTGCTCTACTTAAGCCAATTCCTGCGATTCCTGTGTAGACGGATATTATAAGTCTGGAGCAAATTCTTGTGTTGCCTGTAAAGAACCTTGTGCAAGATGTACAGATAACTAGGATAAATGTCTAAGTTGTGTTTATGGATACTTTCTCAATGGAAATAGTTGTGTTTAATGCACTTTACCTTGTACTAATTGCCTTGCTTCTTTGACGGATTGTACAGCCTGTAATAAAGGTTTTTATTTGACAACCAATCCTAATCAATGTAAAAACTGTCCAAACATATGTACCGCATGCAGTTCTGATACAGAATGTACAGAATGTGTTTATGGATATTATGCTAATAACAAAACATGCACTATCTGTCCAAATTAATGTGCTGATTGCAGTGATGCAAACAACTGCACTGCCTGTAATAAAGGATACTTTTTGGATAAAACCAATCCGAATGCTGTTACTTGTAGTAATTGCAATAATCCTTGTTATGGTTGTTTTGATAATGCAACAAAATGTTCAGATTGCGATAATGGATTGGTATTAGATGAAGTAAACCATACATGTAAATAATGTTCTCCAGAATGTACTACATGCCTTCAAAATGATCCAAAAAATTGCCAAACTTGTGCAGATGGATATTATTATAATAATAATAATTAATGTCTTTAGTGTAGTAATTTATGTAAAACATGTGATTAAAACAATAAGGATTTTTGTACAAGTTGCTACGATGGATTTTATTAACCTAATGGACAAAATACTTGTAAAGTTTGCAAACAACCTTGCCTGACTTGTAAGTCCTAGCAAGCTGAAGGTGATAATTGTCTCACATGCTTTAAAGGGGATTATTTGGATAATAGTACAACTCCTCCATCATGTGTATAATGCGTATACCCATGTGTAGAATGTTAGGATGAAAATACATGTAAAAGTTGTTAGAAAGGATATTTCTTACCTGATCCTCAAAGTCCAAGTGCTTGCTAAATTTGTGATCCAAATTGTGATAGTTGTGAAACTACAAAAACAAATTGTACTGCTTGTCCATCTGGATACTATAAAAACACAAACACCAGCACTTAAACAAGTAATTGTGTAATATGTACCAATAATTGTCTCACTTGTTCTTCAGATACTTAATGTATTAGTTGTATTATTGGATATTACAAAGACTCAAATAATAATTGCTTAAAATGTGCAAGTACCTGTCTAACTTGCGATGGAAGTAATAATTGTTAATCCTGTCCACTTGGATTATATTTAGATGGCACCACCTGTGATAAATGCCCAAATATTTGTGTTGGTGGATGTACATATACCAATAGCACAATATAGTGTAGTGATTGTGTGTCTGGATATTATTTGAATTCTAATTAATGTACAATATGTGATAAGAAATGTTTGGAATGTTCAGGATCAGCAAACAATTGCACAAAATGCGATAAAGGTTTTTGGAAGAATACAACGTTATAAAATGATTAATGTTAGCCATGCTTGACAATATGTTAGACTTGTGATGTTGCAGCTAATTCATGTTAAGCTTGTATAGACGGTTACTATGCTAGTAACAACAAATGCGAGAGATGCCCGCTTTCTTGTACAAAATGCACAGCACTTGATAATTGTAGTGAATGTGCTGATGGATATTATAAAAATAAAGTCGATGAAACACACTATAATTGTTAATAATGTATAAGTCCAATGGTAACCTGCGATTCGGATAAAACTTGTAAGACTTGCCTTTCAGGATATGTTTGTAACAATGGTATTTGTGATTAATGTGGTTATCCATGCCTAACTTGTTCAGAAAATCCTTCCAAATGCAATGATTGTGTTTCTGGATACATCATTAAAGAAGCCAATAAATGCGATCCTTGTACTTTCCCTTGCCTTACTTGTATAGATGCTGATCTTAATAAATGTGATAGTTGCCCTCCTGGATATTATAAGGATGTAAATTAATGTTAGAAATGCTTGAAACCATGTTTAACTTGTTCAGATGCCTCTACATGCATAGATTGCATCGATGGATTTTATAAATCAAATTCAACATGTTCCAGGTGTAAATTACCATGCAGTGTATGTACATCAGAAACAGATTGTAAAGTTTAAGAAAATATTAATAATTGCATATCAGGATATTTTTAAAGCGGTACAATATGTAAAGAATGTCAGGAGTTTTGTTTGACATGCACATCCACTTCTAGTGGAGATTGCAAATCTTGTATCACTGGATATCATTTAAATAATGGAGATTGTACACCTTGTACTGAATTTTCAGCATAATGTCTGTAATGTAATGATAATAAGAATGAATGCACATCATGTCTTAATGGTTACTATGTTGATAGTTCTTAAACTTGCCAAAAATGTACAAATAACTGTCTTGAATGTACAAAAGATGAGTGCACACATTGTCTTCCTGGATATTACAAAAATGGCACACCTGATTGTCAACAATGTTAAAAACCTTGCAATATTTGTAATTCAGCAACTGAATGTACTGAATGTGCTGATGGTTTCTACATTGATGCTTAAGGTACAAAAGGATGTTCAGAATGCTCAACACCAGGTTGCATAAAATGTCCTAACAATGTATGTAGTGATTGCTAAGCACAATTGATTGATGATAATAATTGTTCTTAGTGCAAATTACCTTGTAATACTTGCTAGTCTGCAAGTCCAACTACTTGCGAAACTTGTGTTACTGGATTTTTCCTAGATAGTAATACATGCAAACCCTACGTTTTTCCATGTAACTCTTATTAGACGACGTCAGGAACTTCCACTTGTGACGGTTGCTATGGAGGTTATTATCTGGATAATACTAAAACTTGTAAACCTTGTGATATTTCTTGTTCAACCTGCATAGAAACTTCAACTAAATGCTCAAAATGTACAACAGGATATTATGGAAATACTGAACCAAACCCTGCAGAATGTACTTAATGTCCATCAGAATGTTTAGAATGCAATGCTGCCAATTAATGCACAAAATGCAAGAATAATTTTGTTTTAAAGGTAGATGATGAAAGTGGTCAAAAATTATGTACAGGTTGTTTAAAAGGATTTTATAAGAATTCTGAAGCATGTACTTAATGTAAAGCAGGATGTATTGATTGTTCTTCTGATACTATCTGCACTGAATGTTGGATAGATGGTGGATATTATAAGAGTGGTGATAATTGCCTCAAATGTGATAGAAGTTGTCAAAAATGTGATACTACTTCTACTAAATGTACCGCATGTGAAACTGGTTATACACTTTAATCTGATTAATGTAATGCTTGTTTAAATGGATGTACTTCTTGTATACCTGGAAAATATTTAAATGGTTCAGATTGTTTTGATTGCTCTGGAGATTGCGCAACTTGTGAGTTTTCAGGTGGAGCTTAAACTTGTCTTACTTGTAAAGCTATGAATTATAAACCCGATACTGGTACAAGTTGCATTCTATAATGCTAGGATAACGATGAATGTAGTTTAAATTGTGTAAAATAATGCAATACATCTAGTACAGAGTGCAGTGATAATGGAGGTTATAATAATAGTGGTATATGTACAAAGTGTAACTCTGGGTGCACTAAATGTATTAGTTAGGATAATTGTGAATAATAATGTAAAATTGGATTTTCTGGAACAGATTGTAAATTATGTTCAACTGGTTATTATGGTTCTAGTTGTCAACCATGTAATATTGGTTGTATATCATGTACAGCTAATGCAGATGATTGTAATTCTTCATGTAAAACTGGATTCTCTGGACCTGATTGTAAATCATGTTCAGCAGGATATTATGGTACAAATTGTCAATCATGTAATTTTGGTTGTAAATTATGCTCAACAAATGCAGATGATTGTCAATCTTAATGCAAAACTGGATATTCTGGAACTGATTGTAAATCATGTTCAGCTGGATATTTTGGTTCAAATTGTCAACCTTGTAATATTGGTTGTTTATCATGCACAACGAATGCAGATGATTGTAATTCTTAATGTAAAAATGGATTTTCTGGAACTGATTGTAAATCATGTTCAGCAGGATATTTTGGTTCAAATTGTCAACTTTGTAATATTGGTTGTTTATCATGCACAGCTAATGCAGATGATTGTAATTCTTAATGTAAAAATGGATTTTCTGGAACTGATTGTAAATCATGTTCAGCAGGATATTTTGGTTCAAATTGTCAACCTTGTAATATTGGTTGTTTATCATGCACAGCTAATGCAGATGATTGTAATTCCTCTTGTAAAACTGGATTTTCTGGAACGGATTGTAAATCATGTTCAGCTGGATATTTTGGTTCAAATTGTCAACCTTGTAATATTAATTGTAAATCATGCTCAGCAAATGCAGATGATTGTTAATCATAATGTAAAACTGGTTTTTCTGGAATTGATTGTAAGTCATGTTCAGCTGGATATTTTGGTTCAAATTGTCAACCTTGTAATATTAATTGTTTATCATGCACAACGAATGCAGATGATTGTAATTCTTCATGTAAAACTGGATTTTCTGGAACTGATTGTAAATCATGTTCAGCAGGATATTATGGTACAAATTGTCAACCTTGTAATATTGGTTGTTTATCATGCACAGCTAATGCAGATGATTGTAATTCCTCTTGTAAAACTGGATTTTCTGGAACGGATTGTAAATCATGTTCAGCTGGATATTTTGGTTCAAATTGTCAACCTTGTAATATTAATTGTAAATCATGCTCAGCAAATGCAGATGATTGTTAATCATAATGTAAAACTGGTTTTTCTGGAATTGATTGTAAGTCATGTTCAGCTGGATATTTTGGTTCAAATTGTCAACCTTGTAATATTAATTGTTTATCATGCACAACGAATGCAGATGATTGTAATTCTTCATGTAAAACTGGATTTTCTGGAACTGATTGTAAATCATGTTCAGCAGGATATTATGGTACAAATTGTCAACCTTGTAATATTGGTTGTTTATCATGCACAGCTAATGCAGATGATTGTAATTCCTCTTGTAAAACTGGATTTTCTGGAACGGATTGTAAATCATGTTCAGCTGGATATTTTGGTTCAAATTGTCAACCTTGTAATATTAATTGTAAATCATGCTCAGCAAATGCAGATGATTGTTAATCATAATGTAAAACTGGTTTTTCTGGAACTGATTGTAAATCATGTTCAGCAGGATATTATGGTACAAATTGTCAAACTTGTAATATTGGTTGTTTATCATGCACAGCTAATGCAGATGATTGTAATTCCTCATGTAAAACTGGATTTTCTGGAACGGATTGTAAATCATGTTCAGCTGGATATTTTGGTTCAAATTGTCAACCTTGTAATATTAATTGTAAATCATGCTCAGCAAATGCAGATGATTGTTAATCATAATGTAAAACTGGTTTTTCTGGAATTGATTGTAAGTCATGTTCAGCTGGATATTTTGGTTCAAATTGTCAACCTTGTAATATTAATTGTTTATCATGCACAACGAATGCAGATGATTGTAATTCTTCATGTAAAACTGGATTTTCTGGAACTGATTGTAAATCATGTTCAGCAGGATATTATGGTACAAATTGTCAACCTTGTAATATTGGTTGTTTATCATGCACAGCTAATGCAGATGATTGTAATTCTTCATGTAAAACTGGATTTTCTGGAATTGATTGTAAATAATGTTCAGCAGGATATTATGGTACAAATTGTCAACCTTGTAATATTGGTTGTTTATCATGCACAGCTAATGCAGATGATTGTAATTCCTCTTGTAAAACTGGATTTTCTGGAACGGATTGTAAATAATGTTCAGCAGGATATTATGGTACAAATTGTCAACCTTGTAATTTTGGTTGTTTATCATGCACAGCTAATGCAAATGATTGTAATTCTTAATGTAAAACTGGATTCTCTGAAACTGATTGTAAAACACTCTAAGTTGGTATTATAGAATGTAATATTGGTTGTTTATCATGCACAGCGAATGCAGATGATTGTTAATCATAATGTAAAACTGGATTTTCTGAAACTAATTGTAAATCATGTTCAGCTGGATATTTTGGTTCAAATTGTCAACCTTGTAATATTGGTTGTTTATCATGCACAGCTAATGCAGATGATTGTAATTCTTAATGTAAAAATGGATTTTCTGGAACTGATTGTAAATCATGTTCAGCAGGATATTTTGGTTCAAATTGTCAACCATGTAATATTGGTTGTTTATCATGCACAGCTAATGCAGATGATTGTAATTCTTAATGTAAAAATGGATTTTCTGGAACTGATTGTAAATCATGTTCAGCAGGATATTTTGGTTCAAATTGTCAACCATGTAATATTGGTTGTTTATCATGCACAGCTAATGCAGATGATTGTAATTCTTAATGTAAAAATGGATTTTCTGGAACTGATTGTAAATCATGTTCAGCAGGATATTTTGGTTCAAATTGTCAACCATGTAATATTGGTTGTTTATCATGCACAGCTAATGCAGATGATTGTAATTCTTAATGTAAAAATGGATTTTCTGGAACTGATTGTAAATCATGTTCAGCAGGATATTTTGGTTCAAATTGTCAACCATGTAATATTGGTTGTTTATCATGCACAGCTAATGCAGATGATTGTAATTCTTAATGTAAAAATGGATTTTCTGGAACTGATTGTAAATCATGTTCAGCAGGATATTTTGGTTCAAATTGTCAACCATGTAATATTGGTTGTTTATCATGCACAGCTAATGCAGATGATTGTAATTCTTAATGTAAAAATGGATTTTCTGGAACTGATTGTAAATCATGTTCAGCAGGATATTTTGGTTCAAATTGTCAACCATGTAATATTGGTTGTTTATCATGCACAGCTAATGCAGATGATTGTAATTCTTAATGTAAAAATGGATTTTCTGGAACTGATTGTAAATCATGTTCAGCAGGATATTTTGGTTCAAATTGTCAACCATGTAATATTGGTTGTTTATCATGCACAGCTAATGCAGATGATTGTAATTCTTAATGTAAAAATGGATTTTCTGGAACTGATTGTAAATCATGTTCAGCAGGATATTTTGGTTCAAATTGTCAACCATGTAATATTGGTTGTTTATCATGCACAGCTAATGCAGATGATTGTAATTCTTAATGTAAAAATGGATTTTCTGGAACTGATTGTAAATCATGTTCAGCAGGATATTTTGGTTCAAATTGTCAACCATGTAATATTGGTTGTTTATCATGCACAGCGAATGCAGATGATTGTAATTCTTAATGTAAAAATGGATTTTCTGGAACTGATTGTAAATCATGTTCAACAGGATATTTTGGTTCAAATTGTCAACCATGTAATATTGGTTGTTTATCATGCACAGCGAATGCAGATGATTGTAATTCTTAATGTAAAAATGGATTTTCTGGAACTGATTGTAAATCATGTTCAACAGGATATTATGGTTCAAATTGTCAACCATGTACTTCTAGTTGTATATCATGCACAGCTAATTAAGATGATTGTAAATCTTCATGTAAAACCAGGTTTTCTGGAACTGATTGTACATCATGTTCACCAGGATATTATGGTTCAAATTGCCAACCATGCAATATTGGATGTTTATCATGCACAGCTAATGCAGATGATTGTAATTCTTAATGTAAAACTGGATTCTTTGGAACTGATTGTAAATCATGTTCAACAGGATATTTTGGTTCAAATTGTCAACCTTGTAATATTGGTTGTTTATCATGCACAGCGAATGCAGATGATTGTAATTCTTAATGTAAAAATGGATTTTCTGGAACTGATTGTAAATCATGTTCAACAGGATATTATGGTTCAAATTGCCAACCATGTAATATTGGTTGTTTATCATGCACAGCGAATGCAGATGATTGTAATTCTTAATGTAAAAATGGATTTTCTGGAACTGATTGTAAATCATGTTCAACAGGATATTATGGTTCAAATTGCCAACCATGTAATATTGGTTGTTTATAATGTGCAGCAAATGCAGATGATTGTTAATCGTAATGTAAAACTGGATTTTCTGGAATTAATTGTTTAACATGTTCATTTGGATATTTTGGCAAGAATTGTTAATAATGTAATGAAAATTGTAAAACTTGCGACACTTAGTCAGCTAATTAATGTACTTCCTGTTTTCCCGGTTATTACTAAGATAATTAAACTTGCACTAAATGTATAAATAAATGCATAACTTGTACAAGTTCTAATTCTTGTCAAATTTGTATCTCTGGTTATTATTAAGACTCTTCCAATTGTTAATAATGTGATTATCCTTGTTAAACCTGTACAGATAAACAAACTTGTTAAAGTTGCTTTTTAGGTTATTATACTAATGGTAATTCCTGCTCTAAATGTAACAACGGTTGTGATCAATGCACTCAAGAAGCTTGTCAATAGTGTAGCACTGGCTATTATTCAAATGGAAGTCAATGTACTATATGTGAATTCCCATGTTTATAATGCACAGCTTAAACTAATGCCTGTTAAAAATGCTTTTAAGGCTATAAATTAGATAATTTTAGTTGTGTATAAATTATTTCTGAATGTGAAACTTGGTCAACAGATAATACATCAACTTGTGATAAATGTATAGTTGGATTCTATAAAAATGATAATGGTCTCTGTGTTAAATGTTCGGATTATTGTAAAACTTGTACAAAAGATAGCTGTTAAGAATGTTTACCTGGTACTTATAATAATGGATCTAACACCTGTATATAATGTGTTTAAGGATGCACTTAATGTACAAGTGAGAATATTTGTACATCCTGTATTGCTGGATACTATCCAAAAGATGATTCAGTTTGCTAAGAATGCCCTTAATAATGTCTATAATGCACTGATAAAAATACTTGTTCTTAATGTCTTGTAGGTTACTATCTTGATGGTAATGCTTGTTCTGAGTGTACAAGCCCTTGTAAAAATTGTTTTAAAGATACTGATGGAGTTTTGAAATGCTCTGCTTGCACTTAAGGGTATCAAATCAAAGGAACTTCTTGCGGATAATGTCCTGATTTTTGTTCAGTTTGTAATGTTGAACTAAAATGTTTAGAATGCTTGCTTGGTTATTATCCTGACTCTGGAGATGGAAGTTGCAAAAAATGTATGAATTTCTGCTCGGTATGTACTGCATCAGATACATGTAATACGTGCTAAAATGGTTATTATTATGATAGTCCAAATAAAAAATGTAATCAATGTGAAAGAGGATGCAAAACTTGTGATTCTACTTAATGTACATCTTGTGTTAATGGATTTTATGCTGTTTCTAATAAGTAATGTTAACAATGTCCAAGTCCATGTTTGACTTGTTAAGATACTACCGGAAATTGCAAAGATTGTGTAGATGGTTATTACTTTGAATCTCCTAATTGTATAGAGTGTATTAGTCCATGCATTAAATGTTCAGGGGCTGGTAATAATTGTACTGAGTGTGAAAAAGGATACTATGTAGATAATGGTCAGTGTACATAATGTCCAACATTATATTCATGTGAAACATGCACCAAAGATTCCTCGGATTCAATAATAAAATGTACTTCTTGTCGCTCAGGATATTTTATTGATGGAACCAATAATAGTGAATGTCGTCCTTGTGATACTGCTTGTTAATCTTGTAGTACTGGATCAAAAATTTGTTAGTCATGCATAGCTGGATTTTATCACACAGCAGATGATTAATGTTCAAAATGCAGTTTAACATGCACTCAATGTACAGCCTTTGAAGTTTGTTAAGAATGTGCAATTGGCTATTATAAAAATGGGGATTCATGCACTCTGTGTAATCTTAATTGCAATGACTGCAGCAACATTTCATCCTGCAAGAGTTGTGTTTCTGGATATTTCTTAGAATAAGATGGTTCTACTTGTAGTGGATGTACTGGAAATTGTGCAACTTGCTAGAACTCTGCAACTAATTGTCAATCCTGTATCTTAGGATATTATGGTAAGCCAGGTTGCTCTAATTAATGTGGTGGTTAATGCTTATATTGCAAAGATGATGGCACATGTCAATAATGTTTTCCTGGATATTATTTAGATAATTCTAATAATTGTTAACCATGTGACAATAAATGTACTACTTGTTCAAATAATAGTCCCACTTATTGTTAATCTTGTACTACAGGATATTTCCTTAATAATAATTCATGTGATTAATGTTAGAGTCCATGCACTGGATGTGAATTAACAGCTGATAATTGCAGTAAGTGCTAACCAGGTTTTGTATCAATAAACACTAAATGCTTGCAATGCAATCCTATTTGTAAAACATGTTCTACATCATAAGATAATTGTGATTCTTGTTATGATGGGTTTTATTTAAATAATGGAAAATGCAATTAATGTGCTGAACCATGCTCAAAGTGTACTTATACTGACCCTGGTCCTGCTAATTGTTCTGAATGTCCTGATGGATACTACCTGAATAATAATAATTGTTATGAATGCAAATAGCCATGCATAACATGTGATCCTGGAGATGGTCATCAATGCAAAACTTGTATTGATGGATTTTATAAGGATCCAAACAATCCTAGTTGTCCTATTTGTAATTTCCCTTGTCTTACTTGTCATACTGATGGAGACACCTGCGACTCATGTATTAATGGATATTTCTTTGATAAAACTTAAAATTCTCCAAACTCAAAGTGCTAATAATGCCCAACTCCTTGCTTAACTTGTATATATTCAGAAACGGCATCAAATACTGTTTGCTTAAGTTGTATTTCTGGATTCTTCTACGATGTATCAAAAAATCCCGCTATTTGTACCTAATGTGAAAATCCATGTGCCACTTGTGATAAGTCTGCTACTAATTGTACATCATGTAATGACAAAGCATTTCATTTAACCTCAACGTCTCCAAAAACATGTACTTAATGTACTGACCCTTGCTTAACATGTCTAGCTGATACAACTTAATGTCAATCATGTCTTCCTGGTTACTATTTAATATCAGGTCAAAATAAATGTGGAGAATGTACAGATAATTGTCTTACATGTATAAATTCGGGAAATGAATGCTAAAGTTGTATTGATGGATATTTCCTATCTGGCACCAGCTGTAATAATTCTTGTAATAGACCATGCAGTAAATGCAATAACGATGCTCAAACATGTACCGGATGTATTCCTGGCTACTATTTATCTGGAAACAGCTGCCAATAATGTACATCTCCATGCGCTGTTTGTACATCTGCTGCTTGTGATAAAGGATGTATTAATGGCTATTTCTGGGATACTTAAACATCAACTTGTTTATTTTGTGCTACTGCTTGCACATCTTGTGTAACTTCAGCTACAAATTGCTAAAGTTGTTCTTAAGGCTATTATCTAAATGGGGGTGGAAATGAATGTAATCCCTGTTCAACCCCTTGTAAAGAATGTATAACAAGTGCTACTTAATGTACTTCATGCAATATAGGAATGTATAAGAAGGGCACTGGTGCTGATGCTACATGTGAATATTGCCCATATCCATGCATTGTATGTGATGATTCAAGTACATGTAAAACTTGCGCTGTTGGTTACTCTCTTAAAACTAGTGATAATTCATGTGAACAATGTAAAACTCCCTGTTTAACATGCTTAACATCGGCCACTGCTTGTGATAAATGTGTTAATGGTTATTACAAAGATACTAACGGCTGTACAATATGTTAAAATCCTTGTTCCACTTGTACAAGTTCAGGAACTAATAATTGCTAATCTTGCGATATAGGTTACTATTTAGATGGAAGCAAATGTTCCCCTTGCACAAACCCATGTTTGACTTGCTCAAGTAGTGATATTTGCTTATCTTGTGTTGATGGATACTTTTTGGAGAATAATTAAGCATGTAAGCCTTGCTCAATAAATTGTATTACGTGCATTGACAACTCAGCAAAATGTCTAAGTTGCACGGATGGATACTATTTAAATGGTAACAATGTTTGTGAATAATGCAATAATCCTTGCCAAACTTGCACTATTACAGCAGATAATTGCCAAAATTGCCCCGTTGCTTATTTCAAGGATGGAACAACATGTACTCCTTGCGAATACCCTTGCTACAATTGCAATAATCCTAAAAATAGTTGTAAATCTTGCGTTGATGGATATTATCTTTCATCTACTTCCTGCCTTCCATGTACTGATCCTTGTGCTAAATGTACAAGTTCAACTGATTGTAAAGATTGTTTTCCAGGATATTATTTTGATGGATCAAAATGTTAAGAATGTTTATACCCTTGTACTATATGCTCAAGTCCGTCAAATTGCACAGCTTGTGATTCTGGTCAATATTTAAACAATAATTCATGTGAAAAATGTAATTCTAATTGTCTAACTTGTGAAAAATCTGATATAACTTGTTTAACTTGTCTATCAAATATGTATCTAAAAGCTGATAAAACATGCGATTATTGTTAATCACCTTGTTCTTCATGTTAAGGATCTGCAACTACCTGTAAGACTTGTATCTCAGGTTATTACTTAAGCAATAGTTCTTGTCTCTTATGTTTTGCCTCAATCATGAATTGCGCGACATGTGATGATGCATCAATTTGCAAAACATGTACACCAGGCTTTTATTTGAGTGGTAATCTATGTTTACCATGTTCTACTTCTGTTGATGCTTGTAGAACTTGCTAGATGACTTAAAGCAGCTATTCATGTAGTGCTTGCACAGTTGGGCTCTTTTTGGACGTCAATACATGCAGCAAATGCCAAGATACAAATTGTCTCATATGTTCAAGCACTTCATCAGCTTGTACCCAATGTTTAACTGGATATTTCTTGGAAAATAATGCCTGCATTAAATGTAAGACTAATTGTACTTCCTGCACAAGTGCAACTACTTGTTCATCATGTCTTGTAGGATATTAGTTATCCAATGATTCATGTAATAAATGCAATGATACTTTTTGTACCAACTGTGTTAATTCTGCTTCAGATTGCTCACAATGCTTTATAGGACATTATCTAACTTAGAATGGATGCACTGCATGCCCCAAAGGATGTGCTGCATGCAAGAGTCCCACTTTTTGTTCTTCTTGCCTTTCTGGATATTATCTATCCAATAATGAATGCAAATAATGCTCTTCAGATATTAATGGCTGCTTAGCATGTCTCAGTAACAAAAATTGCACAACTTGTGATCTTACATACTATCTTAATAATCAATCTTGTTCTTCATGTGTAGCAGGCTGTAATGTTTGCACAAATCAAAATCAATGCATTGTTTGCATGACTAAATGGTTTTTAGATTCTAATAAAACATGTACTAAATGTCCTACCGAATGTGCTACATGCTCAAGCGCCTCAGTTTGTCTTACTTGCGTTCCAGATTATAAACTACAAAATTCATCCTGTATGAAGTGCACAGGTTATTCAGTTCAATGTTCAGAATGTACTAATGAACTTTGCTCTAATTGCGTCACAGGATACACTTTATTATCTAACAATACATGTTCTATTTGCCCATCAAATTGTGCTTCTGGATGTACTAAAAACTCTTAGTAAAATTCATCCTTTTAAACTATTTGTGTAGTTTGTCAAGACACTTATTATTTAAATGAAAATAAATAATGCACTTCATGTAATATTGGTAATAATGGTATCTTAAGATGCAAATATGACATAAACAATAAAACGATTACTCCAACTCAATGTTAAAATAACTATTTCTTAGTTAATAATTAATGTTATTTAGCTTCAACAAATAATACATGTTAAAAACTATTTTAACCTAATGAGGGTACTTAAATTGATACAACATTATGCTAAGACTGTTGGCCATATTATTTATAAAGCAGCTAAATTTGTTATAAATGTGATAATTGCGCTGATAATAGTTGTTCATTAGATCAAAATAACAAGCCAGTTTGTAGTTTATGTGCAAATTATTATTACAGTGATTCAAATAAAATTTGTTAATAATGTGTTCCAAATTGTTTTGTATGCACAGCTTCAGGAATAGAAAATTGCTAATAGTGTGATGTTGGGTATTTTAAAACTTCAAGTGCTTGTATTGCTTGTACAAAAGACAGTAAAAATAATAATACTTGCTTGAATTGCTCAAATGAAAATACATGTTCTACTTGTATTAATGGTTACTACCAATAAAACGGATAATGCTTAGCTTGTTAATATGGTTGTTTGCAATGCTTATCACCAGGCAATGTTTGTCTTAGTTGTTTAAGTGGTTTCTATTTATAAAATGGAGGTTGCGTGTCAGATTTAGGAAATTGCTTAGAAAATTAATAAAATTAAACTAACGGTTGTTATGTATGTGCATATGGTTTCTATCCTATTAGTGGTTGGTTATCATAAGCAGGTTAATCAGATGTAGTAGATAACTCTTGTTTATAATGTGTCTATCCTTAAGCAGCGGTATTTATTATTTATTACTTAATTAGTTTGTTTGTAGAGCCAATCCATCAGAAAATTAAGTAACTGGTGCTTCTTATGGATCTGTATCTTCAGTTAAAAATCCCAATTATTTCAAAGCAGCTCTTCCCTTAAGTACGACAAGATAAACTTCACCATCATGCAAGATTGGATCTTTTTGGACTGGATAAAGTTGCATGCCTTGCCCCTTGATTGATAATGGAATCTGTGCAGCTTGCACTAACTTTACAACTTGTAATTCAATTTAATGTAATCCCTAATATTACTTAATTACATTAAAAAATAGCTAATAATGTGCATCAATACCAGCAGGATGTTCTGAAATGTAGTATTCTGATAAATTGATGTCTTTGGGATGCACCAAATGCAATTCAGGATATACTTTAATCGGTAATATATGCATTTCAATTAATGGATGTTTAACAATAGATTAGAATAATGGAGCTTGCACTCAGTGTACAAATGGCTATTACTTTAATTGGGATTTCATTTTGCAAAGTAATAAAGTTTCATTGTCAACTAACACATATTATTATTAACATTTCAATCCCTTTTGTAGTAAATGTTATACAGGTTGTGCATTGTGTCCATCATAATATACATGTACTTAATGTTTACCTGGATACTTTTGGTATTAATCAACACTTATAACTTATTAAAACTCTTTTAAGAGTTATACAAATGCATAAACAAGTGCTTCTGGATAATGTGTTGCTTGCCCTAAAAATTGTTTGACTTGTGCAAGTACAACTGTTTGTACTACTTGCAATACTAATTTCTAAATAGATCCTAACTCAACAAATGGCGATTGCACATGCCTTTCACCTTATACATATAATCAAAATGACTAAACTTGTATTCAATTGCCTACTGCAAATTCTACTTGTTCTTTTGTAGGATGTATATAGTGTAATTCTGATTACACTTAATGTCAAGCATGTAGTCCTTAATATGCTTTAACAAGTCCAACTACTTGTACTTAATGTTTGAATTGCAACTCTTGTTCTACTTAAAGTGGAACTTCAAACCCATCTTGTTCAGAATGTGCAGATGGATATTACAAAGTCTAGGCATATGATGGTGCTCCAATCACTTGCTAATTATGTTCTTAATCATTAAATAATGCTTTAAGATGCTAGGGTCCTTTAGAAAATTAAACCACTTTAACCATAATTTAATGTGCCGATAATTATTATTTATTTGGAAATTCCTGTTATTCAGTTGGAATCTCTAATTGCTTTACGATTACCAATTCTAATAATCAATCTTGCTAACAATGTCTTCCTGGATTCACACTATATGGAAATAATTGTGATTAGTGCAATAGCAAAATTTTAAATTGTTTGACTTGTACTTAGAATTAGGATTAAAGTGGATTGATCTGTTAATCCTGTGTTGCTGGTTATGTTTTAAATACTGATACAAATTCATGTTTATAATGTCCTAATGGATGTTAGAGTTGCGCAATATCTAATTCTACTGCTCCATATACATTCACCTGTAATAGTTGTGCTAATGGAAACTATATTGATGTTAATGGAAATTGTTAAGGATGTCCTTTTGATTGCAAATCTTGTGATTCAAAATATGTAATAATTTCTATTTATATATCTTTAGACATGTAAAACTTGTAACGATGGATACTATTTAGTTCAATCATCTATTAAATTCAACTCTAAATCCTATACGTTTTAACCCTGTTATCCTTGTTAAAATAATTGTGCTACTTGTACAGTGCCTACTGGCAACATTTGTTTGACTTGTTAAACTGGTTTCGTTCTTTAAAATGGTGGTTGTATTGATTTAACTTTAAAAATTCAAAATGATCCAACAACTTACAGTTTGGCTAACTGTTATACTTCTGATTCATCTGGTTGTTCAGTATGTTTAGCTGGATTTTTCTTGGATTCATAAAAAGTCTGCTAATAATGTGTTTCACCTTACTCTAATGTAATCATATTTTTTATATTATTAGTTTGTTTGTGGATTAAAAGCAGTCTCTCCAACTAATCCAACAACACCAACAAATCCAAATAATTCAAATTCTACTAATCCTGTCCCTCCAATTTAAATCGGAGAAACACCTGTTTAACCTGCGATCAAATATAGTTTCATGTTTGGAATACTTATTTTGATAGCCATAAATTGAGATATATATTGTATCAATTAAAGTTATAATAATGTCCATTTTATAATTTTCTTTTATTTAAATTTTGCTTCATCTCATTTACCAAATCTAAAATTTACTTTAAACTACTCATGTTAAGAGGATAATTAATTTTATTTTTATAATTTATTACAGCCTAAAACTTAAAATCCTTTAATGAAAATGATTTAGGCTTTAACATTAAAATATAGAAAGCATTTTTATCAGATTAAGTTAACTGTTAGGAAAAAGACATCGAATCAACCAAAAAATTTGATTTTTTTTTCATCTTAATAAAAGTATTCTATTATTGTTGTCCTGCTTGATAAAAATATGATTAACTATAGACTTTTATATTTTTTTCTTTGAAAATTTAAAGACTCGTTTAAAAATTTGTTTCAGAAAATCTAAAATACTAATAAAAGAATAAAAACACAATTAAGATATATTATAATACTAATCAAATTATGAACAAGTTAATTATTATAATTCAGCGAGTATATATAATAAATATTATGGATAACTTTAAAAATCAAATTTATTTCAATTCTTCAATTAAACAAAAATGATAATTTTTATATTTTCATCTTGTACTTATTTTAAATAAAATATTTGCTTTTAAAATTTGAAAGAAATCTAACAAAAGTTGTTTTAAAATTTTTCTAATATTTTGTAGTGAATTTTTAAATTTATTTTTTTTATAAATATTTTGAAAAATCATTCTATGTTAATACAAAAAAATGATAATTAGGAATTTTTAATCAAGAAACTTCNATCTATTAAATTCAACTCTAAATCCTATACGTTTTAACCCTGTTATCCTTGTTAAAATAATTGTGCTACTTGTACAGTGCCTACTGGCAACATTTGTTTGACTTGTTAAACTGGTTTCGTTCTTTAAAATGGTGGTTGTATTGATTTAACTTTAAAAATTCAAAATGATCCAACAACTTACAGTTTGGCTAACTGTTATACTTCTGATTCATCTGGTTGTTCAGTATGTTTAGCTGGATTTTTCTTGGATTCATAAAAAGTCTGCTAATAATGTGTTTCACCTTACTCTAATGTAATCATATTTTTTATATTATTAGTTTGTTTGTGGATTAAAAGCAGTCTCTCCAACTAATCCAACAACACCAACAAATCCAAATAATTCAAATTCTACTAATCCTGTCCCTCCAATTTAAATCGGAGAAACACCTGTTTAACCTGCGATCAAATATAGTTTCATGTTTGGAATACTTATTTTGATAGCCATAAATTGAGATATATATTGTATCAATTAAAGTTATAATAATGTCCATTTTATAATTTTCTTTTATTTAAATTTTGCTTCATCTCATTTACCAAATCTAAAATTTACTTTAAACTACTCATGTTAAGAGGATAATTAATTTTATTTTTATAATTTATTACAGCCTAAAACTTAAAATCCTTTAATGAAAATGATTTAGGCTTTAACATTAAAATATAGAAAGCATTTTTATCAGATTAAGTTAACTGTTAGGAAAAAGACATCGAATCAACCAAAAAATTTGATTTTTTTTTCATCTTAATAAAAGTATTCTATTATTGTTGTCCTGCTTGATAAAAATATGATTAACTATAGACTTTTATATTTTTTTCTTTGAAAATTTAAAGACTCGTTTAAAAATTTGTTTCAGAAAATCTAAAATACTAATAAAAGAATAAAAACACAATTAAGATATATTATAATACTAATCAAATTATGAACAAGTTAATTATTATAATTCAGCGAGTATATATAATAAATATTATGGATAACTTTAAAAATCAAATTTATTTCAATTCTTCAATTAAACAAAAATGATAATTTTTATATTTTCATCTTGTACTTATTTTAAATAAAATATTTGCTTTTAAAATTTGAAAGAAATCTAACAAAAGTTGTTTTAAAATTTTTCTAATATTTTGTAGTGAATTTTTAAATTTATTTTTTTTATAAATATTTTGAAAAATCATTCTATGTTAATACAAAAAAATGATAATTAGGAATTTTTAATCAAGAAACTTCAGAAAATTAGATAGTTCCTTTATAAAGATCAGTTAATTAAAGCTGTGAATAATGAGTAAGTTTTTTCAAATTTAGATAGTAGTTTATGATTCAAAGATATCGCAGAGGATAAATATATAATAATAAAGTGGAATAAAGAAATTTATAAGAAGCGAATAAGAAATTAAGAGAATTATTATACAAGAAAACTAAGAATGGCGAAAATTAATAGATTCTTAAATGAAATTCTTTTAGAAATATATGTTACAGGAGATGGATATGAAATTAATGGAATTTTAAGGGAATGATTGAATATATCTTGATTAATAATTTTTTTAATAATAATGAATAAAGTACTCATTGCCTCAATTCTAGTGATAGGAGTTTTGGGACAATAATCACCACCTTTGGATTGCACATATTTAAGTTGTTTAGCTACTGGCGCTTTAAAAGTTTCATAATCAACTCGTCAAGCATATATTTGCATGGATGGTATTATTCTATATTAAATAAAAGGTTACTATTGGGCTGGGCAATCTTGCTAACCTTGTCAACCAATAGAAGGAGGATTTTATAAGTGCAACGATTATTACTCGACAGGGTCTTTAACTTGTAGTCCAGGATGGACATAGCTTAATGGGTAGAGAATTTTAATTAAAATTTAGTATATGTGTAAATATGCCAAATGGATGTTTGAGTTATTCAGTAAACTCTTCAGGAAATGCATATGTTTGTGGAAAATGTGATTAAGGTTTTAGTTTGATAGCTGGAGTATGTGTTGAGAATTAGGCTTGTACTGTTTATAGTAGTACTCGATATGTATGTACTTAATGTGCAACTGGATATTATTTGGATTGGGATTATGTTCCTGCAATATCAACTTCATCAGACTACTACTATAATTATTTTGATGGTTTTTGCAGTCCATGTGGGATCACTGCCTGTTAAAATTGTCCTTCAAAGTATATATAAAAATTAATATGCTAGAAATACTTGTACATAATGTGCAGCTGGTTTCTTTTGGTCATTCAGTGGTTTGACATCAGGATCATAAACAGATGGATCTGGAACATGCCAAAAATGTTTAGACTTTTGTACAAATTGTAAAAATGGTTCAACATGCAGTTAATGTGCGGATGGATATTACCTTAGTACAGTAAATGGAATAACAGTAAAATAATTTGATAATAATATTTGATAGACTTGTGCATCATGTTTACCAAGTACTACTTGTATAAAATGTTCAAATGGTACATCATGTTCAGTTTGTGCAAGCGGATATGCATTGATTGGTTCAACAACATGTTAAAAATTGGCAGAAGGATGCACTCAAATGGATAATAATTAAAATTGTACAGCTTGTATCAGTACATATGTTTTAAATTCTTAAACACCAAAGACTTGCACTCCATGTGGAACAGGTTGTGCAACATGCACAATAAATAATACAACAGTAACATGCACAAAATGTTAAGAATTCTATTATGGAGTAAGCACAGGTGGAGTAGTTACATGTTCGGCATGTAGTTCATTCCCATAATCAACTGGATGGTTAAGATGTGGAGGTCCAAATGATGTCCCATCTTACACAACAGTTTAAGTTACTCAATGTGTTGATGGATATTTCTTAGTAAATATTACAACAAACAATATTACTACTCCAACTTGTATAGCTGCTGTTTAAATATAAGGATGTTTAACTTTAACTAACACTTCTACTAATACAAATAATGTGTGTGCTACATGTGTTAGAAACTTCAGTCCATATTCAGGTGGAACTTGTTTATCCTGTCCACCATAATATGGAGCTAGTACATAATTATCCGCATAATGTAATAAATGTAGTGGTACATCCACAACTGATATTTAATGCATTGGATGTTCATCTAAATATTTCTTATAAGCAGCAAGTGCAGCCTCTACTGCCACTTGTGCAACATGTTCACCAAATGGTGGGTGTTTAGAATGTTCTTCTAGTACTAACTGTACAAAATGCAATACTGGATTCTATCTATCTGGAACCACCTGCTAACCTTGTTAAACTAACTGTGCATAATGTGATAATTCAACTGTATTTACATATCTAATTTCTAGTTTTGTAAAGCCTGTATGGATGGTTACTTCCCTTACTCAGGTACTAAAACCGCTTAAGCTGTTTGTGTTGCTTGTTAATATGGTTGTGCCACTTGTACCTCTCCAGGATAAGTCTGCTTAACTTGTATTGATGGATTTGTCTTCCAATCAGGAGGTTGTGTTCCTCTTAATAATGCCAATTGTGCTCTTAAATTGAATTCTACAATTACCACTGATAAACCCTATTCTTCTTCAGGATGTTCTATTTGCAAATATGGATTCCATATGCTCCAAAATCGTTGTTTCTAATCCGTCTAACCTTATGCTGGGGTATTCATTTCTTTTTTATTCTTTTAGTATGCCTATGGATAAACAACCAATGTAACTACTGATTTGAACTACTAAAATGACACTAAAGTTTATGCACATTTATTAGTGGCTAGTTTTATCATGTTTGTTTTCACATTATGATCAATTATAATATATCATAATCATAAATATTTAATTGTTTATATTTGAACACATATTAAATATCAAACTTCTTTACGAGGACCCCATTTCAACTTTTATAATCTCTATTTCATTGAGAAATTTTATCTCTTCATATCAAATTTTATGAAAGACTTCTTTATTGGCTTATCTCTCTTATATCTGTACATCATGTCATCCTAGTTATCAGGCATTGGTTCTCCTCTCTCTTTCATATCTCTCACCCATGAATGCATATTCTTCATCTGGCTGAATTGACTCAATACAAAATTAACTTATTGCACCTCTACTTAAGCAACCATCGCTATCTCTTTTTTTTACTTTTTTATTACATTACAAATACATCACCCGACAAATCTTCTGGATTCAACAATTCCTCATCAAACATCGCATTTAATACTTATTTTTATAATGTCAATTGCTATTCTGTTTCTTCGTTTCCTGAAGATATTTAATACTTGAATCCCTTTTTTAATTTGTGTAATCCATCTAATGCTCTCTATCTAAAATCAATAAGTGTAAATTGTGGCTATGTGCATTTTTTGTTTATATACTTTGCTAGCAAGAAATTCCAATTCTTTTTTGAACTCCTATCTTTAAGTGTCTTGTTGCTTCTTTTATAATTTGTCCGCAAATCGATTAAATTCATAAAAACGTTAAAACTATAATTGCATGACCTTCTATGCTAATTATTTGATCATTATTATATTTTTTATATTATTTATTTATTTCAATGACTTTCTTTTTTGCCAGGTAACAATTTTGATAATTTTGACATAAAACCGTGTTCATCTGTTTCTCCTTCTGGCAATTTGAAACTCTTCTTTATTTTGTAATAGGGAGGTCCCCAATTCTTTTCTAAGTAAATGTCAATAAAGGCTTTCTTGAAATTCTTGCACCAATTATAATATCTTTTATAGAATAAACCATTTACCTTAAAGCAGCTAAAAACCCTCCATTAGAGAAGTAAAGGTTATGCCATGCGTTTTCATTATTGTATTTATGACATAAAAATGTAAGTGTATTTTAACCTAATATTATTGGAACTTTGCTATATCCATCATATTCAGCATTAAGGGATTTTCCAGCAATATTTCTTTCAATGTTATTTCTAACAACATGAAGTTAGTGGAATCCAGCCCAGAAACAATTGGTTGTTGGGAGATCATTCACATCACCAAGTCCAAAAATATTTTTATATTTATTATGCTACAAAGTCTTAATATTGACATCTAATAATCCTTTTGATGTAGTTAAACCAGCCTTAACAAGAGGTTCATGAGCTTTAGTAGGAGCAACAGCATAGAGATGATTGAAATTTCTAGTTTGTCTATTACCAGTCTTGACATCTTCAAAAGTAGCTGTGTTGTATTATTTATTGACTTCAACCAATTTAAGTCCATATTCAACATTGATATTTCTGCGTTTTAATTCTTCTTTGAAAAATGAATCTCCAGCATCATTATATTGAACAAATCTTTCATTTGGTTATATGATAGTGAATTTTTTAATAGGAGATTGACGTCCATTAGCAGTTTACCATTCCCATATTCTTTGACTTAAGAAAAAGTTATATGCTTCAACCTCACCACTGAAAGGAAATTGAGGAATACAGAAATAAGCTTCTCCATGGTTGAAATTGTAATGCCATCTAGTGTATTTGTGATTAGAAGAACGCCAACTTGGATGATCAAGATTAGTAAATACTGGTGAATCAAAATCTTACCAAGCTTCTTCAAATCCTTTGATTGCTTCATAATTAACTTGCTGACCTATAGAATGATATTTATGATTTTACCCATTGCTACAACCAATTAATTATAGCCAATTCTACGACCATTACGCAAAACAATGGCATTTTCTTCAGGTAAGATTGTTGAACATCCAACTTGATCAGAGTGAGCTGTGAACATATTGAGTGACAATTTGGCATTAAGCAAAAAATCTGTCTTAGCTGTCTTCTATTATTCATAAATCTATCTGATTGGAGTTATTTGATTGATATTTTAATCAAGTACAACCATAATCTTATATTTTCCATGAGAAACCTATTCCAAAATAATATTACAAATCTACCTTATCAAGTTGTCTACTCAAAACTCCTCCTAAATTGCAACCAATCACCACTACATCATAATGATCTAAGTCCTTCTTTGTTGGCTTTCGTTTGTTGAACACTCCTGCGAAAAAACGAGGAGTCAACGAATGCCTCAATTGCATTCCAGATATGAGCATATTTAAATTAATCAAAAATATCTATGATATAAATTATAACTTATATATGTACTCAAAACCAAAAAATCAATATGCTCAACACCACCAAACCCCAAAGTTGATGTTTAACTTAGGTTTCCATAGTGATTTTAATGTGATTATTCTATCCTAATATATCTCTGATTTTTCCATCAAATCTGGAACTCGAAAATCTAATAATATTAATGAATTTTAACTACCAATAATCTGTTTCACTTTCTAATCCATATATTCTCAAAATGAAATCCTGATGAGAGTCTGAAATTTCAATCTGTCAATTAAGTGTTCGTATGTTCTACTAATCTAAACCTTACATTATTTAATAGGGCGATGATCAAGTTTAATCATATGACCCAAAAACCACAGTTAGTTAATTGATTAGCAAATTACTCTATCTAGGAGCATATTCTGTAAATTTCTAACCTGTTGCTTTTTAACTTAAATTCAGTGTCTCAATTTTTGAATACTTAAGTTTTATTTTGTAATCATCCCACTACTTCAAATGGATCTGTAAAATTATAGCTATTTGAAATAGCTATAGTTTTAAATCAATCTAAGATTTAATCTCATCCACAGTAATAACAAAAGAATTCTAAAGTAAATCAAAATTTGCTATATTCTTAACAAAAATCTTGCTCACTGTTCTTTAATTAACTATCAAAATATAGTAATAACTTGCTGATCGGTCAAATCTCTTAAATTCAATACCTCTTTTTTCTCACTGATTGTTGCCTTGATCTATGCTAAAATATGTATAACATATATTTTGTCTCAGCTATCAATTTAGACAAATGAAGTGGGTATTGTAAATTTGCACTATAAGTAATTCGATATCCCATCTAACTTTAGGTAATCGAAAATAATTATTTCAAAGTGATTTTTATAAAATTATCTGAATAAAATTACATCAATTTTCTTTAACTAATATTAATTATTATAATTATTGAAAAACTCATTTTTTTGAATATGATCTTATTAGTTGTTGTTCTATAAATTACCATAACAAATAATTAATTATATTTTTTAAAACATAACTATTAATGTTTGCTATCTACTATAAAGTATGAATTAATTTTATAAGTATGAAATATCGTTCCTTTTAATGCAATTAAGCAATATAATTTATAAATTGCTGTCATAGAATTTATCTTAATAGTTGATGAAAAAAATGAAGGCTAAATATTAATAAATCAGTATAATTAAATTTTTATCTATTATTTGAATTTAGAATCTTTATTATTTAAAACCTAATGAAGCTAATTTTCTAATATAATTGATATGAAAATTAAAAAGGATCTAAATTAGCAAAGGTTCTTTAAATGATTATTAAATTAAGTTCATCATAGGTTCTAATATAAAAGAAATCACTTTATTTTTTTTTCAATAGGATTCAAGATTTTCTTTATCTTATAGATCTTTCTAGAAAAATGCATGTGATGGCATTTAGAAAATCATAGAAAGATAGAAATTCCATCACAATTGTTGATCCCTGAGGAATTTCAGCTAGAGGGGTGAACGTAAATGAATAGATGTCATCAACAAATCCTTTCTCATATTATTAACTAGGGATTAAAATTCAGCAGAAACAAAAGTAGTTAGACTGTTCAATTAATCATTCTAAACTATTTCCAAGCCAAAATATTTTATTATTAAGAAGCTAAATGCATAAGTTATCTTTTTTAATGATTCGAATATCAGATTCTGGTAACCATATCAGAATGTAAAACCCTGTAGACATTGCTGTTGTCAAACAAAGAAGTTATGTTGATATCAATTAAATATCATATCTTATTTTCTGAATATGAAGAAGCTTTTGTACAAGTTGTAGTTATAGGAGCTGCATTTAACGCGTTTGTCACTCCTAATTATTGGTTCAGTAAAGTGAATATTATATTTATTTTTTTAACATACATTTATGACAATGTTATTATTTACATCATTTAGATTTGTAACACCTGATATCATTAATCTTATATTTTAGTTTGATGCAATTTATCTAAAATTTGTTACTCTCATTATTGTTTTGATGAAGCAGTCAAGCAAAACAAAAAACATCTTAATTAGTTACCTTCATATGTTAAAAAGCATTAACACCATAACAGGTAATTCTTTCATACCTAGATCTCAAGTCTTAAGCCCAAGCCCTACTGAAGTAAAATTCTATAAATCTTCTTGTATCTGATGCTCTGTTTTATTTCTCTCATGATGGAATTTAAAGCACTGAAATGAATTAAATGTCAACTATTGCTATTTAATTTGAATTCTTTGGAATTGAATTAAAAACACTACCATTTAATACATTTGCATTTAGAATGTATTAATTGATTAGATTTGCCATTGAATTTTTAATGGTGTAGTAGGTTAAGCTTAAAAAGGATATTGGATGATATCAAATGCAAATAGTAATTAAGCCTTAACAACCTAATAAATGCTAAAGAATTATCAGGAGAAATCAAAACCATTTAAATCTGGTGAATTTGATTGTAAATAAAATTTACAATTGACATTGTTAACTCTGATAGTAGTATCATAAATAACTTATAGAAATTATATATTATAATTGTAGTTGTGTTGAATTTCAAAATATATTAAGTAAAATTCTGAATGAATGATATGTATTAAAGTTTTACTCCTGCATAAAAGGAACCTTTGGATATACTACAAATTCTCCAAAAACTATTAATATTCCACTTTCTTCTAAGTTCCATTCATAATCTGAATATGAGAAAATCACTCATCTCACTTAAATCACACAACTTGAAATTCAAATTAATTCAGTTTATGTTATCCCTAATCCAGATACACATTGTAATGAAAACTCAACTACAATTTAAAAATTAGATGTCAAGTATGTTTACAAAAAATAACTAAATATATATTAGATCTGGACATTTGCGTTTGGCTTTGAATTCCTAATTGAAGTCACTTCTGCTGGTTTCAAAATAAATCCACACTTTATTATTTAAAATAGTGATGCAAATAGTATGAACATTTATAATTATAATTTTTTATTAAACACTTTTTTCTCTCAATCTCTATTCTTTTTATTTATTGAAATTTATTTATATATCAATAATATCTCATTTCCTATTTCTAATCCTTCAAATTTTTATCATTCAATCACTCTTTTTATTTATAAAACATCATATTTTTGAAACTACCAACTATTTATTCATTCAAAACATCTCATATTCATTCTTTAACAACACATTTAAGGATAAGCTACTTAGTATATAAAAATTTTGATTTATCTATATAATATTCATAACTCAGATTCATGTTCTTAAAATCTTTTTTGCTAAGGCGCTCTTGTATCTTAAAACATTCAAATATGTCATCTTATCACCAAATGATTTATCCACCAATATATATATTTCTTTTTTAAATTAGCCTCTACAAACTATTGTTTAAGGTTCCTCCAAGCTTTACATACTATTTATTTCTTATTTTTCAGATCCTTTACTTTTATCATTCTAGTTCATCTTAATAAAGAGATTGACAGATTGATAATTTTGGAAAATTATTTTAATAAATATATTCATTCTGTACGAGCCAAAAAAACATATAAAACTAAATAATTTTACTAATCTCCAATATATATACTTGGTTTTTGAACGGAAACATAATCCTAAAGGTTTCAATAATTTAGTGTGTATAAAACTAAATGTTCAATTTAAAAACGAATTTTTATAAAGAGGCCGCCTAATTAAAAATGATTAATTTCAATTCAAAAATTACATGTATGCAATCATTTTTTGTCCAAATTATATAGTTATTCGAAAAATAAATAATTTGAGACCTATTGTTAAATTTAAAAACTTATCACAATTTGGCTAAACTAAAATCAATTTATTTTTATAAGACTTTTTAGCAACAAAATATAATACTTTTTCATGATAACAAATTTTTTATCTCGAATACCTATTTTTTAAGAAAATTTTAAATTATTATCCAAAATCTTGATGAATAACATTTAATTATTACGAATGTATATTTTATATAAACTATAATATTAAATATTTAATAAAAATAAGTCGTTCATCTAAGATTTTATAATAATTAAAGAAACCTTTACATTTAGGATCAATAATTATTTAAATCTAGTTTTGTCTGTTTTTTTTTAATTTCTATTACTTTTCAAAAAAGACTTTTAAAGAATTTTAAAATTTAATAAGAAAATTAAATGATTATTTCCTTAGGAACTAATGATAATAACAAACTTAATTGATGAACATATCTCAATTAGAAAATAAACTCAAAACTATAATCTCATTAAAATGAAGTCTAACTAGGATTAATTAGTTTAATCATATAAGAATTAAGATGGGATAAAAAGTCCATACTCCTATTTCTAAACTCTATTTGTATAGAATTTTCATATACCATTTTCAGAGAAGTAAATTTATATATAATATTTTATTATGCAAACAAAATTATTAACTAGAAGCTTTTTTATGGACTTTATTACAAAAATTCCTTTGATATTTGATGAAACAATTCTTTAAATGAATAGAAATGCCAGAGCTCCTAAAAAGGCCAATCATGGAGCAAGACCATGTTCTTCTGTTGTAAGAAGGTAATTTGTTTAAGAATATAATGTAAAGATTGAGACATGCCAAGCAATATAGAAAATCAAAGGAAAATACTCCTTTAGAATAGGAAGAATTAACTTCAAAATGGGACGATCTTTGAAAGAGCATTATGTATTAAATATATTATTGGCGTATAATTAAGTTGATAATCATTTTTATAATTTTCTTTAAGCGCTCTGTAATAGTTATGGTTAACTCTTTTTTATGGAATTCCTTTTTCATAATACTCTAATAGGGAAAATATACTTATTTTTAAATTTCAAAGGGTTTTATTATTAAGAGATTTATTGTATTTCAATAAAAAAACTTTAGGAATTTTATTTCTTGTAAATTGAGTATATTTAATAGATTTAAGTTAGAGGATAACCGTTTGGGATATATTTAATCCTTCCATAATATTTTTAGACATTAATAAAATAAAAAATAATGAAATTGCCAGATAGAATTACTCAAACTTATCAAAATTATAATATGTTAGCAAGAGTGAGACTAAGTGATAATCCACAGAAGATGATTGAGTTTACAAAAGAGAGTATTTAAATAAGAGTACAGAATTATTTAATTTAAGGATCCAACTAATAAAAATACAGATTGCAAGAAAGTTAAATTTTCTTCAGTTTGTACAAATTAGGAAAATACGTTTTCAGTAATTCAACCTATGATACAGAAACTAATAGAAGGCCATAATGCTTGTGTATTGAGTTATGGATAGACAGGAAGTGGAAAAAGCTACACATTATTCGGTTAGGAAGGAGAAGAAAATATAACTGAATAGAAGGGTATAATAATAAGGGCTATGGAGTATCTTCTTTCTCAAAAGTAAGAAAAAGAAAAAACTGTAGAATTTGTAATATCAATAAGTATGGCTGAAATATTTTTGGAATAAATTAGAGATTTGGGTAAAGCTTATTAATTTCGTTAATCAGGAGATATGAATCAAATAATATAAAATTATATGAATGAAAATCTTTAGATCCAGGAGAATGCAAATGGACAAATAATTATCGATGGATTAACTTAAATAAATATAAGATCTGCTTAAGAATTGAATGATGTAATTTAGATGGGTCTAAAATTAAGAAAAAAACTTGAATAATAAAGAAAACCATTTGGCTATAAATGTCATACAATAATTAGTGTATGTCTAGTTTAAAAAGATAAGGAGTATGATAATATGCCATTTATGAATTCACTCATCTAATTTATAGATTTGGCCGGTTCAGAAAGAATAGCAAAAAGTTTTAATAATGAAGGATAGTTTGAAGAAGCTGTTTTGATTAACTAAAGTTTAGCTACTTTATCTAAATGTTTGTCAGCAGTTTTTTAGATGAATTCTAAAAAAATTGCCACTAAAGATTCAAAATTGACTAGAATCTTATAAAATTGTCTTAATAGTTAAGTGACTTTAATAATTCATTTAAATCCAAATGAAAATAATTTTGAAGAATGCTTATCAACTTTATAATATGCAGAAAAAATAATAGGATTGACAACAGCTTAAATAACAGATGATAATTCAAATTAATTGGGTTCTTTTCCTGGGTAAGATAAATTAATTAATAAACTCTAAAATGAAATTTAGGAATTAAAATAAAAGATAGAGTTAATGACAAGAGAACATAAATAATAAATATTAGATATCAAAAAATTATTAGGAATAGATTTAGATCAACTAACAATTGAAGAATTGAAGAAATTAAAATAATAAAAGGAGGCTCTACAAAAATTGGAAGTAGTTACAATTTAATTAAATGAAGCTGAGATAATGATAGATAAATTATAAAAAGAAAAAGAGTTATTGAAAAAAGAGGAGAGTGTAAAATTAGAAAGATATTAATGCAGAATAATTGAATTAAATGAAGATAATAGAAAGTTAAAAGGGTTTTAAGCAGAAAAGAAAAAATAACTAGAATAAATTGAATAGGAAAAAAATGATAAAGTTTTAGAGACTGTGTAAAAATAATTAAAGCAACATCAAGAAGAGATAGAAAAAAAAGTGAGTGTTATTATTAATTTACCATAAGTAATATCAGCAAAAACTTTAGAAGTTTAAAAACATGAAGACATCAAAAGATTGGCAAAACTTGAATTAGAAAAAGAGTAAAAAAAACTTTATTGTAAATTAGGTATAAATAACATATGGAAAATTTGAAGTTTGAGTATGCAAAATTGTTGTAAGATAGTACAGATTAATATGAAAAATACTTATAAAAGAAAAATGAAGAAATAGAGCACTTTATTAATCAATTTAAAAAATATTAAGAAAAAAAGAAGTAATTCACTTAAATTAATTTTATAGAATGTAAATAAGAGATATAAAGTCTGAAACATTTGATTTATTTGATATAGTAATGAAAACATTTAGAGTGATTGAAAAAATAGAGAATGGGGCTTATAGTTCTGGAATAAGATCATTCAATATTCCTGCTACGGATAAACCTTAAATACCTACTAGAAACAGATTTAAAAAGTAAATTCTTATTTATGATAATATTTTGTTAGCCTTTTCAAATATCTTGATGAAAGAAGTTTAAATAATACTAAATAAGATGGAACTAAAGCTAAGGTTACATTATAACCTATGTAAATGTCATAGTTTTTAGAATCTAACTATATTAAACTGAATCTTACAGAAATGCATGAACCAACTTTAAGATAGTTTGCTAATATGATAAGAGATGAATTTGTCTAAGTGTTAGCAAGAGAAAAAGAACTATAAAAACGAGTAGTTGAATTAGAGATTCTATAATCAAATAATGATCTAAATACTTTAATCAAAGAAAGAGATGAATATAAATAACTGTATTTATAAGAAGTCAAAAAGGTCAATTAATCTAAAAGAATCATATCTGGAAAATCTGAGACTCATCCTAATATTTTAATAAGACCTTTAACCCAACAAAATTCAAGATATAGGTTGTGATTTATGGCAATTTGATGACAATATAATTAAAATCATTGAATTTCTATTTAAGGATCTTCTTAAGTTTGCCATCCACTTAAATCCCCTATTCCCTAAAAACAAGTTATTCCCTAAATGGGTTAAGAATCTAGACTCTATTTTTACTCAAGTAAATTTTAAATATGTTTTTTTCTTTTTGTTCTAATGTAAGGATGCCATGGTTTTGTTTCTTATGCTTATTATTATGTTGTCTATATATTTTGACCTCCTTTTTTTAAATAATGTTAATGTTTTAAACTGATCTATCCATTATTCATATGAATACAACTTCTTTTAAATTTAGGACTTTCAATCGTACAATTTTTATTATTCTAAATGACTCTATGTGAATGAATAACCATTGGTTAATATAATTTACTCATTAATATCTTATTGTCTTAAAACTCGATTATCATTTGCTACTAATCTTTTTAATCTTCTTACACTAACAATTTAATCTACTTGCAATTTTCCTATTTTCAATTTATGAAAAAGGTTTTGGAATCGACTGCATTGGATTTAAAATTCTGTTATGTATCATGCGTATATTTGATCTCATCTACTTATTAAGCATGAACTCCATATACAAACAATCCACAGACGTACTACCTTTGGATTTTTTCATAAATATATAAAATTAATTTAAATTATATAAATGTTATTTTTCATTAGTATAAAAATACAGATACAATAATATCATCTTTTCATTTTTTAAACAATTTTTGTTACTTTCACATCATTGTAATCCTAATTTAAATTTGATGAATGATAATCAATTTTTTTAGGTGGACCTTCTAAGACATCTAAATCTATTCCATCATCCAATATTTTTAATTTCTTAAACTCTTCTTTAATTTAATTTTCTAATAATTTATTAATTGTTGTTTAATAATTTTATTAATTTGAAAAGTTATTTTTTACAGCATATCGACTACCACCTAAATGAACATATTTTGGTTGCATTCTTGAATTTACTGATTAAATTATTCTATTCCTTCTTTCTTTCTCTTATTTCATCTAATTTTGATCAATAGTTTTAAACTCTAATTATACCAAATTATTACAAATATCTTCATATAATGGTATTTCATTATTCATTATGTTAAATTCTGGGTTTTAAAAACCTTAGGTCTAAGTAATTTTGTTTAATTCTTCTAACATCATCTTATTTTTTTTTCTATTTTCTTGTTGTGATTTTGCTCTCTCCCTTTAAGATGCGTTTGTAGATTATCTTTCTTTATTAAATGCATCATTAATATATGTTTTGATTAAATCCTAAATTATACTTAATAATTTCAACTTATCTATTTTCAGATTCTATTTTTTTTTCTTCTGGGTTTTTTTTTAGAACATTCACAGTTCTCAAAAAGTTTTGAAACTTAACATATTTCTTAACTGCTTATGGATTTAGACTATTTCGTCTATTAACTAATTTAATTGTTTTATTAAGTAATACTTATATTATGAGGGGTTTCTGACCTAGAAATTCTTCTTGATTCTGGTAAATTTGTTACTATTGATTAAGACATTTTTGTATCATAATCATTAAATTTTTAATCTAATCTATTTACTAAATTAGTTTTCTTATTTGAAAATTTCATTGGTGTTATAGGTTTGCTTATTTACATAGAAGATTAATCTGGAGTTCTAGATTAATGTTAAAACTTTGCTCTTTTGGTTTAATTTTCTAATTCATCAAAAACCAAATTCAAATTTTACCAATTTAATACAAAATGATAATTAGTGATTTCTCCTTAATCTGCTGTATGTCTTTTGAAAATATTATCTTTTTTTGGAATAACATATGTTTATTAAGATCTTAAATGTTAAAGATCAATTATAGCATTATATTCCTTAATTTTCTCTTAAAAGAATTATTTAGTTCTTTCAAGTGTAATTCCTCTCTTTTAAACCATTTCTCTAGCTCTTTCACTTTCTAGAATTTGTTATAATTCAGGAGATATTTATTTTAATTGATGATCATCAATAGAGTGTTTTAGTTATTCAATAGGATATATAATGCTTTTGAATTAAGGTTAAGCTCCTTTGTAACTTGGAATATTTAATTAAAATACCCATAAGATTCAAGAATTTTATTAGTTATTGTATCAGACATTTACAAAAATAAACTAATTAAAATTTGATGAAGGGAATAAAATAAAAATTGAAATGAATTATTAAATAAATAAGTATAAAAGAAATCTCATGGTTTAATTGAAATAAAATTATAAGCATCTGATCTTGTACAAAATAGATTACCATTTTCTCTAAATTTAGAATTAGTTACAATAAATTTATCATAACCACCAATTTAAACAATTAATGCACCACCTACCCAAGTAGAATGCTATGCAATTAAATTTGTTATATAGAATTTGATATTTCTAATAGATGAAAATTCTGTTTCTAATAATGAGAGTAATTCATTCTTAAATCTCATTAATAAATTAGGAATTCTCCTAGCTCCTCCTGTAATTACAATATTCTATGCCATCTTAGTAATTATATCTCTATCTTTCATTTAAGATACAATCTTTAAAAATCCAAATGCAATGTTTGATTCTTCTTCTTTATAATTTCCAAAGTAAGTTTCTGTATAGCATTTAGCCAATTCAAATTCTGAAATTTCTTTATGTCTTAATTTAATTTTTTGTTTATCATCTAAATCACCTGGATTTAATACTTTAGCATATTTAATAGCTATATCTTCTAATTACTCCCAAGAATAATCAGGTAATAATTATTAAATTCTTTTAGCTGATTCTCTACCTCCTTCACCTATATAACCAGTCTAATGTAATAGAGAATAACCATCATACACAGCACTAACAGTTGAACAATTATATCCTAAATCTATTACAAAACCTGAAAAATGTCCTGTTAAATATAATGGTAACACATTCCCAATTAAAAATGCAATCTTTGCTACCTCAAATTTATAAAATAACACATATGCTATTATATTATACATATCTTCATTATTATAATAGTTATAAATTAAAGCCACCGATCTTCCTTTTAAATTACATACCATATCAACATTAAATATCTAATAAAATTTCTCCTCCACTGATAATTCATATGATAATCGAGATTTCTAAGGTAGCTTCTCAAAATTCAATTTTATCACCTTCTTAGGTTGAGTATCTAAAGAAAATCCAACTTTTGTATAAGCACATCCTATTTCTAGGATTACTTCATATTGTCTTGATTGTTTGTCTAAACTCATTAAATTATTAATTTAATGAACTAAAATAGACTAACATATGATATATAAAGAAGAAAGGAAAGAATGACTAATCACTTCTTAGAGTAGTAATAATTTCAAGATTTTACCAAACCTGAAAACCCAATTAAAATTTTAAATCCAAATAAGGCTCCTTAACAATTAGAATCTCCTTTGGTTAATTAAGTCAAATTTTATTTTTCTAATCGTGTTAACAGATTAGAATTTACCTAATTATTTGAAGGAAAAGAATCATTCACATAAATGTTTGTAACTATAGTCTCGGCAAGTCTCTTAATTTTGATTGTTGGCTTTACCGCATATTATTTAAATTATATAGGAAAAACCTTTATTTGTTTAATAATGTTGGTAAATGGATTTCATGTGTTGGGATTGCATGTGTTTTATTTTTCAAGTACTTAATTTTGATTAATCCATTAGAAAATTCTGACAAAGCTTTGGCTTACTTTTTTATAATTCTGATACTACAATTCCTTCTCTGTAATTAACTTTGGGGAGGAGGTTTACTCAATAATATCTTTACAACTTGTTATGTAATTTACAATGGATATAAATTTATAAGATAATTACCAGTCTCACCACCAAATTAAAATTATCTTTTATAAACATATACTTAATACTTTAAATATGCTTTATTTAATTCTATCAAACCAACAACAATTAGTAAAAGGATTATTAATTTCCTGTAATTTTTGATACCTGTATATCTTTTCATTTTCTTAATTGACTTTTTTTATTAATAATAAAGAATTACAACCAGGAAAATTCTCTTAGCTGGTATTCTTGATTTGATGTTACAATTTTCTGAAGGAATGATTATTACTTTTAAGAAATATTATGTTTTCAATTTATCTAGAAAAATTGACTAATTACCATTATTTATATATCCATTATGTTTTCAAAATAATCAACAACAAGAAATTGCATCTATTAATTATGTTAATTCACTTTAAAATGTTGATAAAGTGTTTAACTAAAAAATGTTTTTTAGATTAGAAGGATGTCAACCACCAACTATTGGTGATATTATGTAATCTTATTATTATGAAAAATTAAAATAATATGTATAAGAAATTTAAACTAACTTTTCTTAAATTTCTAAATTATTAAATGAAAAAAATAAAGTTAGAACACTCTTTGAAGATATAACACTTCCATTAACTTTTATAAAATACTATTATTTGACTTATAGAATTAAAAGGTAATAACGATAACTTATTAAATTGTATTACTTCATTTTTTAATCATTTGATTCATTTTAAATACAAAACCAATATGAAGTTGAGTGTTTAAGATTTAATGTATATAAACTTCTTTTATTTTTTAGGTATAATTATTATCCACAATTCAGTAAAACTAATTTGAAGAACCTAAAATCATGAACATCTGTAAAAGGATAGCCTTAATTTCAGAAAAACATATGAAACATGAAATATTTTTAAAATAATTATGAGTTTAAGATTAATATTTCCTAAATTAGACATCAGCATTCGAACTACAAGTAGCAGTCCATTCAAATATCCATCTGATGAGGAGATTTTTCTCTATAATGACAGTAAATTTAAAAAATAACTTTCTTTTCATAATAAGTAAGGTGCAAAAGTTTGGAATAAAGAAACAGCTACAAGTAGAACCTAATTAACTAGATTTGAAGTATTTATAATTATTTAATATTTAACAGAAAGTTAGTACACCATATGATGAAAATTACACAAAGAATAATAAACTATTCAAACAAAAAGATTAATAAAAAATCAATGATGCTATTAATATTATTAAAGAACGTAAATTAGAAAAAGAAGAATAGAATAAAAAAGGGATTAGTTTAGTTTCTAATGTTAAAATAATAGAAGACAAAAGATAATTATTTTTGATTTCTCAATCTTATAATACTATAGAAAATGAAATTAAAAAAATGAAAGAAGGTTAAAAAGAAAAACAAGAGGTGTTTCTTTAAAGTTTGAAAATGCTTTAATAAGATGCTGATAATTTTTAGTAATTTTTAGATACAAATAAAGCAGCTAGAGCTGATGCAGAACTTAAATTAGATAATGAAATCAAAGATAAAAAAGCTAAAGAGGCTATAATCAAACAACTTAATATTAAAATGACAAGTATTAGAGGTGAAAAATAAAGAATGGAAGAATTAATAACTGCTTATATTGATCATAAATAGTTTTTGGATAAATTAGCTCCAAAAGAATGGCATGATAATAAAGCAAAATTAAAAAGCTTATTACTTGATAATCTTAAAGAAAATATTGTTGTTGAAGGCAAACTTTTAAAATCTAATAACTCCGATTAAGCAATTTAATTGTATTTTAATTAATTAATTTCAGTTCAGAAGAATTAGAAGATTTTGAAGATGAATTCGATATGTATTTTAAGCAACCATCATAATTAATTAATATTTTCAATGATTTAGAAGAAAGAAATTTATTCTTAATTCAAACAGCTTAAGAAACAGAATAAAATCTAGAAGAAGTTAAATCTAAATTTCAAAAATTAAAAAATGAAAAAAACATAAAAATTTAATAATTGCATGAATAAAAAGAAACATTAAAAAAAAAATTAGATGTAATGATTAATCCCAATTATTTTAAGTTAATGACTCAAGAATTGAAAGACATGTAATTAGGAGGTATAATTAAGGCATCTGGAAAGGAGCAAAAAGATTTAGCATAATAAATTATAGAAGTTTATTCGCTATTTCAAATAGATATGCTATAAGTTTAGGATATTTAAACTAGACCAACATTATTTATATTAGGACTAATAGAATAACTGATAGAAAAACTCCTGAAATAAGTTAAAACTTTTAAACCTGAAAGAGTATATCATTATGTATTAATTTATTAAATGCGATTAGAAATAAGAAATAGATAATAAAGGTAAAGCAGATAAAAGAAAGGAAAATGCTGATAGACAGCGAGAAGAGGAAGCTTCAAGAAATAGAATTAATTAATTAAAATTAATGTAGCCTAGTAAAAAAAAGAGTGGAAGACTAAATATGTTCAGATCAAGACCTATAGAAAAATAAGTTGAAATTACACAAGAGAATTATGAGGATTTAGATACTGAAGATTTCAAATATTTTGAATGATATTCACTTTTATATATATAATAAGTATATCATATTATTTATTAAAATTATATCTAAATTAAAAAATAATTATTTTATCATCATCAATAGGGTATTTCAATAATAATGATAATGATCTAGATTGTTATAGTATGATTATAATAATACAATTTTTATTTTTGATTCTCTAGGATAAAGATTATTATAAAATTATTTTCAATTTTTTATTCTCAATTGAACTTATTGTTATTATTTAATCTAATTTTAATTGTAAATTTATAATTAAAAAATGTTTGCACTTTCAATTATAGTCATTTTGTTTTAATATTCATCTCAATATTAAGACACAACCCAATTAACTTTAGAAAATCGTGTGGATTAACCTTAAATAGAATAAACTTCAAATACTAACATTATAAATGATAGTGAAGATGATGTAAAACAGGAACTCTCACAAAGTAAAAATAAATTTCTAAATGGTGAATAAAATGTAAATAATCTTATTCATATCTAATTTGACAGAATATATGATGAAATACAAAAATTCCTTTCTTACTTTATGAATAAAAGAGAACTAGTTATAGGTGCCCTTTTCATTTTACTAGTAGGTTGTTTTATTAAGAATCTTTATAAAAAAGGTAATGTCAAGAAGGAAGTTATTTAAAATAATGAGAGTTTAAAGCTTATTAATGATTTATATGATTAATCTTGGAGAAAGAGAGTAATAGAACCTTAATTTTTACCTTTTGTTAGAGAATAAGAAAATGAGTAATCTTTTAGGAAAGAATATTGTTAAAGGTAGATAAATTTCGAAGAATGTAATTCTTTTATTCCAGTCAGAGGGGATGGTAATTGTTTTTATACTGCTTTTGGTTATTAATTTCTTAAGATTCTAATAACAGTTTATGATGATTAATAATTTCAAACATTTGTTGAGAAAGCTAAAAAAAAAATTAAATTTATGATAAATTATGAAAATTTTTAAATTGATGAAGAGTAGGGTTAAATTCTTTCAAAGGATTTTTTTTCAAGAATAATTAATTTAAGAAATAGTGATGATAAAAATAAATTATTTGATTATTATAAGAATTATGAATACATTAATAATGAAAACGATGGAATATTTTATGGTTTAGCAACAATATTTTTTAGAAATTTGGCAAATTATGCTTTAGAATTTAATGAATTAAAAGAATGTGTTTAAGACAGAAATAATTTACTTATTTGGGAATTGGAATGTAATAGTAATGAAATAGTGATTGATTCATTATCTCAATGCTTGAAATTGTAAGAAAAATAAATTTATAGCATTTAGATAAATATAAATATTACTTTCTCAGAATTAGGAGATAATAATATAATGTTATGGTCAAGAGTATAAAGATAAAATAATGCTATTATTAAAACCTGGACATTACAATATAGGATTGAAATTATGAAATATAATATTATAAATTAATAAATTATTTTTTCAATATGAAACTTGATCTCGATATTTATCAGTGGCTTGTAAAAATAAATGTGATATAAGAATTGCCAATCAATAATCTATTTGCTCATGTTGATTAGGCTTTGGAAGAATAATTCTTGAATGGAATAATAATTAGTTAAATCCTCAAATAATTTGATTAAAAAATTGATGTAGATGTCAAATAAGGTAATAGTAATGGTATAAGATTATTTAATTGGAATAATGTTTGTAAGAGTTTACAATAGATTAACATAACATTAGATGATGACATAAAAAGTATCAATTTAGCATTTATATAGTTTCAATTGTCAAAGGAGATTTTTAGATGTTGATGTAATTTTTGAAAGAATTAAAATAACATTATGAATTGGCATTTTATGTTGAAGAATAAGTGAGTACAACAACTAGGTTTGATTCGTAATAAAACGAACCATAAGAAATAAGTATAGATGAGATTGATCCTGAAAAGCCTTTAAATTAAACATAATCTCTTTTAGAATTCATCATAGTATCTCTTTGTAAACATTTTACATTAAAACCAAAGTAGGCAGTAACTCTATTAAATTCGAATTATAAATAATTATCTAATGTTCTAATAAAAGGTAACAAAGGTTTCAAGAATGTTATAAATTGGCTGATGGAATTGTCTAAATACATAAATCATATAATTAAATTTGTAACTTATAAAATGGACATATTATTATCTCTACTTAAAGCTGGTTTAGTTTCATAAAGTAATGAAGTATGTTATTGGACATTATATATAATTGAAGGAATTTTAATTAATTTGCCTTAAAAAGAATTATTAGAAGATGTTTATGCTTGGCTTGTAAGAGAGCATGGAGGTTTAATTGCATTCATTTTATCATAATAACGTCATCATTAATATTTAGAATAAATTTGTAAAATCTATAGTATTGTTTCTTAATATAATGTGGTTGACTTTTTTGATGTACAATTAAGAAAAATTTTGAAATCTGGTAAAGAATATATAGATTTTATAAATGAAATCATTTAAATAATACCAATCAGAGATCAAATGTAACAATTAAATCTTTTTGAATTATTTGCCTCTCATGCTATTAAATTATTTGAACCTAAACATTCTATAATTGAAAGAATGACAGCTCTTAAATATTTTGAACATTATTGGATATATTATCCTTAATAATTTGTTCCTAATCAAATGGAATAATATTTATTAAATTCAAGAAAGGCAACTAGAGAATCTAGTTTTGCAATGAGAATATTTACATATTAAAGCTTATTCAGAATCTTAGATAACTTAGCTTTATAAAAAGATAAATATGCAGCTTTGTTATATAAAAAATTAGTATTTTCTCTTATTGAAAATTTTGATTAAAAAGAAGTTAGAGAATTTTTAGTAGCTAATTTCTTAATGCTTATAAGAAAATATTCAACTATTCCTATTGATATTTTAATAATTCCTATGGTTAAGTAATTGTAGATTGAATAAAATGAAATATAAATTAACATTGTTGATTTTCAATTATTAAAGTCTGTTTGCACACATCCAAAAATTGATGTTAATGTAGCTATTTTAATGCTTGATATGTTAAGTAAATTATATTTAAGTTCTATCATGTTTTATTAATTGGCCTTTTAATAGATATAATTATTATTAACAAGATTTATAAAATCAAATCCAATATAAGAATTCACATTTAATCTTGTAAAAATTGCAATATCTGAGTATTATGGTAACTATCAAGAACATATAAAGAGTAATCCAAAATAAATTCTGAATAGGAATCCAGATGAAAATATAAGAAGATAATAATTTAGATCTTAGATTATTTCTTTAATTAAGTTTATTATTAATCTTAGATCTTTTGAATTGAATGAGTTGATTAAACCTGTGATTGCTCATTTCTATTTGGAAATCTAATAGGTATATTTCAATAATAAATATTGAATAGAATTTAAAAACAGAATCTAAAGCTTTATTTATGTTGTTAGGGCATTTTGGTGATCCATAAGAAATTCTTTAGTAAGAATAGAAAAAATAAAAATAATAAATAAATTAATCACAATAAAATCCATTTGTTTAAAATTAGATTATAAAATCTTAAGGATTAAAAGTATCATCGCTATCCCAAATATCTTAGACTTAGCAGAATTTAAATAATTATCCAAAATCAAATAAATCAATAATATCATAAAAAGATGATCCATTTAAAGAATTGAGAGAAGATGCAACTAAACCATCTTTGACCATGCTTGGAAATTTATCATTAAATTATGATGAATAGTCATTATTGAAATAATTTGAATTACTTTGAAATATGTATTATAGTCATATTTATTTATAAATCAAACCAAACTTAACTTTTTTTATTGATTTACTTGATAAAGATTTTTCAGAACAATAACTGGATTTAAGAATTGATTTACACTTATAAATTTCATCTACATATTCTTATCTTAATTTAATTAGTTCTTTATGTTCTATAATAAATGATGTTTTATTTTTTTAGTGTTGATTGGATATAATTTTAACTGGACTAATAGTTTATTCTTAGGATGATCTTCTAAAAAAGGATTTATCTTTTTGGAATAAATCAAGGAAAAATTAATCCTCATATGAATACCTTTTTTTTGAATTATCTTTAGTAGGTGATTCAACTTATGATAGTTTTGATATTGAGCAACGATCTATTTCTTCTTCAAAACTAATATTAGGTTCTTCGTCTACTATTTTAGTAATAGTTGGTTAAATAGAATCAATTGTAGGCTTTGAAGGACTTTAAGATTAGGAATTTGGAAGAGGTTACTATTAATCAATATGATCAATTGTAGCAAGAGAAGGATATTATTGCTTACAAGTACCATTTCCCATTTTTAATATAATAATACTCAAATATTTTTCTTAATTACTTTGTCCATTCTAAAATCTTCAATTTCATTAATCGCTAATCTTCCAAGATAATAATCTTAACCAAGTTCTTCTAATCTTTAAAGAGTATATTGAGTTGATCTCAAAAAACCCATAGCAAAACCAGTTCCTAAACCAACTAAAACTCCTAATCCTTTAGCTGTATAAGATAGGTATCGTCTATTCCAAAAAGATATAAAACTGGTCATTGCTAAACATGCACCCATTCCTTCATAACATCTCCATTTAAAATATTATTTGCAGTCATATAATGTTTCATTCTCTTCTGGTGTACTTGCTTGATATTGCCAAATTGTTTTAACCATCTCTTTTAATGATATGTCTTTTATAACTTCCTAATATGTAGCCATTTTCTCATTATATCTTTTTCTGCCTTTAATATATAGCATTAGCAATTACGAATTATAGTAGGATCACTTGGAAGTGGTTTTTGAATATTTTTAAAATAATCTCTCAAAGCTGATTCTTCTTCTTCCATTCCCTATTAAAGTTTAGCTTCTTCTTCCATATACTACTTTTTCATTTACTCTCTTATTTCTCTATCACGATTACTTTCTTAATTTTCACTCATTTATTATTTTAATTCAATTAAATCTAAATTTATTTTATAATTATCTTTCTCAAGATAAATTTTAAATTATTTCTTTATGGTTATAGAACTAAACAATTTTTAATATTTTTATTTATTATTTAGATCATTTATTTTTATAATATGTTCTATATGGATAATTTCTGTATTCCAAATCTGTTTGAACATCATAATTCTTTAAATCTTGGTTTGAATTTTGATTGCTCATTCTCTGCAATTGTTATTATTTTAATTATTAATGAGATGGTTAAGTAGTCAAGGTTTTACTAAAATCAATCAAATAAAATACTTAGATGTAACATTAAATCCTCTTGTATATATATTTGCAGGCTCTTTTGATCCAGAATCTTATTCTTCCTATTTTGAAATAGTTGATTTTCTATGATGTGTTTAATTTGTGTTCTAAAATGCTATGGCTTCTCTAAAATTTGTTTCTCTCAAAGTTTTATTCTCTTATTTCAATTATTCTACTTCTTCAATTTGCTTTTCTAATTTTCTTGTATATGCTTATATTTAAACCATTTCCTATTAATTTGTACTGTAAGATTATTTAATTTCTTCAATTTCAATCTCTAATGTATTAATTTTTGATTAATAAGTTGTAATTTCTATTCTCTAACTCTCTTATAATAGTTTCATTTTTCTTAATCTTTCTTCAATCTCATCATACTATTCTTTATACCATTACATCTTTTCATTCTATTTAAATAGACTATCATTTTTTTCTTACTCTTTTCTAAACAGTTCTTATAAATTATTATATCTCTCATCCAAATCTTAATACTTTTTTTTTAAACTCTCCATATGTTCATTATATTATTAAGTTAAAATTTCAATTTTGTGATCTCTTTAAACAATAATAGTTTTTTATTCAATCAATTCTCTCCTTGAGTTTTCCAAATCCATTTATAATTATTTCATTTCTAATAATTGTTTTTCTTTTAATTAATTCTCCTTTTGTAGTAAATCAATCTGTAAGTTGAGTTCTTTTATTCTAAATTCTAATTTTTAGATTTCTAAATTTAGATCTGAGATATTTTATTAATTTAATATCTTTTATTTTTCAAGCATTTATTTTGATTTTTAATTCATTTTTTCCATATCATTATCATAATCTTATTTTAATTTTTCATAATCCTATAACAATAGATTATATTTATTTTATAACCCATCTAACAATAAATTAGTAGAAGTAAGTTACTAATTTAAAGATTGTTCTCTTTGTGTTGAGTTGTTGTGTCTCTTTTATTCCAATATCAATTCTTACTAAATATTATTTGCCTCTTATTTTAATATGATTATTTATTATGGGTAGTTCTCTTATTTGAAGAAACTTAATTCAGATTTTAATTCTTTTATTTATAATTCTTATTGACTACATAAATGTTTTAGATGTTCTAAATCATTTCTCTATTAATAATTTTGAGAAAACAAATCTTTGACTTTTCCATCTTCATCTTCTTCAATTTTTTTTTTTGCTTTTTCCAATTAATCAACTTTTTATGTCAAATTATCATTTTATAAATTTAATGATCTTACTTTTTCTTCCAATGGCCTTTACTTTTTATTTAATTCATTATATTTATCAGTTAATTCTTTAATTTTTAGATCTTTAGTTTGTGCTTCATTTGAAATGTCTTTTTCTTTCTAATACATAATACTAATATTGGATTCTAATCTTAAAATTAATTCTTTAGATTTCTTAAGTTAAATTTCCTTTTCCTCCAAAAGAGATTTCTACATTTAATCTCCTCCTTTAATATTGTTAAGATGCTAATTAAGTACTCTAATTTCATCATCATACAATTATATTTTATGCTTGAGATCCTATTCATTTAAAGTTTGATTGATAGTTGTAGATTCAATTATCCGTTGTAAATCTTCAGTCCTTTATTCAATTTCTTTTCTCAAATTAGAGTTTTCAACATTCAAAGAGTCAAATACTTTGACAACATTTTTAAGATATCCTTCTATTGTTTAATTCTAAGAATACTATTACTTTAGATACATGTTCTTTCAGGGCATGATTTTCTTTTTTGAGTGCATTTAATAGTAGATTGCCTTCTTGGGATCCTAACCAATCATTATATTTAGGTAGAGAAGAAACAACAGGATTTGCCGTCCTGAAATTAGGAATTGTTTGAGATTGATAAAGGTTGTTTTGGGATGCATTTTTATATAAATGAGCCATATTTTATTTAATATATATGTAAAATCAATTGATGTAAACAACATGTCTAAAACACTGCACAAATTTGAGTCTTAATATGTACATCGAAACTCCTGAAGAATTATGTTTAAGGAGATGTATATCAAAATACAAAGAAGCGTGGAAATTATTTATAAAGGCAGAAAACTCAGAATAAAAAATTGAAATCCTAACATAATATAAATGAGAAGGGCATTTGATTATCAAATGAAATTGTAAATAAATCATTTTTTTCCTTTTTTCTTTTTATCGTCTTTTTTTGGTTATAATTATAATAGTGGTTCTTCCACTGCTCCAATATCTTCATCAACTGTTCTTGCTAAATAACCTTCAAATTCTAAAGCCAGCAACTATTCTTCTTCATCAGCTATTTGATTAATGATATAAAATTTACGAGTAGCTGGTGCTTGTAAATAAGCTAGGATATAAGTTCCTTTATCACTTAAAAATGTATTTGCAATCCCATCTAATTTTGTTTTCACAAATTTACGCTCACCAGTTTTATCACATAATTCTATAACTAATTAATCATTATGATATTTCTCATTCAAATCCTTAAACTTCTCCATAATAACTTTAATCTTGTTCAATTTATCAGTATATTTTGTGACATACTCTTATTATTTCTCAGTATCCTTTTATAACTCCAATTTTTCTGCTTCTAAAGGATTGCTTGGAGGTGCATCTTTCCCTTTCTTTTGAGGAGGTGGTTTAGCTCCCTTTTTGTCATCCTAGATATTAATATGCATTTTGTAACTTTTTTTCCTGTTGGTGCTTCAAGTAACCCTTCCTCTTATAATTATTGATTGATTGCTGATATTCTCTTCTCATTTGAGGATATTTTCTATTAGGCACTCTTTTAATCTTTCTAATGTTATTCATCTTTGGCTGTAAGTAGCTATTTTGAATTCCTAGATCAAATTTACTTTAGTTATTTCCTTTATTGCTTAACTCCATATACAATCCAATAATGTACTTCCTAAAACATCTATTGTGAAAACTTTATATTGCTTATAACCAAATAAGACTAAAATAAACATTAAATATTATATAATGGATAAAGAATTGATAATTGATTGCCAATAAAACAAAGAAAGTATTCGATAATATCTCAATCAAACTAGAAAAGCATAGAATGATATCTTACTTAAGAAATATCCTTAGTATTTAAATATTTAAACATCTAAATATGGTATCAGATAACCTATTCAATTAAAAAACCCTCTACTCATAAAATCATTATTTTAAACAAAGAAAATTTTCAAAGAAAGAGATACATCACTACCTATTTGTACTCTAAAAACTCTTCCTGCTTAACCTATTCTTTTATTTTAAACTGATCGTATTCATAGTAGATGTCCTGCTCTTAAGAACCTTCGTTTGAAATCTGGATTTAGACAAACTAGACATTCTCCTGAAGAATACATCAGAATTGAGACAGCACCTGCAGTTTGTAGAAGTCCAGTAGTTCAAAAGCCATCTTATTCAAATCTATTTAAAACCTAAATTTGTAATGACAAAAAACAAAAACCAAAAGAATCTTAATTTAATAAGAATGAATGGGGAATCGGAGGATGGAATATTATTGACGATAATTTTGATACAAAGCTATTCATTGATTGATACTTTAATCTAATTCATCTACTTTTAATATTTAATTGTCGTTTATATTACGGAGAACCTTTTTTTCTAAATCAAGTTTAAACTCTAAATAAGTTGGACTAAGTTCTTTTATATTTAGACCTGCTTATAATGAAAGTCTTCTCCCAGCTTGAGTCATATGTTATGAAATCTTTTCAAATTGAATTGACTTTTTTCTTAACTTCTCTATTTGTTCCAAATTTAACTTGTTTTTTCTGTTTTAGAATCCTAAGTATTCTAAATTTCCAGATTAACTCATAAAAGTATTTTTATTATTTTAATCTTCATTTTCTTTTATTTCTTCATTAGAATCATTTGAAGAAGATGATTATGAATCTGATTCACTTTCAACAACTTAATCCTCTATTTACTGATTTTCATTAACATTCGGTTTTTATTCTTCGACATTTTATTCTTGAATATTTTCTTCTTTTTCTTTTTATTCTCCTTCTCGAATCTTCTCTTCTTCTGTTTTCTTTTCATCTAAAATGCATAAATTTACATTCTCAGTGTTATTAATTTCAATCAATTTTGTTTCATCTTCGTTGATTTACATTTAAGAACCTAATTTTTTTTAATTTTCACATTGTTATATTTTTATTTCCCATTTCTTTCTATCCCAAATTTTAGATTGTTGTAATTCCGAATTAATTTCTAGAATTTAAGTATCATATGTGATATAATCGAATTCTTTGGTAATTTTTGTATTTAACTATTATTCAAAAGCAAAAACTTATCTATTAAACATAGAATTAGTATTATTTTGTATTTGATAGACCTTAATAAATTAAAATGCCCAAAAGGGATGATTATCATTTAAGGCTCTTTCAAAAATATAAAAAAGCATTCTTTCTACTTAAGAAGAGAGAATGTCTGATTTTTGATAGATGCTGCATAAGCGTATGATTGAAACCATGATTTATGCTTTATGCATGGATTCCCAGAGTGAAATATCTGTAATTCTAACTAGATTATCAATAACCTAATAAGTAGGGATAAAAGTTTACTTCAATCAATTTAATAATTAATTGGGTAATTCTTAAATTGTGATCACAATGGTGTTTGAATATATTATTTATAATCTATAAATTGTTTTTGACACTTTGGTAAAAAATAGTAGAATGGAATTAAGTAGTGATAAGTTCTGATTCTTCTTCCTCTAAATCTAAATTTTACAATTCATTTGAGTAATGGTTAGAGATGATCGAAATTATATGAGCAGCATTTTTGGCAATTCTAGAGTTTAGTAAAGTAATAATACATATTATTAGTTGATTATATAACTTCAAACATTTTAGATAAAATAGAACTGGTAATTATGAATTCTATGATATCTTATTTCTTAATTTTGGTAAAGAGTTCATGTATAATATAAGTAAAGTTGATAGCTTGCAATTCAGTTAGTAAATGGAATTCTTGGATGCCTTTACTGATAAATTATTGTTAATTTAAATTTGAAGGAGTAATCATCATTTCTGTGATGATTTAAGCAACATATGTATATTCCAGATGTTGATATAATTTGATTAACTTATCTTAATGATTATTAAGTAGAGTAGACTTTTCTTAACTAACAAAAGTGATGACGCGTAAAGCAAAATACCATTAAATTTCTACAGTTAATTCATTATCTAATAATGAGAATACTAATTCCCAATGAGTCTATAATTAGAATGATATATTTACCAGAATTTGAGCATTAACTTTTGGAAGTTTAAGATCTATCAATTCCCACATGATGGAATACTGATTAGTTAATTGTTCAAAATGTTCACTTAAAACATATTTATAATCCATAAACATAACTTCTAGTAAGCCAACAGTACCTTGTACTAGTGTTTCAACAGCTAATGTGTCTCCCAATTTTGCTTATTTGATAAAAAGGTCTTCTTCTAACAACAGCAAAATGTCTCCTTGAGTCTTCTCAATTAGTTATTTTAATGGATTTTAAGGTTAGCGATTATATCCGTCAGGCCACAGAAACATATAAGATAATGTTATTATTATAAAATACTCTTTCAAATATGTCTAAAATATTTTTTTCCTCCAGATATAGGAGTATCTTTAAGATGCTTTTCTTCTTTAGCTTTAATGTAATCATCCCAGAATCCATCATCATTGATATAGTAATCAACAGGTAGATCATCTACTCTTTCAGATTTATCGACAGCCCAATCTGGTAGAGGAATATCATCTTTAGCTACATGTCTTGGAGTGTGTGCTCTTTGTTCTAAATATTTGAATACAGCATCAGGATTCTACATAAACAATTTTTATTACGACGGCAGTATCAACATGCTCATTTTCTTAATCTTACATTAATCTCTCTTCATCAAATCTTGATATCATTGGTCTATATCCAGCAGATCCTTAATCATATACTTCCTAATTCATTTCATCAAAAGGACATGATAATCTAGCTGCTAAATTTAATGAAGTTTCTTTTTCAGTCAAGCTCATTTAATTATTAGCAAATTCTAATCCTCTATACACATTTTTAACATTTGGATTATCCCTAATATGTTTAGGTAATGTTTAATAATATGTATTTAATGATGCTGATTTTATTGCTTCATTTTTCTTAGATTCAACATTCCCTTCTACTAAGTCTTTCAACAATTAATATGATCCAAATGATCTGAAAAATGACCATCTTTCCAAATAATAAATTAGTTTTGTCTTCTTTAATGGAAATTTATCAGGCAATGGTTAGATTTCTCCCTCAGGCATATGAGTTTAAATTTTTATATGAGTATTCTATGCTAAATCTCTCATTGGATTCCCTTTTGTTAATTATTCAATCATTGTTTCTTCCACAAAAAGTACAGATCCTGGAGTAACTACTTCCCAAGTATTTTTTTCATATTTTTCCTATTTCATTCTTTATATTGTTTTTTTTAAATCTATTTTTGCTTAGGCTCTTTTTGTTATAAATCTTTTTTTCTTTTTAAAGCTCAAATGATCAGCTACTTTACCATAACCTTTTCTCACTAAATATTCTATTGCTTCTACAGTTTTCTATGTATGATTTTCTTTAAACCATTCTATTATTTATTAATATATTAATACTTGTAAATCCTTTTTTATCTTAAATTGGATACTTTCCTTTTGTTGTACCTGGATATCTTTAAAATTATTCCATTTTCAATTAATTTATGATAGGTTTCTTAAATCTCATATATTTTCTCCATTCAGCAACATTTCTAAATTTGTAAATATTTTCCTTTACGTAACGATGCTCTCCATTTATAAAGTATTTTCTAAGCATTTTCTTACCTCTTTTTCTTTGTTTATCTAGAGTTGCCAAGAAGTGTTTCGGTAATTTAGTATCATCGATCACTTTAATTATTATTAAAATCATTACATAATTCTCCCTTCTTCTACAATTCCAATACTTCTGCTTCTACTTTATAATCTACTTCCAATTGTTTTATTTATTTATCTAAAGTCAATTATTGTGCTCTATTAAAATGACTGTAATTATCCTTCTCATTTAAATCAATCACTTTGACTCTTTATAACAGATATTTTTATTTTAATTGATCTTCCTAAGAGATTGTTAATTTATCTTGAATTGGGTTAGGCTATCTTGGTAAGCTTTTATCCTTTTCCAATTATTTATTCTCAACTTAAATCACATTCTTCTAATTCGTCTTGTACTTTTTCAAAAAAGCAGAAAGCGATTGATTTAAACGTGAATAATTAAAACAGAGTTTAAATCTGTACATAAATAAATTAATAATAATCTCAATAATCAATTTTTATCACCAATTTACTGCGTTTCGATCTACGCTTTCTCACGAAATTCACGTTCATGAAATCAGTAAAATTTTAGGTCTCTTTGAATAGATTGAGCTGCTCAAGAATCTTTGAAGAATTCATATGTGTCATGTAATTTTAATAATCTTGGAATTTATCGAATTTCTCAAAAATATCTTTGTATGTACCCATATAATACTATGTTATTTAATCTATCCCAGGACTGACACCTTTAGACTCTGTTGAAGGAGATTTACTACTAGTCTATGAAAAAGAAGAATTTTCTTTAACACTATCAGTTTATGAATTTATTTAATCCTAATCCTAAGAGGTTTGATTTATAGATTTGAATGACAAAGTCTTTGCAATATCTGCAGAGATTCTATGTTATTCAAAGATATTGATTTCTTCTTAATTTTTAATTTTTCTTTCAGGACTAGGAGTTTCTGAATGTTAGGCAGAAATATCTTTAGAATATGAATCCCCTCCTAATTTATTTTTATCATCAGGCAATGATTTAAAATTTATATACTAACCATTTAGAAAATCTGGCAATCTTTTTATATATGAAGATTGTTTTCTCCCTTTTATATTCAACACAGATTGCTTTCTTTAAGTTGATCTAATCTCATCTTTTACCTATTTTTATCCATTCATATTGTTAAGTTATAATTCTTTTTACATTTACTACTGCTTTAAGGTTTAGATATAATATTAAGAACTGATTTATTAAGATAGTTTAGGGTCTTTCAATAAATAATAGAGCACTGTATCAGATATTTATGCTTCAAAAATTAATGAAGATAATCGTCTTTTTAAATTATTTCTTGATTGGTATTTCCTTTCTTGTGTTTAATTTTTTCGATATTGTATAATTATTTTAGTTTTATTAGGAAAGCCAGTCAACATAGGACATTAATATAACATATGTGTCGATTTATTGCATCCAACACAATGTAAATGAAACTCATCAAATCGGCCAGAAAATTTAACTAAGTCTTTCAATTAGCAATATTTTTCCTATGATTAACAACTTAAATACATATCCAAATTTCTTGGCTATGACATTGAAATCCGTTTTTGATATTTTAAGGATTCTTGATGATATTGTAGATCTACAGCTTATTTCATAGTTTTGATCTAATAGAAATTCTTACTAACCAAATATTTCATCTTATCCTGCTATCGTCTGAATACTTAAAATAGTAGCAGAACCCTCTGGTATTTCGACAAAATATTCAATCTCACCATCACATAAAATGTATAAATAATTACTAGGATCATTTTTTGTAAATATAGTATTGAATGGAACTAACTTTTCTTCAATAAATTTAGATGCTAAAGCAGATATAAAATCTTCATTAAAGTTCTCTTTAAAAAATGGAATCTTAGATATGCTCTTCATATTTAGATCTATCATCATTTCCTATAATATTATTTATCTTACACTATGAAGATGGGAAGGCAATTGCTGATTGAATTTATTTAAATCCAATTGATTCTCATTTTTTTAATCTTTCCATAAATATTCAAAAAATCTAAGAATCTTAATCTATAATTTATTATTATATCCTCTTATTCTCAGGTATTATTTTAGATCATTTAAATCAACACGGATTTAATGATTTTTTGATTACAACTAACCAATTATTTATCCAATGCAGTTGATTGAATAACCAAATGTGCAACAAGAAAAGATTGCTACAAAAATAAGAAAACTCTTCTCAAACAAATTCTAAGGAGTAATATCACCATATCCTATAGTAGTCATAGTTATAATGCTCCAATAGAATGTACTGAGCTAAAATAAATTAACTTATTACATATTTAATAATCCAAGTTTCATATATAAGTTCATTTTATAATAACCAAGATGATTCCTTATTTAAAAGCCCTACATAATACAATCCACAACAACATATATGTGACTCATAAACAATTACATAAATCAGTCTTATTAAGTCATAAATTATCCAATAATTAGTAGTAAGCTCTACTCTATCTATTATTGCTTCTGTTATAGTTGGGATTTAAAATGTCTTTAATAGCATAAATAAATAGAGTGATGAATTTTAGAAGGCTAAAAAGTAAATTGAGGTAGGTACTAAAATAAATAAATTATTAAAAAAATCTAAAAGTTTAAAATTAGAAATATACTATTTTTGTAAAAGTTGTACCAAATCTTATTTCGATCTTTCACTAAGTAGCCAGCTTCATAGTAGCAAGTGTTTAGTTATACGATTACATCTATTATATATAATATAAAGGGCAATTTAAACAGATAAATTTCGCAAAATTGATAATTTTCAGGTGGATAGTTTTCAAAATCAAAAGAAAATTTAACTGTCAGATACAGTATATTTAGATTGATATTTATAAGCATAATAATATTCCAAAGCAGTAATATAATTGATTCAGGTTCAAAGATAAGTCTTAAGTTAGTCACATAATCCATGAACCCTTTCATGTAACAAATCTTATAAAGATGCTATTATAAGAAATATTTAACGCGAGATGATTATTAGGGTTTCTTGATAAGATTAATAAATTACCATATATTTAAAGTAATCATGGAGTAGGTAATAATTAAAGTCAGCTGCTTTATCTCCAATAATTCTAAACATATTTCTATCCAATAGAGAGAATTTTGATGCAAAGGGACTACGAGTAATAAGTGAGATAAAGCGAAGCACTTACATAAGAACTAAAAGTGCTTTGTCTCTCCATATTTTGTTTTGAAATGAGTTCATTCTATTTGTATGTAATGTTTTCAAATTAACAGTCTTTAAAAATGCTGGTCTTAGTGATTATTTTGGAAGAGTTGGCTGTGTTTTTAATGGAGCACGTTCTGTAATGGATCCTAATTCTGAATTCATTTTTTCTGGGACTCACTCTTTTTAATATGATAAGAAAAATAAAAAAGGGAATGTGGATTTAATTAAATAATAGACTAATTTAGATTCTTACTATATTTTAAATAAAGATGAACAAAGTTAGAAATGTAATTTTGATATTATTATTTTCCTTATAAAGTAAAACTCTTACAAATAAAAAAATATATTAATGAATATCTCAATTAATTTTCTAACTTATAATTGTTATAATATTAAACAAGAATTAAACACAATAGGATAATTAAATTAAGAACTTGCCTAAATTAATTAATATTAAATATAAATTAAATCATAAAAAATTCATTTTTTTCTTGTGTAATAATCATACAAAACAATTTAGATTGCTTCTGGAGATTCTATTTCTGTTCTAGTCATTCCATCTTCTGGTTTTTTATTTGGATCTACATTAATGACCTTTAAAATAAATAGAGAAATTAATACCTTCCTATCTCTTTTATTTCTAAATAATAACCCTTGTTATCCAGAATTAGCATCTACTTTAAAATTTGGAGAATCATTTGAAACACATTAACCTGTTCTCCAATTATAATATGAAAGATCTGTTGGTCGAGGTTATAATTTTTTTTTGCCTTCAAAATATATTTTAAAATCCTCGCTTTTTAAACGATGTGCATAATCAATGTAACCGCTTACTTCACAATTAGCTGATTCCAATCTGATAAAAATAATTGTTAATAATTTTCCATTTAAAACTTTTAACTCTCTATAAATGATGATTAATAAATACCTTTCAGCTAATGCTCTAAGAAAAGGAGATTTTTCAATAATGGATGGATCACTAACTTCTGTATGAGCAAGTGCCTTAGTTTTATCTTTATTTTAATTTAGTCTAGCTTCTTCAACTGCTTTCTTTTTAGCCTCAAATTATTCACGACTTAAGATTTCAGTTTTTGCATGATAACCTTATTCCTTCAATTATCTGGCCAATTCAATATCTTCTAAATAAAAAAGATCTTCTTTTGTGATATGTGAATCCAAATATTCCTCATAAGTTTTAAATTTATCAAGTGAAGTATCATAAACTTCACTATCAAAATCCTCAGCAATCATCATTTAGTTTTTTTATAGAAAATATTATAATAATCAAATGTTAAATAAATTCTTAAAAGTCTCATCACTAAAATTAACTGCTTATTTTCTACCCATTAATTAGTATCTACTTCTCTCTTCACTAAAATATAATAATATATATTAATTACTCTGTTAATTGCATAATTCTCACAACAGATAACACATAATCTTCAATGTTTTCACATAGAAATCCAATATCATTGGCTAATATATCTAATTTAGGGCCTGCTGAATTATGAGCTATAACAATAAGACCAGCAGCTAACATTTCAACCATAGTAATTCCAAAATGTTCATATTCCATTGTATGTAGTCCAATCATCCCAGATGTAAGAAGCTTTTGAATATCTTAAAAAGGCAAGTTTTTATACATTGTTATATAATCCTAACGTAATTCAATTATTATATACTTAAAGATTTTTTCTATTTATTGTGTCTTAAATAGTTTGAAATAAAAGTTCATCATCTGCATTTCTGCAAGATCCAATCATATAAAGTTTGATTGATTGAGATATTTCTGAAGGTAATCTTTCAACTAAAGCTTCAATTATTTCAACTTATAATAAATGTTATTTCTCTGGTCTGAATTAAGCAAACGATATAATTATGAATTAATTTGTAAATTGCTTTCTTTTCATGAATGCATCAACTTAACAAGGTGGAAATAATTTAACCAATTAAGTAGATTTCCATGTCTATTTCATATGATTATATGTCCAAGTTGAATTTACATATGCAAATTCTACCATTCTACCACATAAGGAGTAAAAGAAAAATAAAAATTTGTAATACCATAATTTAATCTTTGTTTTTCTCTCAGATTTTGTAATCTCATCATCATTATTATATTTAGCTTCTTTTTTCTCCACTTATGAAATCATATCTGTGCTTATAAATGGATAATGAACATAGGCTATTACTCTTACATTTGGCAATAGTAATCTAACTATAAAAAATGTAAATGGTAATCCTGTTGAATCTAAGAATATATCTGGTTGAAAACTATTTATGCATTTTAAAGCATAAATCATTTATCCAAAAATTTAACACAGTAATGTAAATCTCTTTTTAGGTTCAAGCAAATTTCTTTATAAGATAGGAATAAATTTAAGTTCTTGGCTATTTATTTTTGTACCAAATCTACAGTTAGCTTTATCTATAATTGATTAATCATTAACTTCCTCTGCTGAATATATAACTATGTGATATTTTTATTATTTTTGCAATTTTTCTATCATACACATTAATACTTTTTCTCCTCCTCCTCCTGCATTACAATAAGGATGTAGAAATGCAAGTGTTTACTTTGATATTCCTGTCTCAAAATACTCTTTTTGTTTTCTTTGTGCTCTTTACTTAGATAAAGTAAATCTTTTGTAGAATATCAGACACAAAAGAATTATTAAAGAAAAAAGTGCACAACTAATTAACATAATTAATAAATTAATTTTTAATTAATTTATCTAACTTTCTTTTTTTTAATTTGACATGTTCATTTTATAAAGTTTATAGATAACAAATTATAATATATATATATTTTCAGCTTGGAATCAAAAAAGATAAAGGTCCTTACCTAGGGACAAAGAAGTTATTTTTAATTGATGAAGCTCTACTAGTATTGGATTAAACAATTCCTTTTTAATTTGTAATTGTCCCAGTTTGAAGACTCATCTTTCTTTCTTATGGATACGCTTGACATGAATTAAAGTTTTCATAATATGTGCTATCATTGACTTAAATTGAGAGTTGCTTTTTATTTAATTCAATATGATTGGTTTCAATATCTACAGAGATTGGAATTGTTTTACATATCTTACTTTCTATACATTTTTGTTGTTACTTGATTTCTTAAAAATTAAGTGTGTTCAGTTTATTTTATAATTCTTAATTCATTTATATATATCCTTTTAAATCAATAAATCTTCTAACTTGTTTCATTGCTCTAATCCTTTTTTCGTAATCATCCTTCATATCAATAGATTCAAATATTCTTATTATATCTATTATTAAGAGAGTGATAATTTCCTTTAATATTGGAATATTTGTCTTAAGCATTAAAACCTCAAGTTATCTATTCATTTTAAAAATGCTGTCAATCTTGTCAAAAGCATTTTTTTATGATGTAAGATAAGAATAATATAAAGAAGCAACTGAAGCTAATAATACATCTCCCGGATCTTTAGTTTATTGTTCAATAATTTTATCTGTCAATTAAGTTATCAAAAACTTATTCAATAAATGGACTAAGTAAAGAGATTTGAGAGCATTTAAAGGTTTTTAAGAATGTTGCAATCTTTATGAAATCTTTCGAACTGCTACTTTGGGATCTACATTTAAGTATTCTCCTGATAGACATTTATGTAGTATTTAATTGTTATTAATAAAAAAACACTACTTAAACATGTTTTGATTTAGGAACATCATCAATCAAACTTTTTAACCAAGAAGTTTCAACAATGTCTTTATTAAAGATAGTCAAGTTTCTCTTAATATTATTAAACATATTAATTATAAAAGTTTCAATCAGTGTTTTTAAACATGAACAAGTAGACAACTCTTAGGTAAAGGTTTCATGTATTAACTTAGTAATTGAACAGCCCTATAACCATAAGAAATACATGAGAGAGGTATGGCACTCCATCCTAAGAAGGTTTTACTAGCATCGAGTACCTCAAATACTAAAAATGCCAAGTCTGGGCATTTTATATTGTATTTATAGATAAAATTAAATTAAGGATTTAATCCATTTTAGGAGATGTTTGCAATTTGAAGTTTATTATTCTATTCATCCTACTAAAGACCTCGTATTGATATTTTTATTTAAGGGTTGACTTTTGCATTTTAATTCTTAAAATAGAGACTATACAAATACATTTAATTATCCAAGATTATATCCAACTAATAAACTAAGTGTGAATGATAATTGAATTGTTGTAAATTCATTTATTTTTTTTTTACCTTCAGATCTCATCCATTATGGTTTTAAAACATATCCAGATTCAATTCCTCCATTTTCCATAAATTTACACATATTTAATAACATAGGCATATCATTAGTTTGAAAATTGAGTGCCACTATTTGTGATCCACTATTAAAAGCTGGTATTGGATCATAATTACTAGAATCTACTCTTGAACCAGAAGGATATATTCGAGTAAAGTATTTTCTATGAAATTCAAGTAGATTTTCATTGACTTTACTTTCATCTAAAGAAGAGATCTCCCATACAGTTCTTATTTATTACTTAATTGCTGCTCCAAATAAAGCTGTTATTGAACTCATCTTAAGACTTTCCGCTTTCTCTTTTTTAGCTTTATCAATAGATATATCTTCATCAGAATCAACTTTTAGTGGTGTTTAAACCATCTAACATCTCGGATTAGGTGCATCAAATTTAAATTGAGTTTCAATATTTGAAATCTTATATTTAGGTCTTAATGTTGTCTCTGTTTTTGTTTTATGTATTATTTTATTAGGTTATATCTCCTCTTCTATTTAATAAAGATTTATCGTATTTTTATATTAATTTAATGGCAATCCATGATCTTGTCTCTTAAATGATTTTTGCGATCTTGGTATAAGTGTAGTAGGTGTATTTAATTACTAATCATTTTAAATAGATAAACTAGGTCTTTTAATAACATCTGGACTTTCAGATTCGTCAAAAGCAGGTGAAATAATATTAATTGGAGAAATAGATGTAAATCTTTCTCGATATTATAGACTAGAGTTCATTTTACCTCTGTGTTTTATAATAACCTTATAATAAAGTTAATTTAGTTTTGGATAGTATTCAGAAGATTTATAATCATCTGGTAATAGTAAGAGATTATCATTTAGATAAGTCTTTAAAATATCTGCCATTACATCCTATTATTTAACACAACAATGAACTTCAAGTGAGAGAATTAAAGGATATTTAGAATATTTAAAACCATACTCTTTTATAGTTTAGATAACTGATTCAAATGATATTTTAGATGTCATTGTAAACCCATGATAAATTATAGGTTAATTATTATCTCCATCCCAACAATCTAATTCTACACATCGACAACCTTTCTAAAAAGCATTTATATATGCTTATATCGAACTTTCACTAGTCAATTAGTCTCCCATTAAGTAAGTATTATGAGAAGAGTTTATCCAATAATCAGTCAAAGGATAATCTTCTGATTAATAAATTTATGTTTTTTGATAATCAAACAATTAATTGTAAGTACTTAATAGATAATTTAAGAATTCTAAAAAGGATAATGAAAAGTTATTTCCATCTTATTTAGCAAATAATCTAAATGCATCTTCACATTATTTTTAATAAGGAGATTATTCATTTGTTAAGAATTTTATAAATTCTGATTTGTTCATTTATTATACTGCATATCTATCGAATAGAAATCTAACAAAATCTTGGTTCATCAATCTCTTAAGTAAATCCTAATAATTAGAACTCGAAATGTATCCTCTTCTTTCCAAATCGTATTGATTAAAAAGGCTTTTAAGCTGTGAATAGTTTTAGATATACTTACTTCTTATTTTGTAATTGATAATTATGGAAGCATACCTTTTATTTACTTTAAGGTAATTTATTCAATAATTGGATTATCGTTAGTGCTTTTTATATCTCTTATCAAATTATGTTCTGCCACATCAATAAAATACTACAAACCTTGCCAAAATAAATCCCTTTCATCTTTTGTATTAAACAAAATAGTGTGCTTTTTAATAGCAAATGTTATTTAGAGAGTTCTTTAATAAGGTAGATTTTAAAATGACTCTGTCGTTGGAGTTTCTCTTATTTCAATGATATCTAATAATGGAATTCTACATTATGCAAATGGTCTTCCTGCATGGAGATACTATAAATAATCCATGTCTTCTTCATATAAATAATATAATCTAGATATTGGTTTTCTATTTGATTTATTATATTTTTGAACATGACATCCATAAACTATTAAATTCACTGCAGCACTTAATGTTCTTTAATCAAACTCTTTTCTATCAAATTTAGATGCAGAACTCTTACGTCCTTTCATAGTTACTAACATCTTATTAAATTAATATAATTCAAATTATGTCTAATTTAACTTTCTCTGGCATGAGAACTCTTAAAGCAAGAGTTGATGAAGATGATTAAAATAAAAAAAGACATCCTTTTGATCTATAAAAATATCAGCATATTTTAGAATAAATCTCTACTACTCATTAATTTGATATTGATCTTGAAAATAGATTAAATTAATTAGATCAAACTGAATAATCAAGACCTACTCTAGATAAAAGTTCATTTTTAAATAAATAATATGCTAAATATATCGAAAAAGGAGCAGATTTATAATTATCCAAAGTGGATTGTATTGATCCTGAAGATGATGTTTGCACTCATAAATCAACTAAATCATTATTAAATTTCATCAAAGGTAGACCTGTTAAATTCACAGAATTTTATAAAATATTACTATAAGAATATTCAATTGAATTTGAAAATGCAGAGTAAAAATTATAATTTAAAGAAAATTTAAAAAATAAAATTGTTACTGTTGATCCTAATATAGTCTCTTTAAATGCTCTTCAATTATGTACCAGAGACAAAGGAATCAAGGGTTTAATTGAAGAAATTGCAGAAGAAACTTATCAAGATATTAATAGAAAAGAAAAATAAAAAATAAATAATGAAATTGTTGATGAATTGGAAAATGTCAAATAATTATTAGAAAAAAAAAAAGTTTAGCAGATCAAAAAAGAAAAAGAACTTGTAGAATATGAATATTCATTATAAAAGTTTAAATCTGAGATGTCTAACAGTATTTAATAGGTTTATGAAATATTAAGTAAAATGATGGAAGAACAATATTAATAAAAACTAAGTAATTTAAATAAAAAGTTTAACAACTTGGAACATCAATTAAAATCTAAGGTTAAAATCATTGAGCTTAAAGGTTCTTCAATCTAAAAAAATAATTCAGCATATGGTTAGGAAATTCAAAGACTAAAATAAAGGAATGGATTATTAGAGAAATAAGTGGAATCTCAAAAAGTTAGAATTTTAGAATTAGAAAAGAAGCTTTCTTTAGAAAAAGATAATACAATTTAATTATAAAAGAAATTAGAAAAAGTTAATTAAAAATTAATAGAATAAAAAGAATAAATTAGAGAATAAATAAATAATACAGAATAAAATGAATCTCTATAATCCTTAAAATAATAGTAATAATAAGTTGTTGAATAATCTAAATAATAATAACCATAATAATTACAATAAGGAGATTAGTAAAAAAAATGTACAAATAATTAAGATAATTAAATAAAATTAATTAAAGTATTTTAAAGTGTATTTGAATAAATATTTATTGGATTAGATTAATTATAAATACAATTAGGAATTGAAAATAAAAAATGGAATCAAGAATTATTACCTTGCTGTTTATAAGATAATTTAATAGACTTGCTTGGGAATCTGATGTTAATAGTTATCAATAAACAAGGTTTTTAGTAAATTTATAAATTGTTGCTACAACTCTCATTTTTTTATTTTAAAAATACATGTACCACAATTAACTGTCAGTAAATTGAAGAAGTCATAAAAAATCAAAAAAAATAATAAAATTGCAAATATTATATTGGGATACACGATTCGAAAAACAGAGAATTTATTCTTCAATTAAAAGCCCTATTAGAAAAGAAAAAGAAAAATTAAACTTCAATTGCATTTTTATTGCTTTTATATGATAGGGATGTATCTATTTCAATAAAATATCTTTCTTAAGAAATTGTAATAATTTAATTAATTTTAGTGTAATGAAGATGTTCAGAAATTCATTTTAGATAATGGATTATTGGATGTATTTGTAATAAAAATGATTGATGATAGAAATACGGTGTAGTTACTATTAGAAATAATTGCTTAAGGCTAATTTTAGAATTAATTTTTGTAGCAATTGACAAAACATTTTGATATCTTATTAACCTTGCTAAATAGTTAAGATTTAGAATTTTGTGAGTAGCTTTCAATAGTCTTATAAAGAATCTAATATTACAATAAATAAACAATTCAAAATAATTTTAGAGGTCTGATTGAGAAAAAAATGAATTGTGATTCAAAATTTGAGTTGTTGAAATAAAATTTATAATTTATATTATAATGAATTAAGATGTTAATAATGTTGCATATGGATAAGGTTATTTGTTAAATACAAAAAATGAATAATTGATTCAAATAAATAAAACATATGATTCGTTTGTTTAATATGAGTAAGCAAGAACTGAAGCATAAAAGCGAATTTAAATTTAAGATTAAACCATTTGCAGATTAATGAAATTTACGACTAGCGAGTAAAAATCATTTTGTGGTCAATTATTCGGAATATAATTGCAATATTAATATACACAAAAATGTGTTGGAGAATTGAAAAAGCTAAGTTAGTTTGATTGTTTATCAATAATAAAAGATGTTACATAATCATTATTGATATTTATATCAAAAAGAATTAGACATGGGCAATTGAGTCCTTAAACAATATTGATAACATAAAATAACAGATACTAATTAACAGATATTCGATTTATAACTGATATGTATGAATATAAGATGTAATTAATTGGATTTACAAACTAATGTTATTTAGCTCCAATCCTGGTCTATGAATTGGGTAAACGAACATTGAATCCTATATACAATTATGAGAAATCAGAAGTATTCATTTTTTTTATTAAGGTTTTTTCATTAGGTTTGGTAATTTTGGAATTGGCACTTTAATAATCTGCCTAATCTATTTATGATTTATCTAAATTCATAGTTTCATAAGATGTAATTAATACATATCTGAGAGTATTATCACAGTAATATTAGCCTTAATTTGTTGATCTATTGGGAAAAATGCTCATGGTAGATGAAGAATAAAGAATTGATCTATATTAATTAGAAAAAATCTTAAGTTAGAAAGTGAATTTGAGTACGAATTCATTGGGAAATCATACTTAGATTGATAAATTTATTAATAGTACAACAATGAATAATAAATATCAACCTTAAAGCCCTTCACCTTCATAGGTTTATGTTAATAAATAACAGACCTATCAAATTTAAAATTCTTATAATACAAATAACTACAGTACTACTCATTAAGAGAGATATCAGTAGGAATAAAAAACTCCAAAAAATCAAATGACTTTCTACATTCCTTAGAGACAATAAAATACATAATCGAATTAAAGTCAAATTAATATATCATAATAATATTATTCTAAGAATCCTACTCAATTAAATTCAACTTAGATTTATGAGAGATCTAGAAAATAAAGTCCTGAAACTATGGATTCATATAGATTTACTGATAATAGAAGAATTAAAACAGAATATGACTATCAAATTTCCAATAATATTCATTAACATAGTTCAAGTAGCTTTATTTCTCCAGAAAAAAAATAAGATAATTAATTGGATCATTTATTTAATTAATTTGGAGAAAAGTTGTATAAGGTTAAATAAAAGATTAACCATTTAAGAATAAATACTCCTACATCCTAGAGTTAATCCTATTTTAATTAATCTTATCATTCATAATTTGCAGAGTCTGTAGATGAATTTCCAACTTTTAAACCAGATGCTTTACCTGAAAATATTGATATTGGTATGGATCAATCAAAATTTTAAAAGGAGTTTCAAAATCTTTAATCTACGAACTATAATTTTTAAGTATTGGAAAGGCCTAACTATTATCCTAATTCATTTTATGATGATATGTTAGGAGATGCCAGTTTACCTACCTCAGGAACTATACATATGCATAGTAGTGGGCCAGCTACACTAAGTGATTTCTTTTTGAAAAAAAAATGATTGTATTCTTATAAATTATTTTTATATATATATGTAAAATTTATCAGTTCCATATTTTTTTGAATACTTACAAATAAGAGTATTTAATTTAATTTGGCTAATTTAATATTATTATTTTTTTTTTACTTTATTAATATAGTGATAATTTATTATTCCCATAGCTATTCCAAAGATAAAATATTCCCAATAATCTATTTTAATTACTAAATTTCTTTTTTATAGCATATGCCAAACAGTTTCTAAAAATTTAGGAGCTAAAAAAATTGTTATTTCAGCTCTTCTATTTAGTTTTTCTGCAAAAAGAAAAACTCCTGAAAATAATCCAGAGAAACTAAGCGAAATTCCTATTTAAAATTTAGTTATGACATTACTATTATTAAACTCCATAGTTCTTAATTTACAGAAAACATATTTACATGCTGAAACATATCCAGCAACAAAAAATACAGAACCACAAAATTCCAAAAAGAATTATTTCAAAGTCTTTCCTGGACTATAAAATTATGTTTGTAGATTACTTTTGCTTTAATTTTTTTCTTTGAAATAATAATAAAGGGATCAAATGAATTGTAATATAATATTTATAAGAATTATTCCAAATTTTTACAAACCTAAATAAAGCATCAATAAAGCACGATCCGTTATGCATATCCTCACATTTTAGTAATCCCCCATTTATAATATGTTGTTATTATTCTTCACTCATTGGAATGTCCTAAAAATATATATTATGAGATTTTACTCCAATTGATATAGACATTAATTTATAATTATTAATATTGATCAAAAATCACAATTTTTAGACTTCATAATTTTTAAAAATTGTATTTAACCATTATAAATTATCAAAATATTACATTTAATGATTTCATATCTAAAAACTTGATAGAACATATACGTCTAACTTATTTTTTGTTAAAAACCTATTCATTCTAATAATATACTTTGAAAACAGATTTTACTAAATAATCTGCCACAGAAAAATAATCAATTTCATGAATCTTGTATTTAATATAATCAGTAAAGCATATATTAGAAGTATTGTATGCAAATGAAAGGATCTGTTCAAAAGAAATCATCAGAACACCCTCACTTATCAAATATTAATGATTTATTACCCAACTAAAATCAATTTAAAAACTTAATAGGACTTTCAAAAACTTTATTTGCTTAATTTTATTCTAATTACATAATTTCTCTTTCTTATTCTACAACTAAGAAATCTATCAAGTGATTTTAATTATGTTTATAAAATTATTCTCTTAATTTACTATTTATAGGATTTATGAGAAGTTCACTGATAAATGAGAAAATATCAAATGCTATGGCTTATAAATCAAGCACTTCAATCTAACCTTCAATCAGTTTTATTGATTTATTTATTTAAACAAATTCTCTGCTATTTAAACGCTCTCTTCCTTTCCCATAGTTTGATTTTTTATTATTATTTATCTAGTAAGCTTAATTAATAAAATAATAATAGAATATGTCTCTAAATTAAAACTGTTTAAGACCATAGTCTGTTTAAACTGAAAAAAATAAATCACTTAGATAAAATTATAATGTCACAGCATCAAAAGGAGACCTTCTCGATAATAGCTCAGATAACGATGAAAAATAAGAAACAAAATTTGAATAAAATGTAAAGTAATTACACCTTTTTGATATAGTCTAAATTAGAAGTAAATGAATTAAATGAAATAATCTTAAAAAAGATTTATAAGAAAAGATCAAAGATTCAAGAATAAAATTTAAAATCCTTTAGAACAAAATACTCATAATTAATTAATTAGTTTTGAAGAAGATGAAGTGTAAATTACTTAAGAAATAAATCACAAAAAATTACTGAAGACTAACCATAAACATATAATATCAATTAAGGGCTACAAAGAAAATTCAGTTGAAAGGATGCAAGTTATAGAAAATTAATTGAGATTATAACAATAAGATATTGAGATTTTAAAATAAAGTTAAAGCAAGGAAGAAATTTAAAAAAATGATTTTAGATTATCATAGTTTATCGAAATCAAAATTAAGGAGCAATATTCAAATAATACTTATTGTAATAATATAATAATAATCAAAAAGATCTAGATTAACTTTTTGAAAATTATCTTAAATCTATAAATTTAAATAAAATGTAAAATCAAAAATTTGATGAGTAATAAGAGTAGTAAGAATAAAATTATATATTTTTCAGGATTAACTTTAATTATGAAATTATAGAGAAAACATTCTTGATACTGTTTCACGATAATAAACTTCTTTAAATATGAAAATTGATTAAGATATTTCAAAATTGACAAGTTAGTTGAATTAAATTAACTAAACTACAGAGACACTTGAAAATGATTTGCTTTAATTAAAAATAAACTAAAAAAACATTTCAAAATAATCAAATTTTTAAAAAGAATAATAAATTAGGTATTTTATTGTTACAATATTTAAGCTTCAGTTAAATTACTTAATAGCTATGCAAATTTGACGAAAATGTAAAAGACATTAAAATTTATATTGATAATCATTTAAAGATTTTAGATTCAACTATAAATTCAGAAAAAGAGTAATATTTATCAATCATATAATAGAATATAAAATTAAAAAATTAATTAGATATAATAAAATATTAAGAATGAATTACTTTAAGTAAGATTAGATAATAAGAATTTTATATAATAATTGAAATAATCTTAAAATGACATAAATACTAATCAAGCTGATTTAATTAATATTAATAATAATATTCAAAATGAGAATATTCTTATAATTTAGAAAAAATGTGATTAAATCAATAATATAAATTCTGATCCCTTAAGATCTTAATCAATCAAAATATATATAAATCAATTATATGATGAAAGCTCAAGAAAAAGAGATACAGCAAAAGAGTACTAATATTACTTGAGAAAAGTTTAATCAGATGAAGAATTATTTCAATACTACAGAATCTAAAATGCATAATAATAAATGGAACTACGAAAATATTGTAGTTCATTTAGATAAGTGAGAGGAGATGGGAATTGTTTTTACTCAGCATTTGGATTTCAATATTTAGAACTTATAATTAGATTCAGTAATATGGAATTTGATACTTTAAAAAATTAAATACTTGGAAAATTTACTTGCTAAATTAATTATGAAACTTTTCACTCAGATTAGATACCTAATTTTAGTAATTAATTGATTTTTGAATTTATTTATAGAATTGAATAAATAAGATAGATTAAGGATTTGAATCAAAGATAATTATAATTAGAGTAGTAATTTGCTGCTCATGATGAAGAAAATGAAGGGATAGATGGTTGCTTTTATGGAATAGCAATTATATTTTTTAGAAGCCTTTCTAATCATTTATTCTAAAATAGTGAAATGTATCTTGCTATTAGTGCTTTCAACAATATTTTAATATGGGAGTAAGAATTTAACTCTACAGAATTAATTATTTCAGAATTAGCAAAATTTTTAAATATGTAAAATGATAATTATTCTAAGCCATGTAGTACTATTATTTTTTGATAAGAATGGATTTAAAGTTTAAGAATATTAACCATAAAATTAAGACAAGATTATACTTTTAATACGTCCTGGCCATTATAATATAGGTATTTAATGATAGAACAATACAAAGATTAATTTTCTAAATTTCATTTTTTTTTCTTATTATTTTCTCTTTCAACTTAATCAATAATAATTTTATTCTACTCTTCAATCTTTTAAAATAATTATTAAGAAGTTCCAAAAACTTATTATTGTATATACTCTTCAAACTCATTAGGTTTCTTTGATTCATGTTCTTATTACAAAGTTTCTTCTTAATTTTCTTAAAGTTAATCTTGTAGGTCTTAGTTTTCTTTTTCCTTCATGTTTCTTCTTTTGGCATATTTTTCTTCTTCTTCAGAATCAATATCTGCGTATTATTTATTCTAATATTTTAAAATGAAATACATTTTAAGGTATAAAATTGGCTTAAGATAATGGAGGTACAAAAGTAGGAATATCCAAAACGACATTATAAACAATATCTAATCCATCATCAGATAGAGCTTTAAAATAGAATAAATCATAGTGAGCAATATAATCATTGAGCCAAGTTAAGAGTGTTCTAACTTCTAAGGAATTTAATCCACTCTTATGAAAAATTAATAATCTTTAGAATTCTTTAATATCATCTGCTTAATTCTTTTCTTGAAAACATTGTTTGATATATTTTGCATTTCTGTAAAAAAAGAGATGTAGGAGCATATTTACAATTAATTCTTTTTTTTCACTAAATTCTTTAACAAATGAAACTTATGTCAAAGCATATTCATTCATAATTTGAATATCAACAGGTCTTAATTTTTAATAAGATTCTATTGATTAAATTCTTAAGTATTACCTTCATATTTTAGATATTTTATTAAACTGTCTCTAATGGATGAAATATGATTTTATGTTAGTATTGATTCAGCAATAATTATTCTGATACCAGAAGGCAATGTTTAGATTTCAATTTTTCTTGAAGATTTGTGTGATGATTCTGACATTTTTCTTCCTATCTTTCTTTAGGTTGGTGTTTGCTAATTCGAACGAGGTGAAAACATTATAAAAATTTATATTATAATTAAATAACTAAAAATAATTTAAGAGCAGGATATAAAACTATAATCACTTGACCTTGTAAAATGTTTTCACTCTAGTATCATTATAATAGGCTAAATTAATTTAATTATTTTATCCGTAATCCACTGATTTTTATCTATTAGATTCTTAAGCATATATTCCTTGCCTACAATAATAATCACTAATTCCTCTAGGTCTAACAGATGGAGTAATGTTTTTTGATTAATTAGGATCTCTAAAAGTTTAATTCAAATCTAATTTAAAATTGTCGAGTTATGGTCTTTTAGAATCTACAGAATGAATTTTAGGTGATTAATTTAAAGTTGTATTTTATTGAGAATGTAGAGAATTATTAAGATAACGACTTCTGAGATTAATTGGAGAATCATCATGTAGTTTTGGTCTAATAACAGGCAAAGGTTTATTCTGCTATTTAGCACCATAATCGGAAGTAGAAGCATGCTTAGGTGGATTTAATTTAGGAGTGAATATATCAGACCCAATATCTATTTTGGTAAAAAGTAATAAAATTACCAGCAAAAGATTTTCCTCCATTGATTAAATGCTTTTTTAATAATAAATAATAAATTGTCGTCACTTAATTATGTCTATTATTTTCTACACACTTTTCAATATAATCTTAAGCATAACCCATTTTAACCAATTATTTCAATATATCAAAGTCTATTGGAATCTTATGAGATCCAACAATAATGCCAACTTATAATGGACTTTTGTGATTATTAGTTAGCCAAGGATGTCTTCTAATATCTTAAATAGTGTATCTTTTTAGAGGATCAGTTTATAAAATACCAGCAATTAAACTCTTAGCAGGTAATGAAATAGTGCCAGGACATTTGTATTCTCCTGCTAGTATTTTTTTATACAATAGATTTGTATTGGCCTCTTCAAATGGTAAATGGCCAGCTAACATAGCAAATAAGATAACACCGGCACTCCAAATATCTGAATTTAATCCATTGTATTTCTTGCCAGCTATCATTTCAGGTGCTGCATAACATGGTGATCCACATGCTGTTTTTAGTAATTCATCATTTTAATATAAATTAGATAGTCCAAAATCAATAATCTTGATTCTCTATTAATTTTCAAGCATTAAATTCTCAGGTTTTAAATCTCTATGTACAATTCTCAATTTATGCATATACTCTATTCCTTAAATTAATTAAGCAAAAAGTTTAGCTGCTTCTGCATCTCTCAATCTCTAGTTTTAAACTATGTAATCAAATAATTCTCCACCATTTATATATTCCATTACTAAAAACAGTTATTTTTAAGTTTCTATTATCTTAGTATAATCACATAATACTTCATATAATTACACTAAATTTGGATGTCTGATTTATTTCAAAATCTAAATTTCTCTTGTTACTCTTTCAATATCAGAAGTATCAACTATTTTGCTCTTCTCTAAAATTTTGATTGCCACCTTTTCCTATGTTGTTTAATGGATAGCCAATTTCACCTTTCCAAAGGTACCTTCTCCTAATGTTTTGCCTATATTCATACTTCAAAATATATACCAAATACATATTATCCGATTGATTATTATTTATTCATTATAATTATGTTTAATTCTAATGAAAACGTGCTCGAAGAAAGACTGCCATAAAATTATATTGATGTTAAACTAACTCTTTGGAAAAAATCATCAATTATTCAAGACTTTAAATAAAATTCCTTTTTTAGCACAATTCACATTTATAATGATAGATTATTGATTTGTTATTCATAAAAAACAGAATTACATGGAGTGTATATCAATAGAGAGAAATTTAACATAGAAGAGCATTTTGTATTTTCTGGTGAATAATTTGACTATTAATTTGTACATCCTTAAACTTACTTTACTAAAAATTGCATTTGGTTTATTTCATACAATAGAGCAACTCAATAACAAATCTTTTATGCTGATTTACCTACTAAAACAATATTATCTATCAAAAGTGAGTATAAGCCATAATTTAGAATTAATTTCTCATTTACATAAATAGCTGATTTATCATTTTACATTTTTGGTGGTTTAGATGAACAAATGAGACTTTCAAATTAATTGGATTTTTTTTAAGTTACTTAATGTGATTTTACACCTGTAAATTTTAAAGGATAACCTCCTTCTCCAAGACATAGTCATCTAGCATTTGTTAATATCAATAAATTAATAATAGCAGGAGGTTCACAATCAACAAATTTATTTGAGAGAACCTCTTTATAAGATATGTATTCATTAGATTTAAAAACTTTTACATGGAGTCAAGTTAAAACTAATATTCCAAGATCTATTGCTTTTGGTCAATATGTCTCTCTTAATTAAAATTAGTTAATTTATTTTGCTGAAGAAAATGGATAAACCACCCATTATCTATTATCATTTACAGATAATCAATGGACCTGTATGAGGTCTTAAAAGGAAGTGTAATTAAAATTATTTTATTTCATAGACCTTCCTATAAATATAGAGCTTGTGCTTGTTTAGATATTAAAAACAATCAAATTTTACTATTTGGAGGCTACAACTTTTAGAAAAATATTGTTAATTGTAATGTTGTTGAAAGATTATAGATTATTACTAAAGTAATTTATATCTATATAATTTTAGGATTTTAAAGAATAAACATTATTAGATTATAATGGAGACTTGATCAATATCAGTAAATTCGAAAAACAATTATAATAACAATAATAAAATCTCCAATTCCAAGAAGACAATAAGGATAATGATTAGCCAGAAGAATTGACTTTTGAAGAATTATTGGAATAAGAAAAATAACTCCAATAACTTCAATAAGATGAAATTAAATAGGAAACAAAAAAATCTAATAAGAAAAATAATAAAAAGAAAAATAAATATAAATCTAAAAATTGATTATAATGCATATATGTGATTTTTTTATAGAATGCGCATAAATAGAACAGAAAATTGAGCAAAATCGATAATTCTTAATTTAGCTGCCCACTTTCCATCCTTACAAAGCATTCATTTAATTATCAGATGCAAATAATAAAATTACAACTACCTCATTATCTACTTATCTTAAGAATTAAGGATTACTTTGTACAGAGCAAGAATGTCAAATTTTAATTTAAAAACCTTTCAAATATGTTGATTTTTTAAGATTAATACTCCCAAGTGATTAAACATTAAGAAATGTAATATCTATCCAAGAACCAAAATAACAACTATCACCAGAAGTATAATTAGCTTTAGCAAGACATTTAAATTTATAAATTGATTTAATGAATTCTTTGAAAACATCTAACAATGTATTTTTTGAAGGGACAATCCAAGATGTTTAAAAATATTTTAAAGATAAATTAGCATTTATTAGTGAAAAAGAATTGGAATAAATTTCTAGACTTCTTGATTAATCAGGAGATGGATTAATCACTACTTCTTAATTTATTAAAAAGAAAAATGAAATATATGATTTTACGTTTTCCACTCCAAAATAGGCTAAAACTAATTTGCAATCAATGACAACTAAAAAAAAAAATGAGCAAAAATTAAAATATAATGGTAGAAGTAACAAAAAGCCAATATAGGATTTGAATAGCAGAGATGATAATTATTTATGTATTGAATCACCATTGATCCCATTGGTAGCCTTAATGAGAAGAGAAATTAAGTTAAACTCACTTAAGAAAAGACTTTTAAATTAAAAAACATTTAATTTCTTAGATGCTTTTAAAGCACTAGATCAGAATTCAAATGGGTTTATAACTATGCAAGATTTTGATAAATTTTTAAACCAACAACCTGGAACTTCAGAATATTTATTTTCGTTGAAAAAAGAATTCTAATTTAGTGATTTTCTTAATTTAATTATGCCTAATGACCATATCTAAATATAAAATAAGCAATTTATTGATAAACCCATAGAAGAGATATTTTCTCATTAAACTTTATAATTATTTAAAGAGTATCTTGAGTTATTATAAACACCTCCTCCTAAATTGAATGGTTCAAAAGATCTTTTTAAATTAATTGATTCGGTTACAAGAGATAATTATATTAGTGCTACTGATGTATTTTACTTATTATTAATAATTTTAGCTTTAATAATATCTTTATATGAATGGTCTTCGATACAATGCTTCGGAAGTAACCTTGTTGATAAATAGATATGACTATAATCGAGATGGGAAACTGTGTTTCTATGAATTTTAAGACTTGTGATTAATATTATTTTAAATAATGTTATCCATTATTAAATTTTAATTTTCAAGAAGAAAAGAACACTTGGAGTAGTTTGAAAAAGAAGAAGCATTAAGACTAAGAGAAAGATATTAATAAACTAAAGTATAGCACTCTGTAGTGTCAGATTTCTTAAAAATTATCAGATGGAAAGTATTGAAATCTGCAATTTTTGCTTTTGGTGTATTTTTTGCATATTAAATGTATGATACAGCAGATATCTACTATGATTAAAAGCTCAAGATTTTACCATTAAAAACAAAACATGAAAGGTCCTTAGCAAACGCCACAATTACTTTATTGAAATTAGAATAAAATTTAGAAATTGATTGTGAGTTAGAAGATAAAGTCAAGCCGTATTCTTTATTTGTTTTAGATGAAAATTATCCAATTTTTAATCTTCTTCCTAATGATGTCTTAATTGCCAATAAAAAATTGTTGCAATAAATTAGCCCTTAATAAATTTAATAGTTAATTTAATTTTGCAAAACTCATAAAGAAATGAGAACTTCTTGTAATTTATTGGATTTAAAATATATACCTACATTAACATTTATGAAACTAAGAAATTTTATGAATTTAAAGGATATGAATTAAATCATTTTGGCTAGAGAATATTTCTTTCTACCAATACCAGAAGAATTTGAAATAAAAAATGAAGAAATAGCAATATTAATGAAAAAATATTAAAATGTTGAATAGGGACCATTATCTTTTATTTTATAACATTAATATATTTTATGAATATAAATTAATAATAATATTATTCAGCATTCATCATCTAGTAATGGTGGAGGCGAAAAATGACGAAAAAATAAGTTAGCAGAATAAAAATTTATTATACTTCTATATCAGGCTAAAGTAATAAAATTAAATCGAGCTAAAATAAAGCATTTTTAATTTTAGAATAAAAATCATGGCCTTTATAAAAAATAGATGTTGCTTCTGATAAAAAGAGTGTTTAATTTGTTTAAGCTTTTAAGGAATATGGATATGAATTGCCTTTAATATTCATTGATGACATGTACATTGGTGATGGTGAGAAATTGCAAGAATTAGAGGATAATGGATTTTTAGATGAAATTTACGAGTAACAATATTTGCAAAGATGTTTATTATGCAATATGGATAGAAAAACTGAAGATCAAAAGTATTGCATCGATTGTAAATAAAATTTGTTATTTTTTCGAGTAATTTGATTTAATATTAATCAATATTCATTATTTACTTAATTTTTTTATTCTATAATATTTATAGATAAAGTAGTAATTACTCATTGCAACAAGTTACATTATGGATAAATTTACAATCAAATGTTCAAATACATCTCTACTTCCAAAAATAAAAAGCAGTGACGATATTGCAAAACAAATTGAATAAATAATATAAATTGTATCTACCATATAAATCAGGGATGAAAATTCAAAGCATAAAAAGGAGATAATAGAAGAAGTTAAGCCAGATGCACAAAATCCTAACATTGCAGCAAACAACTAAAAGAAAAAGTAGATATTTGTTCTATAACTTATTACAACCCAACTAAAAATAAAGCTAAACTGTAAGATAGTCAAAGTGAAAATCATCCAAACTATTTTATCTTTAAAATCCCCAAAAATCCCGATAGCAAAACATCCAAGAACATAACCTAAGCCTACATAAAAGAAAATAAACTCAATTTCAAAGGAACTACTAGCATCATCAACTTTTGAGGCTAAAAACATTATATAATTGAGCATTTAGATATAAATAAAACCTTCAAGTAAAGCTACAGTAAGTACTAAAGGCAATAAATATAGGGCATTTCTTTTCCATAATTCATATGAAGTATATTTTATACATTCTAAATATGATTTATTTTAATAAACATTAAATTCTTCTTTTTCAATTATCATACTTAAATTGCTTGAATCTAAAGAAAAACATTGAATTGTCATATTATTCATAATTTATTTGAGTTCTTCTTCTGATTTAGCTTTTTATTATTAATTTAAATTCTCAACTTATATTCCACTGATTATTAATTATCTTAATGTATTTAATTTATCTATTTGTTAACTTGTTTTAATTTCAATTAAACTAAGAATTTGTTCTTTAGTTCTTCGTAACCTTGGATGATTGGGTTCAAAAGTAGTTAAAAAGAGAAGACTTAGAATTAGTTATACAACAGAAATATAAAATAGTCTGCCAGTTGCCTCAATTGTTGCTCTACTAAAAATTTCAGCAAAAAAGCTACCTAATATCCATTAAAAACTATGACTAAATTTATATATGTATAAATTACATAAAATAGAGTGAACAATAATATAATATTTTTTCGTCTCCGAATGATAAGTTAGATAAATAATATAGCATTCCAAATAAGAATATTACTGATAATATTCCAGAACAGATTGAACAAAGTATACCAATTAGATAGATTGCCCAATCAGGACAATTCGAACTAGATGCCAGAATGGCAGGTAAAATAAAAATTTAAGGTCCTAAAGATCCTACCATCAATATAATTCTAAATGTGATAAAATTTACAATTTTAGGCAATTATGCTAATCCTATAAAAGCAACTGTCTAATAACAAAACCACATTAAATTTCCTAAATTGTTTTCATCTCCAGGAAACCTTTTAGCAAATATGTCTTATTAACACATTTTTCCGGCAATGTTAAATGATATAAAAAATACGTAGATTAATAAGGCATGTAAAGCAAGGGGAAAGTTCTTATCTGAAGTTGTGTATTCTGACTTCTTAATATGAGATTTGAACTCCCTATATTATTACATTAAAAATTATTTAATGCAAATTTTATCTGATCTACAATATCTCTAAGAGAGTTTTTCACAATAATCCATGTAGATTAGATAGCTTTTCACAGAGATTTAATTAGCTTAATAGGCTTTGTCATCATTAAAGCAACCTGTAATGTAATTGAGATAGAGCAAATCAACAATTATTTTACATTCCACCTCTTAAGAATTTAATTAAAGCCATAAAAAATTTTCGAGAAATTCCTCACTAACAAAAGAGGATTTTATTGAATAATGTTTAAAAAATATTGAATAAGCTAATAAAACTAGTAATGTCAATACTCCTTCACCTCAACACCCTAAATAAACGAATAGAATAAAGGGAAGATTAGAGAAGCATATTCCAGAGATGAAGACTTAGGCTGAATAAATTCCATAACCCACAACTAGTTTATAGTCTATTTTCTAAGCAAGTAATAGTCCCCAATAAAAACTGACTAAACTTATGCAGCTTGATGACTTTAAGATTACAACTAAACAATAAAAATAAGAATATTTTAATATCCATGAAGAAGGATAATTATAAAATTGAAAATATTCAACTTTCCATTATTTCATAGTACAACTATTCAAATTCTAAGTGATAAAATATTTAATGTACTTTCATCTTATTGTCTTCTGTATTTCTACTCTAACAATTCAAAAAAGCCAACATACTCTGATTTTTCTGCATCTGGAGTCCATGTATCTGCTAATTCAAATAAAGAATCAAATAAATCTGTCTTGCTCATATATCCATTTCCTTTTGAATCGTGCTCCCTTTATAATTATAAAGTTATACCAATCCTCCAATAACAAAAATTTAATCTCCTCCTAATCTTCTTCTATATCCTTTCTCAATAAATATGCCAATCTAATATGGGTTTTTAAATAATTTTCCTTGATCAATTTATTATTCTTATCAAATTGATAATGCGACATAAAAGTTTCAATGCTGTTAACTACATCAGGATCACTTTTAAGTTTTCTTCTCTTTGTGATATTCTCTTTGGAATACATATTTTCATCTCCATCTTCATGATAAGGTTTTACTAAGTTAACATCTCTAGAGCCATCAAAGAGAAAATCTAATTTACCATTGGCAATTCTAATAGCTTATTACTATTATTTGACTTAAGGAGTTAGCATTTCAATTATTTTTATTTCCTCGTCTATGATTTAAAGAGAAGCTTACCTGTGAATTTAACTTATTTATCTGTTTTGTTATTTTTCTTTTTACTCTATTTTTATTATTAAGGCAATTGTGATTGTCTCAAAGAATCTTCAAAACTGATTTCTTTATTTTACATTTAGTTATTTAAATAATCATTAATTATTAACGTATAGATGTAATCTGAAAATGCTCAGTTTTGTTAAGAAATGAGATAACAATTAAGTGATATCAAGAATAGAATAAATAGATTATTACCTTAAAGGAGTGTTAGTCCTATAAACAGTCAAACCTCATCTACGATGTCAGAATAATCTCAATAATCATTGAAATCAAGTTAGTTCATTCGGCTTTCACAAGAAGATGATGTCTAAAAGAATATAGCAAAGATAAACAATATGATAATGGAAAGAAGATAAAAAACCGAGTAACTGCTAAAATATTAATATTGATGTTTGTTATGATTTATACTTGATTATCATTTGCCCCCTTTAGCTACTGTATATAAATCTGTTCTTTTCTGGATTGAGGTTGGTATATTTTTTCTGACCTGATCAACAAGTGATAAGTTAATTTCCTAAATTAAGACTGCAGGATCAGATTCACATGTTGCTAATACTCTTCCCATAGGATCGGTAATAATAGAATGACCCCATGTTTAATAATAGTCGGGATCATCAGAATAATATCTTGCTGCTTAAGTACTAGCAACATAAACTTGATTGTCTAGTGCTCTGGCTCGATTTAGCAATTCCCAATGTAAAGGTCCTGTAGTTTAATTAAATGCTGAAGGGAAAGACAACACTTGACAACCTGCATCTCTCATCACTTAAGAGAATATAGGAAATCTAATATCATAACAAATTCCAAGACCGTATCTTCCATATTAAGAATCAAAAATACAATAATCATTACCAGCTCCAAATGTATTAGATTCAAAATGAGTAATTCCTCCTGGGATATCTACATCAAATAAATGGCATTTTCTATATTAACCAATAAGTTTTCCATCATTAAATGCCAATGCAGCATTAAACAATTTACCTTCAGCCACTTCTGGTAATCCACAAATAATCATGATTTCTAATTCTTCAGATAATTGTCTCATTAAATCATATGTTTCTCTATTGTTTTTATCTGAAAAATCTTCAGCATTCTTTTTTAAATTATTAGTTTCGAAAACAGTGTTAAAGAATTCTCCTAAAAATATCACCTTGCATCCTTTCTAAACACAATCATTAATTTGTGTAGCAACTCCCTGAAGAATTTTTTACTTTGTATCAAATATAGCATTTTGTATTAAAGCCACTTTATATTTTGTGAGGATTTACATAAAATTTTAATAATAATTAATCATTTTTTGCAAATTAATTCGTATATGTCATTTCTTCTTTATTAAGATACAGGAATCTATTATCTTACTTATTCCAAATAATCTAAATCAATTTCACTTATAATGACTGCTGGATCATGTTCACATGTAGCTAATATTTTAGCCATAGGATCTAACAATGTTGAATGACCCCATGCTTTGTAAACAGATTCATCATCTCCTAAGTATCTAGCTGATGATACTCCAGCTACATAGCATTAATAATCAACTGCTCTAGCTTTTAATAACAATTCCCAATGCAATGGACCAGTTGTAAGATTGAAAGATCCAGGATATATTAAAAAATGACACCCTTTCTCTCTCATTACTTAAGCTAACTCTGGAAAACGAATATCATAGCATATTCCTATTCCAAATTTACCATATTCAGTTTCAACTATTGTATAATTATTACCAGCTGAAAATGTTAGTGATTCCTTATATGTTATTTTGCCTGGAATATCTATATCGAATAAATGAGTTTTTCTATAAGTTGCTAAGAGTTGTCCATTGTTCAAACAAATTGCTGTGTTATACATTTTGTCTCCACTTTTTTCAGGTATAGAACCGATTATCATTATTCCAAGTGTTTTTGAAATTTCACTCATTAAATCAATTGTTTCCCTTTCTCCAATTTTTTAGAAATCTTCAGCATTGCTTTATAACTAAGCTTTAACATAATAGCTATTAAAACACTCTCCAAGAATGCAAACTTTACTTCCTTATTTTGCAGCTTCCTTTATCTGATCTTAAATTAATGCTAATGTTTAGGTTTTAGTTGCTGTGATAGCATTTTATATACAAGCTACTTTGAACTTTTTCAACATTAATTTGTATATTAATAATTAATATTATTTTGCCCAAAATTATATACATAAATGTTAAATCCATTATAAATAATACACACTATAAATCTACTACTCTGAAATACTGACTGTATACAATCATTAAAAATTTGTAAATCCCTTATAAACTTTAAAAAATTTTAGATATAACTTTTTCAAGATATATATGAAAATTTTTATATGTTATTTATTCAATATATTTATATGGGTTGTCACCTAAATCTTCAAAAATTATGACTGAATTATCTCAATAATTCTCTATTGATGAAAGAATAAATTGAAATATATTTTTCAGATTAGCTTTTAAAATTAATTTGGTTTTTAATTTCTGAAAGATTTAAAGAAATTATTATCTCTATTTTTAATAGACTTATAATCAAATGCCTATAAGGTTAAAAAAAATAATTAGAACTACCAGAAAAAAATAAAAATATTATTTGATTAAATGTGATTTATAGCTTAAAATGATGCTGAAACTATTATGAATTAATTATTTTGAAGTTTATTTTTCAGAATACTTTATGACTGATAATCATTCTTTCTCCAATATTTAAAACGAAAACTATGATTAACAAAGTTATATTCAAAAGAGAGAAGTTGTCACTACAAATAATATGACAACATTTGTTATTGATCAATAAGAAGATTAATAATTTGAATAAAGACCTCTATAAACTCCAAATGAAGGCTAAGAATAATCCATGCTCTCTATTCCAGAATAAGAAGAGGAAGAAGAGTAAAAATTTCCTTTTTTTTTGGGAGAAAATAACTGTTTTGTGTAAAAATTATTTTTTATACACTTGACTTCTTATTGCTTATTTTTAAAAAAAAATGTTTTAGATAAAGGGGAAAAAATTTGTGATAAACACTTACCAAAGTTGTCGTTTTCAGAAAATATTAAATAGACTGTTGAGTAGTCTTAATAGAAATTAGAAAGAATTTAATATATACATTTCTACGATTTAGTTAAACTTGTTTTTTTTGGAGAATTAAAGTTTTTAACTTTAATCAGTTGTTTATCATACTGTTGTGAAACTATTGCAAAAAATGGAATTTCAGTAATAATGAGCTTATTAATCACTTCTGTATCATAAAAGAAAATGGATGAAGCATATAATTATGCAATAGGTTATATTTTATTGAGTTTGATTGGAATTATCTTTAGACATCATGGCTCTAATTTTTCTATGATATTTTCATCAAAAGCAAGAATGATGTTAGTAAACTTAGTTTTCAATAAGTTGACCGATTTAAGTTCTTTTTCAATTAAAGAAGCTAATATTGGTAAGATCCTAAACCTGATTTCAGGTGATATTAATTAACTTGAATCAATCCTTTATATGATATTTTAAAGTAGTGTAATTTTACTGTCAGTTGGAATTGGTTGCTATATTTTATGGGTTAGATTTAATGGTGCAATCGGTGTTTTAGTATTGGCTATTGTCTTTTTAGCGTACCCTATTTAGATTGCATTGTAATCATTCAATTCAGGAACTTTAAAACAATCTAAGTAATTTTAGGATAAACGTTTAAAATTAACGAATGAACTTGTAGAAGGAATACGATTGATTAAAATGTATGCTTGGGAAGAGGCATTTTATTAAATGATATCTACTATTAGAAAAGATGAATTCAAATGCTTATTTAAAATAGCTATTCGTTCGTCAATTGACAGATTATTTACAATATTATCTCAAATTTGGTCAAGTTTAATTTTTTTTATAATACTTCATTATTCTGGGTATCGTGAGATAATGAGCGTTGCTGAAATGATATCAACTCTATAATTATTATCTTCCTTTAAAATTAGTTGTATATTAATGGTATCTTATGCAATTTAATCAGCAATATTAATTAAAATATCTTTTGAAAGGATTACAAACATTTTAAACATCAAAAATCGAGAAATGGAAAAAGTTAAAGATGATCGAACTACCATTAAGAATCTCTAAATAGATGAAAATTCTTAAAATTTAAGAATTTAATTTAATAATTTTGATGGATATTGGTAAAATCCAGAAGTATTAGAATCGAAGCCAATATTAAAGGGAATATCATTAGATATATCAGATGGAGAATTGTGGGCAATAATAGGAAAAGTAGGAAGTGGTAAATCTTCATTAATAAATGCTTTATTATTTGAGATGCCTTTTTATAAGGGTGAATTTCTGATAAATGGAAAAGAAGCTGAAAAAGGAACACTAAATACTGCATATGTTGAATAAGAACCTTATATATTTCCAGGGACTATTAGAAATAATATTTTATTTGGAAGATCATTTGATAAAGTATTATACTAAAGAGTTATCCATGCATCTTAATTAGAATAGGATTTACTGTAAATGAAATTCCATGATTAAACTGAAATAGGGGAAAGAGGAACCACACTTTCTGGAGGTTAAAAGGCTAGGTTATCATTTGCAAGAGCATTATATTAACTGGCAGACTTATATTTATTGGATGATCCATTATCCGCAGTTGATGCACATGTTGCTAGGAATATGTTTCAGACAGGGATTAAAGAATTCATCTAAGAATATTAAGTTATGATGAATCCTAATAAGAATAAGCCTATTGTTGTTTTAGTAACCCATTAGATTTAGTATGCTTTAGAATGTGATAAAATAGCAGTAATGAATAATGGAGAAGTAATAATGTCAGGTACATTTGAAGATTTGAAAACTAAAATTGATACAATAAATGATGATTTAGCAGGATAATTATGTTAATCACCTTCTCCTAAATAAAGAAAATTTAAAAGATCAATTATTTCTCATAGATCTAAAATAAGAAATGCTAAAATTAATTCTCTTATTGTTAAAGAAGCTGATTAGTAAAGATTAATTAATTTAAAAACTTATTCAACTTATTTTAGTTATTGGAAATTATTAATCTTTATTTTAATATTAGGACTTGAAACGGGATCAGAAGTTTTGATAATTTTTTATTCTAGAATCATTTCCTTATTTTAATTTTATAGAGAATCATGATATAGATTAAGCCTATTTAATTTTAGGTCTTTTAACTCTAGGATTATTAATTTGCAATTTGATGAAATATATCTTAAATTCTATTTCAGTCTAAAGCACAACCTAAAAAATTCATAATAAAATGTTAAATTCTTTAATTAAAGCTCCAATCTCTTATTTTGATGTGAATCCATCTGGTAGAATAATAAATCGATTTTCAAATGATTTATCCTTATGTGACTATTCAACAAACACAGTAATTTTAGATGTTCTTGAAATCATAGGATATTTCTGCTTTGCTTTAGTAACCTTGGCTATCCTATAACCTTTTTTTTTAATTATGATCGTTTTCATCATTATTATAGATGTTTATTAATATATTTTCTTGAAGAAAATAATTAGTTAATTGAAAGAGTTGGAGTTGATGCAAAGAAGTCCTCTTTTTGATTTTTTAAAATAAACGCTCTCTGGAATAGCTTAAGTTAGAGTGTACAAATAAAAAGAATGGTTTAGAAATCAGTTTTTATAATTATCAAATAAATGTAATTTGAACTCTTTAACATATTAATATGCAACAAGATGTTTTGGCTTTAATTTAGATATTGTAGGTTGCATAGCCTAAACAGTAGGAATATTCTTATTCTTATACTTTAATAATGATAATATTCCTGTACTTGCATAAGGTATATTAATGCTAACTACTTATAACGATGGATTATAATATGGCTTAAGATAATTGATCAATTTTGAGACTTAAATGAATTCCTATAATAGAATGTTTTAAATTATTGATATAAAATCAGAAGCACCACATACAACCAAAGCAGATTAGCAATATTCAAATTTTCCATAGAATGGTGATGTTACATTTGATAATATTCATATGTAATATAGAGATAATTGTCCCTATGTTTTGTAAGGACTTACATTTAAGATTAAAAGTGGAGAAAAGATAGGTTGTGTAGGGAGAACTGGAGCTGGGAAATCCTCTATTATATAAGCTATTTTTAGAATGAATGAGATTGATAAAAGCTTTATTTCAAAATTAGAAATTGCTAATGTTGACATTTAAACCTTAGGATTGCATAAATTAAGGAGTAGTATTGGAATCATACCATAATCTCCTTTTTTATTTTCTGGAACTATTCGTTAAAATTTAGATCCCCTTTAATAATTTAATGATGATCAATTGTGGATGGCTTTAGAAGATTCTAATTTAACTAATTATGTTAAATCTTTGCCAAAAGGCTTAGATTCAAATATTGAAGATGTCAATTCTGTTTTTTCTGTAGGCTAAAAATAATTGATTTGTCTTGCCAGGATTATTTTATCTTAAAAAAAGATAATTGTATTAGATGAGGCAACTGCAAATGTTGACATGTAAACAGATGAATTTATTTAAAATACTATAAAAAAGAAGTTTCAAAATTCTACTTTGATTACTATTGCTCATAGATTAAATACAATTGCAGATTATGATAAAGTTATGGTGATGTCAGATGGAAAAGTAATTGAATTTGATTCTCCTTTCAATCTTTTGGCTTTATCAAATTCATCAATTTCAATAGATAAGCACTCAGAATTTTCTAGATTGGTTGTAAACACTGGTGATGAAAATGCTTAATAAATCTTTGATATATCAAAATAATATCAAAATATTAATGATTGATTATATAATAATGTTTTCTATTTTCATACATTTATAATTTATAAAAATATTTCATTTTTTCATTTACTATTATTAACATCAATGAGAAAACTAAAGATTCCAATTTAATTATAATAGCTATATATATGATTTAGTTTTAAATAGAAAAAAAATAATAATGAATCAATAATTTACATGAAAAAACTTATTTACTTACTCTTAGCTATTACTCACTTTAGATGGTGTTACTAGTTAGTAGTTAAAAAGAAATAATCTTTAAAAGAAGAATCTTAATAAATATAAAGATAAAAATTTCAATTAATAAAATTTGACATCAAAAATCTAATTAAAGTTTAGAATCAAATTAATGTTATTTTTGAAGTAACTATTTTCAATTAGCTTATGTTATCAGGTTATGTGAAATAATTTTTTTAATATATTTGAATTAAATATATAAGAAAAATGTGTTTCAAAACATCCTGTACATACTATGAATCAAGTTGATGTTCTTTGCCAGACACAAGAGTTTATCAAAAATTATCTTCTGCTATTATAATTTAAAACATTGCAAAAAAATGCATTAAATATTTCTAAAATATCTTTTCAAGGTCAAAAAATTAAATTATTTGTAAATTTTCATACATTATAATAAAAATGTAAAAATATTACTAAATTAAAATTTATTTAATCATATAAGTTTATTTCTTTTACAATAAATTATTTTAATCATTAATTTATTTATTGACTCAAAATCTTCATATAATAATCCTCTATTTTTTATTTTTTAAAGCTATATATATTAAATATATTATACTTAGATATTTATTAATCAAAAAACAATAAGAAAAAATAACAAAAAAATAATTTTGTATAAAACTTATCTTTTTCAGTTGAAAATTATTTGAGATAATGCAATGATAATACTCTAATATTTTCAAATCAAAATTAAGTTAATCACAAGAATTACTAGATTAATCTTTAGAATGAATAATTATAAATTTTTCAATTAGGAATTCATTTATTTTATTATCAAATTTACAAACTCTTATATTGTTTCATATAACTTTTAATTAGAGCAATTTACTGAATTAAATAGATTTTAAGATTAGATAAATATATTTCTCGATCAAATTAGTTCCTCATCAAATATTAATTAAAAATTAAATTATTGCATTAAATGAAAAAAAACTTGTCTTATTAATAGTAAAAGTATTTCAAATTAAATAACATTTGATATATTAAATATAAAAATTATTGCAAAGCTTTATCTACCCATATCATTGCTTTCTTAATTCATCAAGCAACCTTATAAAAAATCATTTTTACTATTATTAATTAGATTTTCGGCTGATATATATAATGATAATTTTACCTTTACACCATAATGCTAATTAGTGTCTAGAATTCAAAATTAAGGCTTCGTCAAACACCTTTATATGGAATATAACATAGAGAAATATAAATTATTTGGTAAAAACAGTATAATAATTGAATATTATATATGACATGAAATATAAATTCATTAATTAAGAATAAATTATTATTAAATTGTAGCAATTCAAATAACTTGAAAAACAAATAAACGGGGATATAATATTTTTTTCCTTGTTATATTAAGATTTATAAAGAGTTTTCACCTTTTCACCGAATTACTAATCTTTACACTTTTCCTATAATAAAAGGTCCAAGTTCAGTGTTTAAGTAAAATTTGTTCTCTTTCCTTCATTCTGTTTCACATAATCTCCAATTTGTTTTTTCGTTTTGTTTAAGAATTTGAAGTGTATAGAGCTAATTAGTGTATTCACACTAAGGTTATAAATATTAAACTATGTCAATACAATAGAGTTGCAAAATTTTCTCAAAAAGAATCCAAAAACTATAGATAAATTTATATTTAAGCATCAACCCAAAAGAAGGGATCTATTCCTTAAATTTTATAGCTAATGCTAGAATGAATACATGAATTAAAATGATTAGATAAAAATTTAATCAACCTTTTATTTTCTTAATTTGATTTGATATAATAATATTTGAACTAATTATATTTAGTCAAATGTGAAAATAAAGGAATTTCAGAAAAGTAATAAAATTAACAAAAGAATATCATAGAGCCAATCGATCAATAAATTTCAATAATTGGATTATTTCAAGGAGACTAAAAGAAATATTGGGGTTATTCTAAAATAGAATTTTAAATGGAAAAATAAAAAGAAATAATTTAAAAGAATAAGCAGTTATGGATATAAAATTAACAAAATGCTCTATATTTGATTTTTGAATAAAATTTATAGATACTGTTGCCTTTTGAAAAAAATATTAAATTTATTCTTGAATTAATTCTAATTAGACATTACTATAAATTTTTTTCTTTATATAAAAACAGGTACACAACTCGTTATAATACCTATTGATGAATTATAATTTATAACTAAGCGTAATCAAAAACTAATTCAAAACACCAATTATATCAGTAAACCACTTTGAAGGATGGTAAACTAAATAATTTATAATCTATTGCTAAATATTCATGCCTTATCAAAATACTGAAATAAAACAACAATGTTATCAAATAATTTCACTTATTTGATAGTTGATGGAACTTTCAGTCCATTTCAATTTATTCTGATATGACTTAGATATAAATTAGTATTTTTTCAATCTTACAACATCAATCACTTGTTAATATAAGTCAAAATTTATGTAAAAAATAATTGATTAGAATATTCAAATTCTTTTTGCTTAAATATAATTTTAAACTTTAATTCTATTTTTGTAATTTTTCATTTTTATTAAATTTTCCAAATTGTTTTTTTCATTATTAATTAGAATTATTTTTTGAATAACCTTTAGCGATTCAAGGATTAATTATTTTATTTTTAAATGAATGAAGACAATAAAGGTTTTAAATTTTTAATCATGATTTTCTGATTAAAAAATACAATGATTAAGTTAATTTGAATTTTAAAATTTATAAATAATGAATTAAACCAAAAAGGATAATGAATTTTTTAAATAATGAATAATATTAGAAAGGAATATTTTGATTAATATAAATTAATATGATGTAGATTTAAAAATGATGATTTATTGGAAATAGTCATTTTTATGGTTAATATTATATGTATTTTTTTATAGTCTTCAATTTGTTCATGAAGAATTCCTTTAATTGATATCAATTGAAAGCACAGCATTTCGATCATATCTTTATCCGCTAATACAGACATCGCCTTCTGATATTACATCCAAACTATCCTTTCTCATTTTTAATAAATCGACTATTGTTTGATCTATAGAATTAATCAATTTCATGTTAATAGGATTATCTAGATTTTCAACTAAATCTTTAAAAGCAATTTCAGCATCAACAGCTTTCTAATAATCGTTTTTTCTTGGTTTTAATATCGAATAATAATTTTGAGTGACGCTAAATTATGCTGAATCTGGATCTAATGGAATTGTAGGTTTTTACAGATAATCAAAAATCTTTATCTAGGATTCTGTTAAAAGTATCATTTTCAATTTATCTATTTCTTGTAGTTTCTTCAGTATATATAAAACATCCATTTACTTAATAATTTTTTTAAAAGAATATTAAATTTGAAGACTTTTATAATTTTTGGAACTAAATAAATTATATAATTTACTTAACAAAGCAGTTTATGAAATACAAATAATCTGTCCATCTCATTTTTAGCTTTTTTGAAATGCTAAGAAAATATTATTTAATTGAAAATGATATAGCTTTTGTTAATTATTTTTTAGTTTCTTCCTTTGATTAAGGATCTAAAGCTAAGGATTCTATAGCTTCAATTTATTTCTTTTTTCTTTTAATAGATTATAATCTTTAAAGTGATTTTTTTTTATTCTGAATAAATAATATTTCTTTGGTAGATTGCAATTATTATCTTGACGAGAATTCTTATTGTAAGGTTTCTGGATTAGGATTTTCTTGTTTTTAATTTTTAATTGGTTTTTTTTACTCTTACTCAAATTCAAATAACGAATTCAAAATTTTAACATAATAAGATAACATATTTATAGGTTTCTATATAAGAAAGGCAAGAGTAAAAAATACCTGCCAAAGTCCACCCATTTTACTTATGATAATTTGAATTTTGGTGTAGTTTCTATAATATTATTATTCAATTTAATCTAATCTTATTACTACATTCATAATTAAGTCACTCTCATTTAAGTCAATCATTTCTGTATGTCTCTTATATCTTAGGGTATTTTGAACCTCGTAATCTTCATTGATAATTCCTATATCTGTAAATACTGTTATTGGCTACATATATATAGATATTTCTTTAAAAATCTTGCTAGATATAGTGGTGAAAATATCTTCTCCTTTTGATAAAAAAGGATGTTTATCATTTTTCACATCTACAACATATGAGGGCATTTAAAAAGAAAAATAGTTTTATTCTAACTATTTTTTAATTTCATCCCTTGATTTGCATTCTTTCGATTTTTTTGTTAAATCGTTGCAAATTTTAAATTCTAATAAAATGGCACGATAAACTAAAGAATCAAAAGTGCCTTCCAAATCTAACTCTTTAATTTTATTCCAATCAATACAATAATTAGTCGTTAAATCTAATTGAGAAAAATATTGTTATAATTCAACTTATCGAATGAGCTCTGGATTACACTTTGTTAAAGGAAGATCTTACTAAGTCCATTCATCAATTTTTTCATTATCGGTACTAATAATTGAATTCATTTAATACATTCTGGTGATCTTAGTTTAAATTTTTGCTTCAACCACATAAACTGATTCATCTATATATGTTTTAAAAGAGGGAGATTAAATAGCAAAAGTTAGAGTAAAATTTGTTTCATCCAATTTGAATTAATGTGGTTATGTATGATAAATCTCAGTAGACAGCGAAGTTAGATTTTTTCCTTGCCTCAAATCGAATAGATTTACTATAAGAAGGTAGAGGAAGAAAGATATCAATCCAGAAGTTAAGCAAGCACCAAATAATGTTTTATGCCCTTATTCTTATTTTATCAATAATAAAACAGGCTATGAAAAAATATCCACTTTTTTTAGGATCCTAAGTGCCTTTTTAGAAAAATTATTAAACATTTTTATTATAATTAAAAAATTGTCTAATCATAAAAAGAAAAAATATTATATGGTAAAATCTTAGATTAATATTGTAAAAATTTTAAATTGTATATGCATTAAATCTTACTAAGTTAACAATAAACTCAATAAGACGCTAATAAATAGATGAAATGTAATGATAATAAAATCATTTGAAAATTTTGAATACATTATTTCTAAAATAAAACTTTTCTATTTGATGTTGAAGAAGCTTATTATAGGTTTATCCTTGTTACTCGAATAATAAAGTTAAAAAATTTTACATATCAAATGTTTAGAAAAAGTATAAAAAGGAAAACAAACTAGATTTATAATGTTACCATCTAAAAATTAAAGGGAATGATAAAGCTATAATTGGAATCTTGTATCAAAAGCTTAACATAAAACTTTGACTTTCAAGATATTAAGACTTTTTTTATTGTTTTAATAAGGAGAGTTACAAAGATTCTTTAATTCATCAATAAAAAGAAATGAGCATACAGGCTCTATATTTTTATATTTGTAGGTAAACTGCTTCTAAAAATAATTAAATAATTACAGTCCAATGAAAAAATTATTATTCAAAGGTTAGTAATATTAATAATCATTTATGTATAGAATCAAAAGTACATTTTATTTGTAAATTTTAGCTATTCCTTTTAAGTTAGTATTCTGAAAAATGTTTTAATTTCTCATAAAGTTAAAAGTCAATATATCAAAAATTAGATGTGTTAGAAATTAAAATCAATCCCTTTATTTGTTGATATTCCTACTATAACTTGATTTTATTAAATTTTATAATTTATTAATCTAAAACGTACATTAACTTTAAATAAAGAACTTAAGGATAAAATTACATTTAATCGCTCTAATAATAGAAAAAAATCATTTCTATGAAAAATTTAAATAGGTTAAAATTGTATTTAGTCAAATGGATTTTCATTGTGAAAAATCGATTTTTGTTAATTTAGTTACTAAAATTTAGTATTTTTGAGATTCAATTTCAAAATGATTTCTTTAAAAAATAACAAATTAAATTTATTTTCTTTTGAAATTGAAAACAAATAATACTGAAATTTAATTATTATTTGAAATCTGTCAAATATGAAAAAAGTATTAAGCAAATATAAATTGAATACCAAAAAATTAAGACTGAAAAATTTTAACTTTTGAAACCAAAAAATAATCAAATTTTCATTTAATATCCAATTTAAAATTAAAAACAGTCAATAAGCTAATTTCTTTATTGAACCTCTTTTTAATCTAAGCTAAGAAAATCAAAAAAAGAGGTGAAAAAAAATTAATTATTATCTAACCTTCAAATAATAAGGTATAGGCATAAAATGATGAAATGCATAAGTGATGAAAAGGATAGAAAAAATTTAAAGAATAAAAATTTAATTTATATGAATAAAATGCTATAGAATTCATAAAGAAGAGGAAAAAAAGGTAGAGTGGCTAGAAAAACATCATAATGTATTACCAGTTATTTTACCAAAAATAGAAAAGATAAATATAAATCAGGTAAGTTGGATAGCAAATGAAGCAAATATATATAATTAAAAGTCTAAATACTAATATTTGGAATTAGAATAATGAAAAAGAGTCAAAGAATTAAGATGTAAAGATCCAAAAACATACTACAAGTTAATAAAGCAATAAATCTAATTTAGAAAATTACTTACAGTAAAATAGAAGATGATAACGAGGAAGAAATAAAATTAGATCTAAAAATACAAAAAGAACTTTAAAAAAATGATAAGTATACAGGACTATGGTGTACAAATATACTAAGATATTTTACAACCTTTTTTTTAGAAAACTCTTTATATTTTTATATTTTAAGATTTATTAAAATGATGAAGGATCAATAAAATAACTAAAACTTCTTACAAAATTCGAGTTCAATAGTATGCAATTTTTTTGTTAAATGGATTTACCTTATTTTGATTTCAATTGATAATCATTTTGTATAAACTTAATAATTAATTACTAAAATACTAAATCTTTAATTTTTTTAAATATAACTTAGATTTTTATTTTAGGTTTAAAGATTGGATATGGTATAGGAGTATTTTTTATTATTAAATGCTTAATAAGTTTATAACCTTATTTTACTAAAGGTGCATATATTTAAGTTAGTTTTTAGTAATTAATAGCAGTGAAACTATTTATGAGAAAAGAGTAAGAGAAGAATCTCGTAAAAAAAATCATTGTGAATAATTTTCATTTATAATTTAATTTTAAAATTTAGTTTTGCTAGAAAATGAGTTTTTAAGTATTTTCAGTGGTAAAAAATTAAGGGTCAATCAAATAAATAAAGGTAATAATAAAATTGTAATTGATTAGCTCATTATCTTTTATATTTGAATTAAAAAATACAAATTTAATAAATTTTATTTAAAAAAAAATATATTTCTTTCTTCATTATTCAATCATAATAAATAATTCTCAATTATTAATTTTTCAATTTATTATCAGTCCATTTGCCAACTTTTTTACCATTTGAATATTCTCCATTAAAAGTTATTTCTTTTGAACCATAGTCCCCTTTGTAAAATCCTTCACATAATTCAATCCATTTCCCATTCTTAATACCAAAATCATATGATCCACCTCCACTATATTAAAGTTTTTATATAAATTTATATATTACATTATTTTTAATTAATAGTTAATGACCCAGGTACCAATTTTTAGACCTTTTCTATACTCACCCTTATAATAGACTTACGAATCTAAAGAATAAGCATCCCCCAATTCAGTCCATTACCCAATCTTGATTGAACTATTGTTCAGCTGAACTCCATATGATCCACCTCCACTGTAATTTTAGTCATTTTATTTTATAAATAATTTATTACATCTTTGAACTTTAATCAACTTAATTCCAATAAATATCCCATTTATCAACCTTTCTACCATAATTATAATTCCCATTGAAAATAACTAATGCATTACTCTAAAAACTATCACTTAATTCAATCCAATCACCATTTTTAATTGAAATTCCTTTAACAAAATCATCATATGATCCCCCTCCACTAAAGTTTGGTTTATTTAATATTTAATTTATAAATTTATACATTTTATTATTGCTTTCGCCTTATTTCCAATAAATATCCCACCTACCCATCTTTTTACCATCATTTTTATAATTGCCACAATAAGTAATTTGAGATTGATCCCAAAATCCTTCACTCATTTCAATCCATTAACCAACCTTAACTGTATCCTCTTAGTATTTATGATATTATCCACCACCACTATTTAATAAATTAGAAAACTATTATAAAGACATATATACATATTTGTATATTGATTCTATCCATTTTATTTCCAAGATATATTCCATTTACCAATTTTTTTCCCTTAATTATAGACCCCAACAAAAATAACTTACGCCTTACTATAAAAACCATCAATTAACTCAATCCATTTACCAATTTTAAATGAAATTCCTTTAAACAATTCATCATATGATCCACCTCCACTAAAATTTTGTTTACATAATATTTAATTTATAAACTTATACATTTTATTATTGCTTTCGCCTTATTTCCAATAAATATCCCATTTACCAACTTTTTTACCATTTTTATAATCTCCACAATAAGTAATTTGAGATTGGTTCCAAAATCCATCACTCAATTCTATCCATTTACCATCTTTAATCGAAGTATTTCTATCTAAATGTTTATATAATCCACCACCTCTTAGAATAGATTAACATATTAAATTATACATTAACTAATGACGTTTATCTTTATTCAAATAAATATCCCATCTATCAATTTTGAAACCACTATTATAATCACCACAATAATAGACCTACGATCTACCATTAAATCCATCATTCAACTCCATCCATTTACCAATTTTAATTGAAGTTTCTTATGCTCTATTATCATACAATCCACCTCCTCTAATATTTTGTTATTTACAATCTTTTACACTTCTTTAAATTATCCCTCAAATTCACTTCTAAATAAAATACTCCATTCACTGACTTTTTACCCATTATTATAATAACCATAATACAATATCTAACTCTCTCTAACAATTAAAGATGAAATTTAGATACTCGCAAAAGCTATCACTCATTTCAATCCATTAGCCACTTGCTTAGCCTAATTAATTGTAAAATCCACCGCCACTTTTAATTTATATTATTTTTACATCTTCTTATTCTTATATATATATCTCCATTTTCCAACTCTTTTATTATTTACGTATTCCCCTAAGAAATAAAGTTAAGCTTTGCTATATATTTAAAATTAATTTATAATATAAATTACATCGTAAAATTTTTCAAAGTTTCTTTCCACAAACCCTGTTTTAACCCATTCTTAGAGTAGAATCCTCCAACTTCATATAGTTTTTCTCCTGACCAATATGATTCCAACTTAAAGTATTCTTGTTTATTGGATCCATAATTTTCTATCTATTAAAAACATTTGATTTATTCCAAATTTTTAAATAATTCTGGTTTTTGTTTTTAAGAAAATTATTTCACTTAATCTCTTTCTGATAATTAATCATTTTACATTTTAAGAATTTCTCCATCAAAAATGTACATGTTTTCTTTTTCTTCTAGAGATACTACTTAAAATTTAGATCTTATCTATTTAAATGATGAAGGGTTTGTTGATGTAAATTCATATTCTTAAATATTATTAAAATTGCCAAACAAAGGCATAAGTTATTACTTTTTGCTATTCTTATCATAACTGATATCTTCATTAATTATTGGCTCGAAATTCATTTCCTTTTTTGATGCGTTTGAACAAATTTTTCCCATTCCTATTTTTTATTTATTTAAATGCACTTTCAAAGTAAATTTATTTTAAATTAAAATCTTAAATATGAAATCTTTCTTCTATATGCAAACTAGTAAAAGAGCTTTAATATTTTTCATATAAGATACCTAAATTCTTTTTATTAACTTCTTCTGTTCTTAATTTAATTAAAGGATTCATTATTTTAAAGGTTAAATATATTAGTTGAATTTCAAAAATACTAATTATAATAAATTTTTTGATATAATTTTAATTAAGGGAGAGCTTCAAAATAAAATGGATGATGGTAAAGAGTTTTAAAAATGAGTCTTGCTAATTATTTATATAATATTTAGATAACATTCCTAAAAAATGGTTCATTTTCCTAAAAGTAACTTGTTAAATTTGCTAATTTCTTTTTGGACTGTTGATAAGATTTAAAGGTAATATGGAATTGGACTTGCCCTTTAATATATGGTTAGTCACCTTAAAATTGTTGATCTTGTTTTTTTATTAAAATTTTTTTTTAGAAAAAAAAAGTATTAAGAAAATATAAAAATTATTTATGTTAAATTAACATATATTTATTTTTTAAATAAAATAATTCCTTTTTAATATTGTATTTCAAATTTAAGTCATACTCCAATAAATGATCTTTATTGACTTATCAAATTCATATAATTCATTAAACAGAGATAAGTTACATGATATAATAATATGAAGAAAATTTATATGATGAAATATATTTTTGGGGTCCGATAGGAAAAACTAAAATCTTTTTAAAAAATGAAGTCCATTAAGGTTCTCTTATAGCTCCAATGCTATTCAATTAATATTTCAAAAAATTATTAAATGAATGAAAAACAAAAATTTTTATACTTTTTTAATAAGGATCATTTAATGAAACATTTGGAGTACTGGAATGATTAAGGATAAAAATGAATATAAAAGATTAATCAAATAAATGATTGGGTGAATTTTGAAAAAATAATAAACATACAATAAAAACAAAAATAATGAGATGATGAATTACATATAAAATAAAATCAAAAAAGATGATAAAAAAGTATGGTATATTTAAAAATAAAATAAAAAAAAAATATATGGAATAATTATGATTATTATCTATTTAAACATACTCCTGTTTTTTTTTCAAAAAGTAATTCAAATAAATAATGAAATTTTTATAGTAATGTTCTTTGATAAATTTTTCATAAGGTCCTTCAGAATAATAACCAATCAGATTTTATCATGAAATATTTGACATATAAAGGAAGACAAAAATTTTAATTATTTTTAATCAGGACCATTAAATCATATACTAATAAAATGAAGTTATATTGAGAATGTACATTTAATTTAAGTAAATAAGTGATCCATCTTAAGAAACTCCAGATCTCCTGAGGAATTTGGATTAGATCAAAAATCTTGAATGGTAAGTTGATAATGGAAAAAACAATAAAAAATTAAAAAAATGGAGAGCATTTTGGAAAGGAGAAATTATTCCTGAAGTTGGAGGTTACTAAGAAAATGAAATAAAATAAGGTTTATGGAAAGAGTTATTTTAGTAATATTCCAAGTAAATTTGTATTAGTAAAATAACATAGTCAAGCTAAAGTATATGAGATAGGAGAATATTAAATGGATAATAGATGTGGCAGATGGATACATATTTAAGAAGAAAAAAAAATGTATTTTGAAATTAGAATTTTGAATAGCGCTGGAGGATACTATGATGAGAAGGGTTAGAAGCAGGGAAAATGGTTTGACATGAGCGTTGATTTTAATATTAATTCTTAAGTCATATATAATGGTTAGTACAATGCTGGTAAAAAGGTTGGTTTGTGGGATACTTATTTCGATTGTAAAGGGAAAAATTAAATAATGTAATCAGTAATTAAGAAAAGATAACTGGAAAACTGGTAGTGGGGGAGGAGTATATCAGAAAGAAAGTTCGATTAAGATTGGAATATGGATTGAACTAAGGGATGGCTTTTATGAGAATTCACAAATTATTTATAAAGGAGAATATAGTAAAAATGGTTAAAAAATCGGCAGATGGGATACTTTGTATAGGAAAAATGAAGATTACGAAATAATGTAAAATTCATCCAAGATTTTTAGTGGTGGTGGATAGTATGATGAAAATTGTTCGATTAAGACCGGAAAGTGGATTGAAATAAGTGATAATTTTGAGTATTACTCTCAAGTCTCTTCATAAGGTGAATACAAAAACGGAGAAAAAATCGGTAGATGGGATATTTTTTATAAGATAAGTGACGAATTCAAATTAATGTAAAATAAATCTAAATTTTTAGTGGTGGTGGATAATATGATGAAGAAGGTTCAATTAAGTTTGGAAGGTGGAATGAATTGAGTGATATTTTTCATCTGGATTCATAAGTTATCTATTAAGGAGAATACAATAAAAATGGTAATAAGATTGGTAGGTGGGATATTTTGTTTAGAGGAAAAGAAGAATTTGAATTAATGTATAATTAATCTAATATTTTAGTGGTGGTGGATAGTATGATGAAGGGAGTTCAATTAAGATTGGTGAATGGATTGAATTGAATGATTCGTTTAGCATAAGTTCATAAGTAATTTATAAGGGCTGGTATAATAAAAATGGTAAAAAAGTTGGAAGATGGGATATTTTGTTTAGAAGATGCAATAAATATGAATAAATGTAAATTATATTCAATTTTTTTAAGTGGTGGTGGATATTATGATGAAGAAAACTACATGAAAATTGGACATTGGATTGAATTATATAATAAATTTTAAAATGAATGGGAAATTACATATACTGGTGAGTATAATAAAAATGGCAAAAAAGTTGGGAAATGGTTAGAAATTGATATAGAAAGGAACAAAAAAAGTATTATAAGAAGTATAAATTATGATGATTGACAACTAATATAACAATAACAATAATTTAATACGAAGAATATGAAAAAGTTTAAATCAATCAATGATATTTTCTTACTTTGATTTAAATCTTATGATAAAAGATCTTAATGAATATAAATCCAAAGTTACCAAATATAAAAATTGAAACTAATTATAATAAAATAATTGAATCATAGCAAATGGATCCGCTTCTATATTGTAAATAGCACCCATTACACGTGATTAAAATTTAGCTTGAAAAATATATGCCAAACATTTGTTGATGAAAATAGGCTTCTCGTTTAAACAATTTTGCTGATACATTTAAGAAAAAATGAAAATTCTTTGAAAGTTTTTGTTTTTCATAACTATAAAGGAGTTAAAAAAATTTATTTTTTTTTCTTTTATTCATATTATTTTTAATATTGATAAAAGAACAATTATTAGAATATTTTGAAAAGTCGAATATATTTTTATTTTACTTTTTATGACCAAAAAATTAACTTAATTTTCAATAAATCATTTCTTCTTTTATCCATTTTTACAAAGAAAAATAGTTTATGTATTACATACATAACCTAGCGAATTGTAACAAAATATTAAATGACATTCTATAATTTTTTAACAATTCATGTAAAACAAGATTTATTAAATATTTATTCAGCAGTTAGGAATTATGTTTGACATTTTGGATGACATTCTAAAGTTAAAGAATGCTTTATACTTTTACATTCTGATTCCTGAATTGCCTAATCAGTATATAAAGTTTTTTATCGACAAGATTGAATGATTAGAATTCTGTCCAAATGCTTTCTTCTGAAAACTCCATCATTATAAATTTGATTGGATAAAACAAGTTAGGCAAAAATAATCAAATTAATTTTATTCGAATTAAAAAGTTTCAATTGTATTATTTCAATTTTATGAGGGTTTGGAAATCCTCTAAAGCAGAATGATGATTTAAGATTTATCTAAAAATCACCTTTTTACCTTAAAACACAGTTTACTTCAACTTTGCAACCATAAAACAGTTCAGATATTGTGGTTTTCATATATTCCAATAATATCAATTAATCAAAAAAAGCAATTTGATAACTATGTATATATATCTGACCTCCAAAATACTAATTTAAATTCTGTAAAAATCAATTTAAATTCATTAGTAAGTATTAGGAGAAATTTTTATTCTATTAGAATTTCTTAAATTGCAACTAGTATGAATAAATCAGCGATATCAAAACTTGCTAAGTTATATTGAATCACAAAAATTGCACCCTAATTAAAATACCTTCAAAGTTCCTTATTAAATGGGTTACTTATTTTCATGATTTTATTTACCAAGATTTATTAAAGCTGAATAATTATTTGAGTTGATGAATCAGTTTCTCTATAATTCTAGAACAATCTTGTGCTGTCTCGCTCTAGTACTTCTTTATCATTTCTGTACCGAAATATTATCTTCTAAAAGGAACTTTTTAAGGGTTTCAGTCATTAAACATCAATAATTTTAGGATTATTTTATTTTACTAAAATTTAAATTTATAAATATTTATTAATTTTAAGAATAATTTAAATATTTAGATTATAACCTTTAGAGTTTAAATAAAGGATAAAGTTTTTAATAATGAAATAAAAATGAAATTATTATTTGATCAAAGCTCTATCTCTAAATAATCCAGTTCCTATTCCTCTTTATAGTTTCTAGTCTTTTCATATTGACAATTTTGTCAGATTAAAGATCAGATTTTGCATTATAACTTTCATTAGCTCCTATTAGCTCCTCAATTAAAACTAACAGCAATAGTTGATTTAAATCCCAAAAGTTTAAGCTCTTTTAATATCATTTTAGGATTCTCTCATTCATATATTTTTAAATTAAAATCAAGGCATTGTTTGTTATCTCTCAATGAATACTTTCAAAAAACAAGTTGCAACTTATAATGTCTAACATATTTTTTATTAATTTGATGATATTGCCAATTCAATAAAGCTTGGATCATTAATGACTGCTACATCAAATCAAGTTCTCATATAGTTCATTCAAATCTTTTGGTTAATTTATAGCTAATTGAATTTTGAATTAATCACACTCCTAATTCATTAATAATTTGACTGAAAAAAGGACAGTACCAGAACCAAGATCGCTTAAATGTCAAAAAATTTTTGGTTTAAAATTACAATCCTAATTATCTATTACCATGACCTTCTACAATCATTAAATAGATTTGACCTTAAAATTGAATAATAATAGAATTCTAAATTTTGGGCAATAGTATAATTAAATTAACTATTATTATCTTGAAATCAAAAGGCACAAGTCATTTTTATTCATTTATATTATTCCTAAAAGTTCTCTTTCATCTAAACTCTTTAGTAAGCTGGTGTGTCATCATTAATAAAACCTATTATGCTGTCTTAAAAGGAAACCGCTTTATTTTGGTTTGGACCTAACATAAGCTCTCATCTATAATTAAATTAAAAGTAATTAAATTCTATTAAGATTTGGAACAACTGATAGAAATCCATTATTTATAAATTTTGATCTCATCAGCTTAATCCTCATAGAGAACTCAAGAAATTAAATTTGCCAGTCTCAATTTCTCGATTGATTCACCATAGCTTAGTAAAGAGGTTTCTGAGTATCATTGCCTCAAATGATTCCATTGAAAACAATTAATGGAAAATACACATTATCAAAAATTAAATTGACATAAGTATTTAAAATTTGAAGTTCGTAATTATTCCCTATCCTACCGATCATTTTAATCTATTCAATTTCTAAAATATCTTTAATAAATTATAATTTCTCTAAACCATTACTACAGATTCAGATTTTAATGAAAATAATGATGTTCCAATTTAAATTTTGTCTAGAAATTACATGAACTAATTTATATAGCTTTATGATTAGGATTATTAAATTTTAAGTTATAATGTAGATTTTCTAAATAATAATTTTTTTCATTGCCTCATAAAGTATATAATTCTTAAACTTTTTTTAAGAAATATTGATGAAAAAGTTAATTATTTTAATTTTTCTATCAAATCCTTTTTTTTAGATAGTCATTAAACTAATCAAGATCGATAGAGGATTTAACTTTTTTGATTAAAATAAGAATATAAATAATTATTTAATTAATTTATTCAATATAGAATTTTTTTTCATATTTTTGTTTCAAGTTTGTAGAAACTTTCTATTTTTATAATATGAAGTCCATCATTATAAGTATTACCATTGACATTATATATTTTAAACTTTTATACTTATTAACTAGGAAATGTTATTGTTACTATTGTTTAAGCTAAATTACTTTCATAGATTTTAGTTTCTATGTCCTTGTATATTAAATAAACTTTAATTCTATAGACTCTATCATCTTAATCCCACAACCATATTTTTAAAGTATTTAATTCATATTATTGCTATAAATCAAATATAATTGAATTTCCAATTGAAGTTGCTGTAAATCCATATATACCACTTATCATATAAATATTATCCCTTAAACTACTGCCTTGTAAACCCCCAGCAAAACCATTTTATAATTTTGATGAGATTACAACTCCTCTATAATAATTTAGCATATTTTAATAATCCCCTCTAATGATTGATCTGAATTTTGCCTATTTTTTTTAACAAATTTAATAAGCTTCTAATTAAGTATTCAAGAATAGCAGAGTAACTAATATTATAAATGTTTTCCACTTCATTGAATAATTAAAAATTAATTTATCTTAAATTAATGACAGTAAGCATTAGAAGAAATAAAATCAGGATCGAGACTAATAGTTATTTATATCATTTATTTCTTAAATGTATTCTTTACCTAGATCAGAAAAAAAGTATATTTATATAAAATCAATCAAATTTATTTGAAACTGATATTTGACTATAATTTTTATATTCTTCGTTTTTCAAAATATTTTTATAAAATGATAAATAATTATATAAAAGTAATATCATTAATTAAACCTCAGCAGTTCTTACAAACAAAGGAAAATTATTCAAAACTTTGAATTTTTCTCAATTTTCCAAGGAAGCAAAAAATTATTGATTAGGAAAAATGATTATAAAAAAACTTAAAGGTTCTGATAAATATTTTGGCAAAGGAAAATTCTTTATATTAAGAATTACCAAGAAGTTGATATAATTCTAATAGAGGTAGGTTTTAGTGCTAGAATAATTTCTTTAAAAATCAAAGATAATTAATATTTATTACCATAAATGTTGACTAATTAGTTTTTTTCTAAAGTAGTTTGTCTATTAATTATAAAATATATAGTTTTACTGAGAATGAGTTAAAAATTTGCATTACTAAGTAAAATTCAAGAATACGAAATCAATTTAAACAAGATTTAAAATAGGAATATCTTATCTAAATATTATTGCATATGTTTTTAACTAAAATAGACTACTGATTGCATTTAATTACAACGAAAAAAATAATATTTTTTTTTAATTTTTAATTATTGTTAAACCATATATAAATTTTTAATAGACCACTATTTTGAGAATGTTAGGAATTGATAATTTAATTTGGTTTCGAATAATAGCTTATTAATATCATATAATTAATGATGAAGAATCCTAATCATTAGTCTCTTATCATAAAGGAATAAATTGTATTAAAATAATAAATGGTGATCAAGAGTTAATGAACATCAAACCACACAGGCTCGAAAATATAAAGTTCATACATAAGACAATTAATTGAAATTACAAAAATTTACAGATCAATTCTATTAATAAATAATTAAATAAAAACATTAATTAATCATTTTTTATCGTGTTTTTTTATTGGTTTTCTTATAATCAACTAAATTTTTTTTTGGTTTTGATATTCTATCAAAATTAAATTTTCACTTGCCTAAGCTTCGTGATCTTTAGTCTCACTTTCGTTTTATCTCTATCTTATAGATTCTTCAATATCTATACTTGTGTTTTATTGCACAATTGAGTTATTTTAATTTGGAATCTAAAATATTAAAATTGATACAGGAAGCTCCCTTTTCATTTAAAAAAAATCTTTAGTTTTCTGAAAAACATCATCATTCCAATATTCTAATGCTTAACAAACCCATTTAGATAATCCAGATTTTATTTATTTACAAGAATATCTTTGATCGCATAAATATATAATTCTAAAATAAAAAGCAAATATACCCAAAATCATTAATATGACGTATAACTCTCCCTAAAGCTTAATTTGTAGCTCTAATCGCTTGCTAATTATACCATTATTCACTATTCAAATCCTTATAATTTTATTTATTTAAGAATTGCATTTTTTGTTCGATCCTTAGTTCTTTTTTATAAAGAAATGGCACACCAATTAAAAATAATGCTCTGCATAAATCATCAGAAAAATTAATCCCTTCAGAAACTTTACCTCTGTGAATAGCAAACAATATTGCTTGATTCGATTATTAAAAATTTCTTAATTCATTTTTTCCTTTTTCTTCCCAAAAGCATTTCTTCTAATTGTTTAACTACTTGATTATATTGTTTCTTTCCCATATAATTTTGAAATTATTCATCATGTCGTATGAAGGAAATATCACTAAAATTCCCCCTGGAATTATATTTGAAAATTTAATTAATTGATTACCTATTTGTTTAATTTAATCTTTGTCTTCTCTATATTTTTTAGAAAAATTGTAATATTAATGTAAATAAACTCTAACATTTTTCTATACGTTTATGACATGGTCGATTGCCACTTACTCATTAAATTTAATTTATAATTCACTTTCCCATGAATTTAATGGAGATAAAGTACCTGAAGTTAAAATTATTGAATGAATTTTATATTTTTTTCTAATTATGTTAAAGATCAAAGATGGATCTAAACACCACATTTCTATTGATAATTTTTAATTTTTAGACTTTTTTAATACTAGTCTATAAGAATTAAAAATTTTTTGTTTATCAAATTTCTTTATATTGTAAATTTTAACTATGAATGTAATCCAAGATTGAAAATTAGGTGTTAACTTATTCTTTAATCTAAAATATTTTGTTAAAATAAAGCAATCCTACATATAATCTAGGATGTTTTAAAAATTAATTTATCTATCAGTGCTGTAAAAAATCTAATCTATAATAGATTCCTCTAAAACTTAAATTTAATCTTGATTATCTGAGTCATTCTTGTTTTGTGAATTAAAATAGTTTTTAAACTTACTAAAATCCGATAAAAACTGTTCTAATGCCTCCAAAATATTATTAAATATTTTTTCACTCTTCAAATTATTAAATAAGTTTCCTTAATAATTCTATTTGGAAATTATTGCTTATAGATCTTTTAAGTTTTCAGGATTTATAACAAAATCTTACATTTCAAATTCTAACTCATTTTTTGCTTTTTAAATAATTGCTTCACTAATTTCAAACTATCCTCCTTCTTCAGCACATTTTGGAACATTGTGAGCTTCATCAAAAATAATAATAGAGTTATTAAGATCAAGAACTTTATTTTAGTTATTGTTTAATAAGTAGTTATAAGGAAGTAATATTAAATCTGCTAGCTCAGTTTTACTTTTTTCCAAGAAGTAAGGACAAAATTTCTAATCAAGCCCAAATTATTTGGATTCCTCTAAATTACATATCCTCTTTTAACTAGACTTAGCCACTTTATGTAAAATTTCTTTATCAAAAAATTCACATTTTTTAGCTTTAATAAGATTACAACATCTTTATTTTAAATCATTACCTGAATAAATTTAAAAATCTTCTCTTAAACAATATTAATCTCTTGAACCCAGAATAGAAATATTTGGTCTATAAACAGAATTCTACAATTCTTAGGCAACTTATTTCAATTAAGAATGAGTTCTTGAGGCATAAATAATTTTTATTTTAGTTGGAATATTTGAATTAATTTAAGTTTTTCTATTTTTATTAAGCCATCCTAAGGAAGCACATAACAAAGATAAAGTTTTACCAGTTCCTGTTGGTGATTCTAATCTTAAAATAAATATAAATTATTATACAATCCATTTCCGCTATTATCCAATATACTTATAACTTTCTGCATATAATTTAATTATTCTTCATATGGTTTTTAATGAGGAAAATATATTTCAGTATTATTAATACATATTTGTTTTTAATTTAAGCATGCTTGAGCATCAATTGAAATTTCTTCTAAAGTATTCTCAATCGAACTGATATCAGATTCCTCATCTATCAATTCTAAATGTCTTTAAATGTCAGGTTGCTATAACATTCTTTAAAATAAAAAAAATATTTAATATTACAAATTTACTTTAGTTGATAAATCCACAAATTTATGAGAAAGGAAATTTCATAAATCGATATTGATTTATTACTCAACTTAAATTTGAGATTGAAATGAAATGAAATGACGAAAATTGTGTGAGGTTGTAGTGAATAATCAGAAAGTTCATTTAAAGAATTTAAATAATAAAAAGTAAATGAGAAATAATAGTCTATTATGACTATTGATTTAAAAAATAGGCGGAAACTATTAATTTTATGATAAGGGAATTTAATTAAGACAAAATTATAAAAATTAGATTGTGATTCTTTCCTATTTATGGAATGGAGATTATATAAAAAGAAAATATTTTAATAATTATTAATAGAAATTTTATTTTGGATTTTGAGTTTGAAATTTACTTATAGTAATCTAAAAATTAATTATTTATTGAAATTAGAGGCCTTCAATTTTTATAATTGCTGCTAATTATTTGAATATTAACATTTTCATTCCCTTTACATAACATGCAATGGTCTAACTAATTAAAATGGTTTATCTTTGCAGAATCTTCTAAAAGAATTTTACTTAAATTAATATAAAGTCTGAATAAGTCCAACCAATATGAATACTTGAAATGGAAATATTTTAATTATGCCGATTCGAATTTATTGCTTTAAAAAAGTAATTAATCTCTATGAAATTTCATTAAGGTCATTTTGAATATGAAAATGAAAATGAATGCTATGTATGATAAAATTTAAAATAATATCTTAGTTTATTGATTATCAAATACAATTTAATTACATGCTTTGAATGCTTCAGAAACCGTCAAAATGGTAGTTTGATCTAATTCTTAAACAACTCTCTTCTTTTAATTGTTAAGCATAAACTATAATTTTGATTCTTATTGTTATCTGAAAAGCAATTTTTTATAAATTATATATTTATATTTTA